TAAAGGATTAAGGCTAAGGAAATGATGAGGGGTTACAAGGAATATATTGATTGTTCCGGGGGGAGGTGAGGGGGTATTTCCTTGTCATAGGCTAATGGGGATGTGTCGCTGGATAGGGTCACATTTTCACGGCTGGATTGACTGTTATTACTTGTCTGTAATGGGTTGCATTTCCAACACAGTGACAGATACAGTTACAATAATAGGGTCGCGAATTTTCAGGATTTCTTTTTTTTTTTTTTTTTGAGGGGGGGGGGGGGGGAGAAAATTCTGGTAAGTAGGGATTTAAAAACGAGGACCCTTTTTGTAACTTCCTTCATTCCAGCACTAGTATTTTCGCGCACAACTTAATGATCACCCACTGAAAAGGCTTTATACGGTAGATTTATAGTACAAAGAGTGACTCATTTAGGATCACAAAAATTACATTTGCCCAAAAGTGACTAAGATGGGGCGTATAACTGGTCACTGAACAGACTATAATGGGTAAGTGCTTCTTAGAGGCCAGCGGTGGGGATGGCTTGAGGATGTGGTAATGAGTTCAGGCATAACGTTCATGGCAACAGCAAAAAGAAGTCCAACTTTATTTAAATTTTGGATAAATGCAAGGGAAAGTTCTCAAAAAATTTAATGTGAATTTCAGTTTAAATATAATGTTTGTAGAAAAAACATTTAAGACTTTTCTGAAATTATAGGGTAATTTAGCATTATCAACTGAGTTGATAACGTAAATTGGCCATTGTAATGAGTTTCAAAGCTGACGTTTCAAGCGTTAGACCTTCGTCAGAGCAAATGGAAGAATTGTGGGTTCGCTCTCACAAAGGGCTAACACTCGTAATCTCAGCTTAAAAACTCTTCACGGTGGCCAATTTACGTTATCAACTCAGTTGATAATACTAAATTACCCTGTTATACTCTCCCACCGACGCAGCACCACAGTTTCTTTAGAAACTTACCCCCTTTATTCATTTGGTCTAAATTTATGTCTTTTGTGGAAATCTCAGACAGCGATGGCATAACTTTGGTTTGCAATGCGTCTCACATTCTGCTCGCTAGAATTCGTTTTGATAAATTAAACATTTCGATTTGTACCAGTAAATCATATTCAAACAGCTTCCATAGAATTTGGCAAAGAAAAATGCACTAAGCTGGCCCCAGATCCTTTTTGTACTGAAAAGAAAAACAATTGGAAAAAGCTCTCCACGGTTGCCAGCTCGTTGCTTCACCCTATCATTACATTTATTGGAATGTAAAGACCAAGCTTTAAGAACTAAGATTGAGAACGCATTCTGTAACTACATCATGCCAAAATGATATCATTGCAACCGTGTTTCCAGTAGTCTATTTCAAGACTTTGCGAATCGAGTCAAGTTTCGAAAAGATTTTACAAATCATTCTTGGCTTAGACAAGAGTAATAATTATCATATCGACACTAACTTTCCATGAACTAAATTGGCAATTAGTGGAATAAGTAAAAAAACAGAAACGAATGCGCAATCCAGATTTCAAAACTATTTCCAAAAGCATAAATTTTACAGGAAGTCTTGGAAATTTAACCAGACTTAAGTAAATCCATCTGTACCGTTATGTTGCTATTTGAATTACAAGTAGATCAGTGAAGAGAACTGAACGGCCTTCTTAAACATACTCAAGAGACAGGAACGTATTAGATCACTATAAAGCCAAGAATAAACTGATACGAAACTTTTGAATCCTCAGGACTCAAGCCTCTGACCAACTAGTTTTTTAGCTCAGAAAATACATACACAGCTTCATCAAATTGCACTCTCTTTTTGCTTCTTGAATGTTCCTTGGCGTACAACTCATTCTTCTGTTCATCTCTTCTGTTTTCATCACGGTGTAAGCCTTCATGCGCTGGTTGTTGATTGTTCCAAGTTGGCCAAGTTGTGTTGGGCCAACGGAAACGCCGACAGCTGTTTTCTCCAACTGATGAAGCTTCCACGCTGACGAAAGACTCACTGACAATTTCTCCTTTGCTTTCTACTGTGGGAAAAGTTATTGCCCGAAAAACGAAGTGCAATTCTCTTTTGTTGACGTCCACGTTCTTTGACACCTTTTCGTCCGTGTTCGTTCCATGCTGCTCTCTGTCTTGCACAGCGACTTCCTGTTGTTCATCAGGACTAACTATCATGATTTTCTCGTCCATCGGAATGCTTTTCCAAGGTAGTTTAGCGCAGATTACTCCTCCTTAACTTAAGAAAATGCCCTCCGCACCCTGGCTACTTAATTTATAAACTAAAAAAAATTTCCTCAGTCACTCAAAGGAAACTACGCCTAATTCGAATATCAATAACGCCGATACTTTAACGTAAGCCTAATCTGCATAACAAAATAACCATAATAACCATAATCTCAACAACTAGATTCTCCTTACAGTTTGACCTATTTCTAATACTCCTCACATTGGAGAACTTCAAACATAATAAAAAGGGCTAGAATTTTTAGTTAGTTTTCTTTCAGGCGAAAGAAAGAAGCTAAAAATATTGTCCTCAAACAGAAACTTGAATAGCAACTTAATTTTTTTGATGTCATATCCATAGAGGTCACTTGCCGTGTAGTTAATTTACGGGGGGGAGATCAAGAAACGTTGAAGTGATTTGTGAAGATTTTATTAGATATTATTCGATAACATGCTGTTTGCCTGATGGCGGTTCTTGAAAGAGGTAAGACGTTTAAATATGAGTAATTAACCTTAATTAATAAATGACGTAGGGAAGCTCCAAATGTGGCGCATGCGCAATCGTCTTTAGCTTTACATTTCAGTTGAATTTTTTGAAGGCGTTTTGATTAATTACGAAGATATTTCACCTTATTTTTAATTTTCGTATTGACGAAAGCGAATGCGAAGAGAATTTATGGGAGGCCAAGATTTGTGACCTTACGAATAAGCCTGTCTCATTTGTTCTCGGCAACTTTTGGCGTTCGGAGCAACTTTTTGTAGTTCTAGCAACTTCGAGCACTGTTTGCCTCTTTTAAGTAATTTTTGGGAAAAACAGAAGTTTAGAACACATATCAAGCTCGAAAAGTTAACGATTTCATAAAAATTTCAATTTATGCGAATTTCTGGATAATGGTTACCAACCCTTTTGAACACAAATGAACCATGCGTTTTGTTCCGTTATACTTAAGAGCATCCTTAAATCTCCCACATATTTGCGAGCAACTCTTTGAAATTAATACCTCAAGCTGTCTACTTAACCGACGTCATTATTTACTGTAACGAATGAAAAACAACTCTTTTGATTTACATTTATATAAAAAGATCAAGAAATTTTGGCATCAACTCTTTAAATTTTTTGGCAATTTTCTTGCAACTTCCGGCATTCAAATGAGCAACTTAAGTTTCCAGCATTTCAGGTCTATTCATTAATTATTTCCCTTAACACATACCTGTCTTTGCAATATCTGTAACTTGTAACTATATGTTTTCAATTATTTATTTATCTACCAGGATTTTTGCTCCATTTTCTTTTTCACTTTAAAGGTTCATTGAATTCTTCAGTTCACCTTCTTTCATCGTTAGGTTTTGCATGTTTTTGGTAATTTGCTACAGAGAAAATAGAGAAACAGATTTTTTTTCTTGTCACGAGCGTGGGACAAAGAAAAAAATTTTGAGTCTCCATGAGGAATTGAATCTTAGACCTTCGGATTCCACGTTCCGATGATCTACCACTGAGCCACAGAGACTTTATAGTGAACGAGGTCTATTACGAAGTTCATATGACACGCGTCCTGCATACTGCATACTGCTTGATAGCTACAGTTTGTAAACTACATAAAATACTTCGCGTGTTTGATTTATAGCTTATAACCTGTCGTTTATCTTACCAGTAAACCCACAGAAAGCAGAGACATTCTAAAAAAATATATATTGGAAAGTTTATTTTTATTTATGTATTTATCTTTTTGGCTCGGCAACGAATTGCAATGGAGGCTAAAGTTATCTCCTCTTGCTTGAAAACCCTCTCGGAATGTTGGGACATCCCTCCGAAAGCTTCTGAAGGTACGAGTTTTTCTTTATCGTGTTCTCGGTACACCAATAGAAAGTGCGGTCCAAACTGTTAAAAAATAATAATCTTGAACGTTTCAATTTATGGTGAGTTGAGGAATATTGCTGAAATTCCTCTTGGCCTTTATTAGGTGGATAAGCCGATGTTAGCCCCTCTGGGAAAATTAAGGCGAGGTGCCACCGCCGAGTTCATATTTTGCAGACTATTTCAATATTTTCTTTCTTAGCTACACTTATTCATCCCTGGCTCATTATTCATACTTCTCTTGGGTGTTTTTTTCTGTTTTGCTGAACAAATATTTTATGGTCTCCTTCATGTTACTCAGTACTGATTTCAATTTTGAAATTGCTGATTTAATGAAATTTTCAAAGCTTTCTCATCTGCTGATTTATACAGAAAGGATCTGTTTCTTTAATGGTATCGATCAATTTGCATTTACCGATTTGATAGATAAACTAGAGATGTAGATGAACTGGCCTGCAAATCGAACTGTACCGCGCAGAATGTGTAATAATATACCGGTCCGGGAGGGCGCTTTTCAGAAAAAAGCCTGACTTCTTATTTTACATGCCAAAATTTGAACAGAAAAACTTCGTGGATCTTTTGAAATAATGATAGATTTTACAACTGGAATAATCAGTTCCAAATTTAACGAGAGACCATTGCGTCAAATGTTTTGACTCCAGAATTAATCACTGTATTTTTAAAGACATTTTATACGAGTTTTATTTTCACTCACCAAGTCACAAATTATAGAAATCCGGGCAAAAAAAAAAGAAAAAACAAGAGGATTTCAACTTTTCGAAGAAACAGAGCAAATGGCTTTTTGGATAGCTTTTGTTTTTTCGTCGGAGTAGCAAATTGTATTTAAAATTATTTAAATCATGGTTTGACATCTTTGCTAAGCTTTAGCTAATAAGGTCCCGAATTTGCATATGCTGGTGTACGCATGTGTACTCTGAAGCCATATGTTTTATAATTTGAATTGGAGAAAAACTATACACGAAAAATTTGCGGACCTTAGCGATCGATCAAAAAAAATGCTTCGACCCGATAATCTCGGATTAAATTTGGAAATTCATCCCGATGCCTTGGTGATGAATCAAGCGAGCAGAGCCGGTAAGACACCTGAAGAAAGCCGAATTTTGAAGGCAAAAGATTACAAACTACCCGTGTTTACCAGATATCGCGAGGGTACCTGCAAAGACGTTTTTTATTTCGTTCAAGTTGTGGCTCCAAAGTTCGGCCACGACGCACATCCCGAAGAAAGCTGTGATGCGGAGAAACGCCTTTTAGAAAAAGTCATAAATGCTCTTAACGACATGAGACCTAAACCGAGATTTTTACTCGTACATGGAAATTACACGAATGCATCACCAAACGATAAAGAATATTTCCCGCAGATAGAGAGTTTTAAGTCGGCATTTGAAAATTTAAGCGCGGAGATTCCTGTTGTGTGTGTTTGTGGCCCTACAGACTGCGGTAATCCACTGACATTGGACGGCGTCGATGCGTATCGGAATACTTTTGGCGATGACTGGTTTGCCTTCTGGGTTGAAGGAGTTCAGTTTTTAGCCATGAATACCAGTTATTACAAAGACGTGAACGCCGATATGGAGAGTTTTAAAACAGATCAACAGGAATGGCTTGAATCAAAGCTGTTGGAAGCACAAGTAAACCCGCCAAAACAAATCGTTCTTCTGCAAACAACTCCATGGTTTCGCAAATCTATAGATGAGGAGAGCAATGCAGACAACATTGAATTAAACACGCGCCAAGAAATCGTTCCTAAACTCATAGAAGCCAACGTGAAATACGTTTTCACTGGTAATTTGAATGGCTTCGGGAAGGACAAGGAATTACAGATAGTTCAAACAAGTTCTTTAAGAAAAACAAATGAGGTGGAAAATCTAGGTTTTCGTGTTGTCAAAGTCGAACATGAGGGAGTTGTACATAAATTTTTTTCTTTGGACAACTCCCCAACAGATCTAAATTTAGAATTTTAATAACTATTGCTTTTTGCAGCTGCAACCGCATTCAGATTGCGATGTAATCCGATAACTCAAAAGTTAGAGGCTAGAATCAGGTTCTAAAAGAATTTCACAACCACTAACTTTGTCCACTAGAGAGAGAAGAATATTTCAGACACTTTTATTATATTCATTCTGCTGGCCTAAAGCGATTAATCAATGAAAAGAAGCATTTCAAAGGAAAGAGCATCAGAAGTCAAATATTTGCTGCGGGTCACATACAGTTATCGAATCAAATATATATATATATATTACACTTGTTTGCTCGCATTCTTCATTGTGGTTCTTCAAGGCAATATTAGACTGCGATTTTCGGTTTTTACTTAATTGAGGTTGTATGTAGAAAAGTGTTTATAATCTTAAACAAAGCATTTTCCTCGTGGCAAATAGAATATTTATGAATTTAATTCGCTGTCATCAAATTCGTAATTTAGCATCAAGTTGGAAATCTCTAATTTCTTTCAATACCACAAGACAATTACCGATCTGAAATGAAATATACGGCTTTCACCGAGCCTTTCTGTCGTCGGAACTCAGAATATTAAAGGAAATGATTTGAACTACGAATTCGTTCAGAACGCATCCGTTTCGGAGGTATGGTTCCATTTCATTTCCATCCAGTATAAATATTCTTACTTGGTCAAGGCACTTCTTTGTCGAATTTGTTCCACAATTTGAAGACGAAAAGAGAAGACATATCTTTAAGCCAACGAAACTCGAGGAAATGCCACAAGTATTTTGGTTAATTTAGCCGGGAGAGTACGGAATAAACGAAATCTTACAAAAGGATACGAAAATTGATTATTTACTAGCAAAGGTATGCTTTTGTTAGAGTCAGGTTTTCGTCCCTGAAAAATTAGAGCGCTTTTCGATGAAAGGAAATTACTTTTAGGAGCCAGTGAGAATCGAAGTAAAAGCAACGAAACTGCCCAACGCGCGAGCGACCAAGCCGTGATTGGTGTTAGTTTTGAATCTGACTGGTTGAGAGATTGACACGAGTTTCCTGTGCCAATAACAGAGCGAAGCAAAATCGAAGCATTCTTGGTTTATTTTCGACGCTCAATGGCAAATTGCTTCGTCATCCAATCTTGAATTACCAAGTACCAGTAATTCAGACGAAGCAACAAAACTTTTCTCCTTCCCAATCAATAGTTTCGTTTCTTGTCTTAACGCCGGATAAGAAAGGGAACGTCAGGGCATTCCATTTATCGGAAGTAAAATGGCTCTTGAGAGGTAATTTCTGCTGGAAGCAGCTCGTTCTTGTGGTTTCCGGAAATTGCGGTGGTTTAATTCGGAAAAAAAATTTACCAGATTTTTTTGTTCACTTAGCTCCCTATGGATTCCCTTGACATTTTTTGACATTACCTTTTTTTTCATTTCCTTTTGTAACTCTACGTTGAAGACTGAATTTGTGCCCCAGGGAAAGAAAACGCGTTGTGTGACAAGATCAAACAACAGCTGCAACTTGAAAGATGCAACCCTCTTCTCATTGTCCAAATGTTAAGGACCACTCCTTCTTAAGAACATATTTGAACATTTTCTAGTGTTTCACATTGGTTCCTACACTGTATCTTTTTCCCAATACTGGTAACAAGTTTTAAACTTCTTTTTCTACAGTATTGTTAGGTCATGATCTTCAGGGTTATCGTCCATGTTTTTCTCCTTTACCTGCCTGTTTTCTTGAGTTATTTGGTTTCTTTTTCATATTCACACAATATTTTCAACCAAAATCAGAAGGGTAAATCTTTAAGATTTACAGCAATGCAAAACGCAAAAATCATCATTTGACCGAAAAAATACAATACCAAATGTAGCAATGAGGAAAAATCAATACACACAAAATGGACAGACAGAATAGCCTCCTCAGATTTAACTTTCAGCAAGGTTTAAAGACAATTAAATCAATTCCTTTCCTATGCTTAAATTGTTTGCCTATCAAATCTGACCCTAAAGCCAACAGAGTAAATAAGGGGAAAAAACAACTCAGGTTATGGTAGTAAGTGGATACAGAAGGCAAAGGGGGGAGGGGGTAAGGTGGTATGAAACTAGCTAAGACTCAAAGTACCCACCACCCCCATGATAAAACTAATTCACTTTTTCCTTTTCCACAGCTTCGTTTTCACAAGAAAAGTTTTGCAAAGTTTAATCATATACTTGAAAACAAAGGGTAGCAAAATACTAACTTCAAAATACTAATCCAAAGTTACAGCCTTGTAATGTTCTGAATTTTTTTCGGTAGCAACGTTGTCTAGTCCATTCTAGCTTTCAGTGTCCGTGTTGTAACCTTATCTTTCTCTATCACATGAACAATGCCACCCCAACCACTGACAGCATCTCGATCCACAGCATTCATTAAGGCTTGGGAGATGGTTTCGAACAGATCATCGGGTTCGAGATCTGGTTCCCACAGAGACTCGCACATTCCATACATCTGCTCCGAGCAAGTGCCACTCACCACAAAATCTTTCGTCTCCATCGGACATCCGATCAGATCTAACGCCGCGATGTACGGCTCGTTGGTCTTCGGGTCTAACCCGGCAATCACCGGTTCCACAAAGTAAGGCCCGAATCTCCTTTCGTAGAGCAAGTTTGACACCATGCTCATGAAAGTTTTGGGCTTGATCTGACGAGTTTCTCGCAGTTCGTACAGGTTCTTGCGAAAAGTGAGCCGGTTTGACACGGTTTGCACGTCCGTCGCCAGCCCAGGAAGACCCAGAAAAAGCTTGTCACCCATTTGAAAGATTTTTTGAAAATCGCAAGACAAAGTTTGAGCTTGAATTCCTAAACGTCGATCTGCCGCAATTGCAACGCAATCTTTGCCAACCATAGCTATGATGGCGGCACCATTGTATTCCATAATAGACATGTTGAAGTTTCCGTAGGTATATCTTTAAATTGTCGAACTTTCTCTTCTAAAAAAAGTCTTTTGTAGCTAGAGCACACCACCGTGATCAAGATGGCGGCTGCTGACTAATTGAAGCGGTTACCAAGGTTCAATTGAGCGGCTACTAAGTATTTTTAAAATGCTGACGCATTCTGGGAACGAATCTGGGTGTCTGTAATCGACAAAAATACCAGAAGAATCACGAAGATTGTGATTTGCAAATGACGTTAAATTTTATAGACATTCGAGTTGAACTGAACTAGAAATCATGAGTGGATGCCTGGATGAAATTCGCTGCCCCGATATGGAGGTTGTTGTGGAGAGAAGGAACTTAATTTCGTCAGTTTCAGCTGGAACTCTGGTGAATTTAACTTACATTTTCAAATATTGAAATCAGCATCCATTCGCAAGGGAATAGGTTATGTCCAATTTGATGCAGAGGCAAAACTTATTAAGCCTTAAAACTCGTCGTCACAGAGGAATTGCTTCATTTTCGTTTTAGTTTAGCCAAGCTGAGCTGAGCTACATAAGAAACAAAAAAATTACTTCTTGTTTTGATGCTTGTTGAATGCAGAGACGCTAGAAACAAGTTGACTGCAAGCTTCAAATTAAATTTCTAGATCGCTAGGGAAAAGATAAAGAAATATAAAGGACTTTCTGGGCACTGCTATGTGATATTTTAAGTAAATTTTGATCTCACTTTAACTTAAGTCTAGTATTTAGCATGTTATGGCTTGCTAGGACTTCCCTAAGATAAGTTCTGTTTGTTAAACTAGGGAGACAACTTTCAAGTCTATCTCTATTTATTTGTTTTACCCCTTCAGACTGATCTTCAAAAAATTTGTGCTCAGAATATGTCAAAAAATGAATCACTCTTACAGAATGTAACCCAAATCTACCAAATTTAGGTATTTTTCCTCTTTTGGTAACAGAATATTATCATTTTGGAACAGAGCAAAACACCCACCCCATTAGTAATTTGTAGCCATAAGATTTCTCACAGAGAGGATTCCAACATCATGAGTCTGTGATTTTATGTCAGTTTTAACCAAATAAATTTGAGATAGAAAAGTTGGGAGAAGGCTGAGTATCTGTAAATTTATTGTCTTGACTAACCACAGTTATGCTAGAGAAAAAGTTGGATTATCTTCTTATTTTCTGTTGTTGATTTTCAAATTTGGTTTTGTTCAATTGATAGTTTTTCATTGGCTGGTGGATAATAATTGATGCTGAAGCTACCAAAGATTTTTGGCATGTTTATCACATCCCAGGTGTTATAGCCTCAATAGGACTTTTTATGTAAGTATGTACCTTGTTTTCTTTTCTCACAAAAAAATCACCTCTGATATTTTTACTTTTCAATCACTAGACGGTGGTTAGGGTCGGATGAATTATGCTAAAAAATTTTGAGCATTGTGCTTTTGAGAGTTACCCCTGAAAAAAATGGAATTAAGCTGAAAACTAGGTAAATTAACAACTTCCTGGTAAAACCTTTTGGCTGATTGTTGTGGTATCAAGACATATAAAATGTGTATCATTATATGCAGATTAAATTATGTTTTAGGGATATTGCTGTAAAAATTCAGTTGTTACAATTTTTGACCAACTAGTACTGTCATTGGTCTTTCAGTTTTCTATGGGGAGCTGTTCTTCACAATTGACTTTTATCATGTAGTCAGAAAACCCATCACTTAACCCTTTAACTCCCAAGATCTGATTTTAATTCTCCCCTCTAGCTGCATAACATTTCCTTGTAAATTAGTTATGAGAACGTGGTGCTAGATCAAGAAATATAGCAGCCTCTACCTGATAATTTTGAATATTCTCATTACCTGTCTGCTAATTAATGTATGGATATTATAGGGAAAAGTTTCATATTAATCACTTCTGGGAGTTAAAGGGTTGAACAATTGGACTTCATTGGCATTTGTATACAACCCTGAAATTGCATTTTACCTTTTTTTTTTCTTTTTTTGCTCACAGGATTAATGCTGTGTCAAATGCCCAGATCAGAGGAGAGACTTATGGCACAGGATGCATTGGACAGACAGGTATCAATAATCATTTATCTAACCCTTCCAACCAGAGAGCTTCAGTTGGTAAACAAGACTTGTGGCACAAAAATTTCCAAAACTTTTTGTTGTTGAAATTGTGTGAATTTTTCAGACATCCTCCAATTTGACAGGTAAAAATTGCCCATTAAACCTTTGGTTACATTTAAAACAATGGAAATTTGTGTTAAAATTCCTCTGCTGGTTAACCTTTGAGATCTCCATCCTACAAAATGTGTAGTTAAGATCGAGTCTTTAAGGGCAGATCTAGGGGATGAGTGCAAAGTGTACACTCCCTCCCCTCCCCAAAATGACCTTAGGCTTTCTAACATAACTAGCATTCCACAAAACTTTGTTTAAGTCACTTGTCAGTTACATCATTCCATAGTGGTGCATCTGTGAAAAATCCTGAATGCTTCCCCAGTCCTCACTAAGTGCTTTCCTGAAGGTTTCAAGTCTTTTGTAATTTTGATTGGTTATTACAGGTGCCAGAGTATGGTTTTTAAATGGTTTCTTATGGCTATTTGGAAGTTTGATTTCTGCTACCTGGATTCTCTTTGGTGCCTATGTTGTTCCAGGTACTGTTACAGTAATGATCTACACAACCTTGGTTGTATGAAAAGCAGTTAGTGATAATTCAAGGTTAATAGTTGTCTCTGGTTTCTCTTGAAATAAAGCTCAATATATTAACCCTTTACACCCTAAGATCAGTATGCATATTCTCCATACTGTTTTCTATACATTTCCTTAGGTGCTGACAACGAAATTTTGCTTGATAATCAAGAGCTCTTGTACTTGTTGATCATCTCCATTATTCTCATGACCTTAATATTTGATTCAGGGGTGAAACTGTAAGGAGAAATTAGATGCTAGTCACTCTTAGGGGTTAAAGGGTTAATGCTTACATTTTGAGGGGTTTTTCCTTTGCTTAAGGCAAAACTGAAGAACGAAATATATGCAAACTGTCTGTAAAGCTGTAAAACTGATCAAAAAATTGTTGGCTAACCCTCACATAGCTTAACTGTGCAACTGAACAACTTGGCCCTGTACTGTATTACAGCCTTTTTTGTTGGTTGAGAGTGAATTACCATTATTTTTTTCAAACTCGATTGGAGGCGTCCCCTGAATAGAGGTGTCCCAAAGGTAAGGTTTCACTGTGACTGCTTTCATTTCTGAAATTTTACTGTAAAAAGTCAGTCATAAAGTTGGTCTATTATTTTCTGATTGTTGATTACTGGCTATCTTTGCACTACATGTCGGCTTTTTAATGTATTAGACTGTTAGGAGAGGATATGATACTTATCAGTGTTATTTTTCTTACAGGAGAATCTGATCCATGGCCTGGAGTAGCAATCTTCCTTCAAAATGCTTTAATATTTTTCAGGCAAGTCAGAACATTGGTTATGAGTATCATGACACACAGGGACACACAGTGGCCTAACAATTAGGGTGCTAGGCTGAGGGGGGGGGAAAGGTCTGCATCTAAGACATGCTTATCAAGGATTATTCTAGATCCACATTTGTTTCTGAATACAAGTGACCACAAACATCTAGGAGTCATGTGACCAGACTCCAGCAGTCACATTTGCCATTTGCTGTCCACATTTGACCTTTCGGCAAGGTAGTTTCAGTTAGTTGAACTCCCTTGATGCTTTTTTTCTACCTTTTTGAAAGTTCTCACTTATTTCCTATGAATATAATTATGTGAATTGAAGTCTTATCTTAAGAACCAATCCATTTGGGAATCAAGAAGACCAATCTTTTAGCCACATTTTGTGTTTGAAACGAAGGACCCCCATCCTTTCTGTAATTCAACATGGTGGCACACATGTTGATTTTTTTCAGGTGAAAGCCAACGTCTATCTAAAAAGCTAAAAGTCTAGAAATTTCTTATTTCTAACCACAAATCGCAGACCACGGTTTGACGTCTGTGGTGAACACACCTAATGTAGATCTAAAACCCTCTAATACATTGTGTTTGTGAGCAAGGAACTTTATTTTCAAAGAGTCTCTCTCCACCAAGGGCCTAGTTGTTCAAGGACCTGTAAGCACTTACCCAAGGTTAAATTTTAGTCTGGATTTCTTTATTCCTTTACTAAAAAGCCTTTTTGGAATAATTTTTATGTGTTCTTTTAAAGGCATCAAATATTCATATTCCAGACAAAAATAATTTGACTGAATTTTCTTTTAAAGCTTTTAAATCTGAAATCAGATTTCACACTAACCCTGTGTTATCTTAACTCAGCTTTGAACAACCCAGACCCAGGAGTGTAAATGGGTAGTGGTAAATTGAGTGGGAAACTGGACCAAATAGCATCACATCCAGGGTGGGGTAGTAACACTCTTAGTCACTTCATGTGATAGAGACAGGGATAAGCGCAGGCTGGATGAGCCAGTTGGCTCAAGAACAGATTTTCCCTTCCTTTTTTTCACCTTGCTATGAAGCATTTAAACCTGGTCAATTAAAATGGCAGCAATTTTTTTGTTTGTTTAAGTTTTTAAATTTTATCTGCTCTGCCTTATAAACATTTAGCTAAATGAAACTCAGTAACAAAACAGCTAAGGGTTGGTTACAGTTCATCCCTGCTGGTACAAGACTCTGTAAGATTATTCACTGGAGGGTTGTTACAGTACAGGATTTCCATGCTTGCAGTAATTTCTTGAGTGTGTGGTTTAAAACTGAGTGATTTTTTATTTTCTACTGCTGTTTTAGAAAATGGTATATTTCTACAGATCTTCAAGCTTTTTCTCTCAGCTAATAGTTTCTTCCTTTCCTCTGCAGTGCAATTGTGTTCAAGTTTGGCCGTGCAGAGGAGCATTGGTAGAATTTTATGTACTCATCTATTGCACATCTACATTACCAGAGGCTGTAGAGCAAAAAAAAACCATCAGCAGATTTTTGGATACTTATTTAAATTTTGTATATAATTTTTTTAAGAAATTGTTAGGAGGTTTACTACATATCCCAACTAGGGGCTCCCTGTGAACTCAGTGGGATAGGGAAAGGATATTTGTGTGAAGAAAAATTATTATAAATTGTATTGCTGGCAGATTAAGAAAACTGTGAACACCTTAACTATTTTACAGAACTGTGCTAAGTTTGTGGAGAGATTAACACAAAACAATTAACTAATCATGATCACTGCTGCCCACAGTTCATTTACATGTATCTCATATCATAACTGTTTTCTTCCTATCTGGAAGTATTTCTGGTACATTCAGTTTTTGGAAGTTTGTCAGTAACCGAGTTGATTGGTTGAATTATGCTAAAAGGTGTCACCAATGATTTGTTCCATTTAATGAATAACAAAAAAACCAAAGGCAGATATGTATTAACTGTCTTAAATTCTAAAAAAATAATGGTGAAATACTGAGTTATTTTGGTGTGTTTATTAGCCATGTTGCATAGAATGATAGCTGAGCTTGCTGCTGTAGTTAGTTTCCAGTTAATGTAATTTTCAGAAGGAACACAATAAGTAAGTTTTGTTATGTTCAACTTAGGAGTTAAAAGTTCCTAACTGTTGCATGATCCCTTGCTATTGTCTGTCTAACAACTTATGGTGTTTAAATCTCTTTTTGCTGGAACAAAAATTGGCTTTTTAAGCCACAATATTAACAAAAATTATTGTTGAAACAAACCTGTTCATATTTTGCTTTGAATTATGAATATCTAACAAGTTCTTTTCTCATGATGTGTAGGTAATCATCATTATTAAAATATAACTTGATTCTGCTTCAATTGTGATTTTAATAAAATGAAAATGGTTGTGTAAATACATTGTTTTGCTGTAAGGTATCCATTCTACATTCCACAGCAAGTCATCCTTTTAAGGCAACAAAACTATATTGCTGGGACAAGCATTTTCAAGTAAATTCACCATGCACGTGAATCAAACTGTTGCTGTGATTCTCAGCAACTTGTTGCCTAAGTGTGTCTCAGCTTTGGTTTAAACACTTGGTGGAAACCAGCGATAAACTTTGACGATGCCGTCGTCCCCTGCAGCTGCAAGACAGGGACCTTGACCATCATCATCAATTGAAACAGCATTGACTGCAGATTTATTTACTTGAAGCACACAGTGGATCTTGTTAAACTGAAATGTAAATAAATATATAAAATGACCATTTGTCAAGCATCTTGGGACCTCATGTTTGAAGAGCCATTAAACAAACTGAAATTTTGGGGTTTTTGTCAACTGTTTTTTAACTATTTAACTCTTAAGCTCCCAAGATCTGATTGTTAATTCTCTCCTGTGGCTTATACCCATTTCCTTGTAAATCAGTTACGTGAATTTGGTGTTAGACCATCATAACAATTTTTACCTGATAAGTTCAAGTATTCTCATTACCTGTTTGCTTGATATTGTATGGATATTATTGGGAGAAGTTGCGTGTTAATCACTTCAGGGAGTTAAAGGGTTAATTATCCAAAATTTGATTTGTGATCATCTCTTGATGCTGCCTTACTTTTCCCTAAAAATTAGTTGAGAGACATATTGAGGTAACCCTCTCACTGATAAGCTTGTTTATTCTCATTGTCATTTAACCTTTAACTCCCAGATCAAATTTGTAATTCTCCTAACTGCCAACCATACAATTCTTATAATGTTAGTTCAGAGTATTTAGTATTGGATCAACTTACTATCCCCAAATAGCTATTTTTCTTTATTCTCATTACTTATCTGGTTGATAGTGCATTGATATTGTAAGGAGAAATTATGTCTTGGTCACTCATTGGAGTTAAAGGGTTAAGTGAACTATATGTGTCCAGATATTTTGGGGAGAATTTAAATGCTGCTTCCTTCTGGGTTAAGTAATAATATGTAAATGTACCTGATTCCCCCATTTGCCGTCGAGGTGGTAGATGTACACAGCTCCAGTAGAACTGGTTCCTACAGTGACCAAGGCTCCATGCATGGCCAAACATGTTCCACGTACAACACCAGTAGAACATGGACCAATCACTGGAAAGTTGTTCAAGATGCTGTTGTTTGAGTTACTTTCCCTAGGGAGAATAAGTGTACTCAAACAATGAAAAGATATTGAATTATAAAAGAGGGGTTGTGCATGTGGATGGCTGCCCCTCCCCTCCCCTCCTCTTTCAATTTTTGTCAATTATCAAATTAGTGGACTTAGTCTATGGACCATTTCTGTTGTCTTTCATTTTAGTGTGAGCCAGCTTAACTTGATTGAGATTGGAATTCATGAGAGACTCTTAACAGTCTGAGCTACCATCTGCCATTATTTCCTTGTTCTTTCAATTTTTATCCTCAAACAGGTTCCAAAATGAACCAAAGTAAAGACTTGGGGGCAATGAAAAGGCACCTCAGCTTAATAAATTTGGTCGATTTAGGAAATCTGGGAAGTAAATGTGTGCAGTAATGAAGGTTGCTGGTGCTGGTGGAACTGTATGGCTGTCTTCAATATTGCACTAGGAGATACATACCAAAAAAAGAGACCATTAAGAGCGGTTAGAACAAGCACATTCTGCCCTCTAAGGACAGCACCATGAACTCTGGGTAGCAAAGGGTTGGATGCTTTTAGTCTAATAGATGACAATATTTGTTGATCTGCAATGGACCTGTAAAATAAATTTAGGAAAATGATGATTGTACATTGATATTTAGAATAGGATGATGTTTGTGAATTATTGATAAATCATAATATTAACAATAATTTATGGAATAAAAAATATTTATTGAATCTCCCAATCAGGGCTTTTAAGACACAATGTACATTATAGCAAAAGCTATCAATAAATTAATCTGAGACTCCTAATTAACAATTGTGTTTCAAAGAAAGAATTCTCTTGTGTTCTTATCACCTCCAAGATCTCATTAATACCTCTCCTCACTGTCTGCCATACAATTATGATGTTACCTTTAAGAATTTGGTATCAGATCAACCAATAATCCCTATTATTGACGTCTTTTTTTATTCTCATCACTTGTCTTCTTGATATTGTATTGATATTGTAAGGAGAAATTCTGTCCTGGTCACTGATGGGAGTTACAGGGTTAACTACTTCATTGAGAAACTTCAAATGGGTTGAAAACAAAGAGGAACTTCATCCACATATTATATAGTACACCTGATATTATACTTCATGGAAAGGCCATTTAAAAAGTCAATCTATTATGAGCTGCAGAAAGTATAGGGAGATGGCAAAAAATATATGTAATAAATAACAGAAAAAATTAATTCTGAAGAAAACTGTATCATAAATCAAAGCAACTTCTATACAGCTCCTGCCAAGCTGAAGCTGGAAAATCTGTACCCTGAATTGCATCAACTTAGGAAGGATGTAGATGAATCTGTATATATATGTCATAAGCTATCACTTACGACAAAGCCAGCTTGCCATTTACTGTGACATATAGCAGAGTATCAGATCCCCAAAGTCTTGTGTGTTCCACCCAGTCACCTAAATTACTCAGTGTGTAATAACAAGTACAATTACCCTGGAGATAAAAAACAAAAAGTTCTCAGTTTATCCTTTAGAAAAATATTACATTTAATTTGGTACAGATAATGTTGTTGCAATCCAGTAGAGGTAAGGGGACCTGATTTTTGATCTTAGGAGGTCACACTCTAATCACACTGTGCTTGATAAAATGCTCATTGAACTCTCTCTCATGTATGATGTCTCTTGTGGGATTTCAAAGGACTCAATTTCAGCAAATAATTAATGAGGTCAGTCAAGGTTCTGATAAACAAAAAAAATAACAACAACTACACAAACAGTTAACTAAACTGTGCTAATGCGCCATATCCTAACAGAACAGTCCTCTGAAGCAGAGGCCAAAAATGAGTTGTCTCCAAAACTGACGCAGTTGATGGGACCATTGTGGCCATGACAGGTTGCTACAGCAACACCAGACCCTTCCTTCATGTTCCAGATTTTAACTGAGCAGTCTCTGGAGCCTGATGCAAGAAGATCATGGGGGGTATCTGAGGGATTTTTCCATAGACCTATAGAAAAGCAATACATTGTCATCATTATGATCGTTATCTTCATCATTATGATCGTTATTGTCATGTATTACATGACGTACTGAGCGCAGACAGGCTTCATGTACTCATATATGAAGTAGGTAATCAAAAAAAAAAAAAAAAAAAAAAAAAAAAAAAAAAGAAGAAGCACATGGTCGATCAGTGTGTAAATCTTATCTGTACGAATCCAAGGCATAGTATATGCATTAGGAGGATACAACAGTTATCTTCATCATTATGATCGTTATCTTCATTATCATCTACAGCGTCATGGGTCTCCTGTCATACAAGGCTCAGAAATGCATTTGATACTGTCTGTTCAGGATCACACCCTTGGGCCACTGTTTAAAACATGGTTGTCAAGAAAAGTCATGCATGACAGCTACACATAATATTCAAGAAATGCACAGATTATTATTAACATTTATTTACATCATTGCAACCAATGACTCAATTGCTTTTAATAATTGACAGGGGCCCATAACCTTGAAGCAAGCCTACATGATGATGCTTTTACCTAAAACTAATCCACGACATTGCTATGGTATACTAAACAAGGAAATTATTCAAACCTGGTGTTTGCCTCAAGGATATGGAGGTTACAGAATCAAGATGGCCTCTGAGAACCAAGACACAACATCCTGTCCACCCGTCCCAAATACAAATGACACCATCAACACCACAAGTCACAACTCTGTCCCCAGAGAATTTCACATCCAGGACTTGGCCTACAAATTCGAGAAAACTTTTATCGATAAGTTAAATAGTAAAACAAGAGAGAAAGAATTCTACCATCATTCTGCAAGCAAAAGAAGACTTGCAACTTTACATTGGTCAATTCTAACATTCCTATCCCATCCTTAGTCTATCGTTAGCTGAAAAGAACCCAGGTGCATTAGCCCTTCAACCCCTTGATTGTTAAACAAATTCTCCTTTTCAGAACCTTAAGAAATTTACAGAGAAAGTATGGAGAATATGCATATTGATCTCAAGGTGTAAAGGGTTAATGCCACTACTGCAGTTGTAAGCAGCAGTTCCCTTAAGAACGCTGACACAATGATCCAGCCAAATTTGAAACCAGACCTCTCAAAAACAGAATCCAGCAAGAAGTGAGACTAACCAGCAGGTTACTGCTGAGACAGTATTTGTTCTGGTTAGTTTCGCTCAACACTATGCGATTATCTACCATTGTTTGAAAGTCCCTCTATTGTGTTAATTATTGCATTCACCATGCTTCCTTCACTGAAACATTGGCAAGGGTGGGTCCCACATACTGGGCCTTGTTAGAGGAACACCCCTGATTTGGTCTAAGGCTGCCTTCTTCATATTCACAGCTAACCTCTGCAAGGTCACTCTGCAAACTGTCACCTGAGGACCCACTAAGCAAGAGTTGTTACTTTTTCCCAGACACCAGAGACCAAAGATCTCTACTGATCCAGCTGTTTTCAAAGTGCAGCAGATGCATGCGTGATTATTTTCCTTTCTTAGCATACATTTCCCGTGGCAGAATTGCCTTTGCATGCATAAGATCTAGTCGAATTCTGCCATACTCTGCAGACTGGCTGCAGAGACAGGATATATGTTTGCAGTTATGGTTTCTGTCATAGGAAGTGACTAAGAAAATTACTACTCTTAGCTTCTTTGATGGGATTCTAATTCATCACAGCAAACCCCAGGCATTTCTCTACACTAGCTGAAACTATGCTTACGGTCTTTTAAGCCCGTAAGCAAAGTCTCAAAGAAGCATAATTATCAAGCTAAAAATGCCGCCGGCAAACACGTCTAACCTGAATGTCCTTCGAGTTCAGTTATCATACAAGGCCATTTTCCAATATGACGGCTTCTGAACCACCTTTGATAAATGGCCTTCCAATCGATGTTGTAGGTTTTCTGATAGCCTTCCTCACCAGCAGCACTTGAATGTCCAAGATGGTTGTCTGAGAATATTGTTCTATCTCCAGTTATTTCTACAAGAACATCGTATCCAATATCATGAACACAAGCTTGTCTCCATAACTGTTTATATTTAGGCTGTGCGTGCAACGCTAGCCATGTGCGGCAGACTTGCCTTGATTTAGCCAAAGAAATCGCGTCTAAATGCTTCAGAATTTCGTCTATAAGCTCCAAAGGTAGTTGAGAGAAGTTCATTAGGTAAATTGCCACACAAATTCTCGTGGGATGCGCTCTCTTCCAGACAGCCGCCTCAACGACGGCATTCTAATGTGCAGTTAAAGAGGAATCAGTGGCTTGCAAATAACTAGTTATTTAAATTGAGACCTTCACCAATAACATCTTTCCTGTCAATTTGAAGAACCTTCCGTAAGTGGTTGAAAATTCAACGAGAATGCAGAACCATTTTTGCGAAACAAATTACAATCACTCTGTTATGATCTTCATTTAGTATATACTGATATATGACCACATTCAGAACATTTGCATACTTCCTACTCATTATAGTGATTTGGCTTTTCAACATGACCAAGATACCAATTACATGCGCCCTGATTGGTCAAAAACCCATCATTTACTGTACCGGTAAACCCGTCCATCGGTTTTCTGGCATAATAACCCACTTGAGAAGTTGGGAGACCATTCGAAAAAATGATTAAGCCCTCGCCTCAGGCCCGTCGTCCAACTTCCCGCGTGGGTTATAACGCTGAAGCGTATTACTTAATTGTCTGCAATATGGAAACTCGCTACTATGTTTATAGTAGATACAGCTCTCTCCACTGTTTACAGAAGGAACAACCATGTACATTACACATGTCAGTTCCGTCTGATTTTGGGCGACTCCATTGGGATGTTTCGTGCGATTTCGACGAGGAGGAAGGTGAAGGGTGGGGGAGGGGGGGGGGGGGAGTGGAGCGTGTTACGGTCCTTCTCTATTCCGATTTTGTATTTTGGACGCTAGCGGCCGATTTTGAATTTTTTTAGACACTAGTGGCCGATTTTTTATTTTGGACACTAGTGGTCGATTTTAAATTTTGACACTAGTGAGCAATTTTGAATATTTGATATTAGTGGCCGAATTTGGATTTTGGACACCAGAGGCCAATTTATCATTTTTTTAAGCCAGTGGCCGATTCTGAATTTTGGAGACTAGTGGTCGGTTTTGGATTGTGGAGATTAGTGTCCTATTTTGGATTATGGACAATTGTCATCGATTTTGGGATTTAAATGCTTGCGTTCGATTTCATTTCGGACAATAGCGTCCGACATTTCATTTTGGTATAGATCTGAAGATAAAATTTTTTCAGTTCTTAACGTGACACTACAAAAGACGATAGGCATCTCAAGACAATTTTACGACGGCACCACCGAAGCGTAATTTAAATCAAAACAATATCAATCCGTGTTTTCTGCACATCATGAAAACTTTGAGGAAAATTTTTCACTTTGAAAAGAGAGCAGTTTGTGAGAGGGCACTTTGAAAGAAAGCATTTAACCGTTTGAATCAGCCGCTTATGCCCAAAAAGGCCGTTAAATTTGCGAAGCGAGCAAGCTGCGGAAAACGGCGGAATATCCTGAAACGCTGATTAGATGAAATAAAAGTCTCAGAAAAATGGAATTGCAATAAAATAAGAAAATTGTAATTTGGGGCAAAATTTACTAGCAAAACTTACAGAAGCATTGCTTGGTAATTATTGGAACCTAGAGGATACGAGACCTGTAAGGCTTTCGAACTAACCCCTTAAATCATTATATTAGTGATGATAATAGGACTGGATGGAGTCTAATTCGGTCTGTAATCATACGAGTGATAACAAAATCGCACGACCCCGCAGTGGGAGTCTGATTTGTTTATCACGAGTATGATTACAGACAGAATTGGACAACACGTAGTCTTATTACCAATGAATCATAAAAATTACAATTTCCGAGAAAAGGAGAATTACCAAGTTATGAAAGAAAGGGAAAATTTTCATTAAAAGACTGACAAAGGCGTAAGTTGTTTAATATCGTTGATGATTGAAATCGACGTTGTGATTGGTCGATTTAACCTACAACTTTGAATGTGATTGGCTTATTGAACTGTCCGATAACAAACTGTCCAATAACAACTTGGCAAGTGAATTAGTGGAAAATAGGAGTTTTTTTTAAACCAATCACAATCAAGGAAATTGTAATTTTTATGATTAATACTGTTATCAATCATTATGACTATTGTTAATATGATAATTTGTTACTATTTAATTAACGATTGAACGTCAGTTAGTAACTTTATTCGTGAATTACCTTTCTCTTGTACAACAAGATTCTCATAAATATATAGGATATGGCAGGTTTTCTGTTTTGCATGTGAAAACAACTCTTCGCCAACACTGCCTTCTAGCATCACTATACAACCTCTAGTTCTTTCCAATGGTATAAAAATTGTGCTCTATCAGTAGCCACATGCAGTCTTAAACTGCCTATTTTTACATCACTCTCTTCAAAACGATTTGGCTCCACACATTAATCTTCCCGTAAAATACACTATATTACCAAAAAACTTATCATACATAGGGCTTGATGTATCACAATATCTACATTATAAAAGATTGATTTATCTTTCGGTATGAAATTCTAAAAACTTGGTCTATACAAATTTAGCCAAAATTTGTTAATTACCTTGGAAATTCTGACCTAAATTTTGCGGTTAATCTTTCTCTTCAAAACTCATATCACACAGAAGAAGAAAGAAGCAATGGAATCAATTTTCATTCAAACATTATACCACTTTTTTGTTAAGAAAATTTTTAGCAAAATACCAGTACATAATCAAGAGATCAATGGACTGCTGTGAGAGAACCATGAACCCGGAAATTACGCAGGAAAAACTCCACCTTGCTAAAGTGGAAGTTAACCAAATCGGTGAGTTATAAAAAATTGTTCGTCACCAATCGATAAAATGAATTAACCCTTTCACTCCCAAGATCTCATAAGTAATTCTCCTTAGTGTTTCCCATACATTTCTTGTGATCTTATTTCAAAGAGTTTGGTGTTGGATCAATCAATAATCTCCTAGTTGATAATTGTTTTGATTCTCATCACTAATCTGCTTGATACTGTTTAGAAATTGTAAGGAGAAATTCTGTCTTGGTTACACATGGGAGTGGAAGGGTTAACAACTACCAGCCCTCAAATGACGAAATCGCTTCCATGACAAGTCTGTATTGAAACCTGCTTTAAAACAAAGCGTTAATTTTTCCCGCTATCGACTTTCCCTGCTGACCATTTTCCCACAATTCATTTTTTCCCTGTGGTTTATATTCCCACAGTCATTCAATCACAATTATGTAGTTTTTCTCGCTGTCCATTTTTCTAACGTTACATTTCCCATAATTATTTTCCCCTTTAGTTTTATTATATCAGAGTTCCATTCACTAAATTGTTTTAGGTTACACTACTGTCAACCTATCGTACACAAAGATAATTTCCTTTTCTTCCGTAGGAATTACAAGCGCTCGTTTTTGCTGACTCTCAATGATAGGATCTTTGATACACTGAATCAGCGAAAACACAACAGCTCCGCAGATGGTCGGAGCGCCGGCTAAGAAGAATAAATTCCGATAGTTGCCTGTTGTTTCACCAAACCATCCTGAGGAACCGAAAAAGAGGGAGTTTCATTCAAATATTGAATCATTCATCTTCAAAATGGTTTTTTTTCACAGCTCCAACTGCAGCAGTTATGAGACACATCTAGCTCGGAGAAGAGAAACTTACGAACGCCGACCAACTCAGGACCAACTCTGTTAAAATATTAGTCTTACTAGGAAGTCATAAGAAGGAGGACAGCTGCCTGATTAACGAGCAAAAAGGACGTCGAATGATCATTCATGGAAGCTTTAATTTAGGACTAATTTCAACCCCGAGAAAACCGTCCCGAAGAGAAATGGGATACAGAGTCTGGTGAAGTCAGAAACCCGTGACGTAACGCAACCTCATCCCTTTGAAGGGAGACGAGATCAGGACTGAATCAGCCAGGCTAGTTTCTAGGGAGGGAAAGGGCCAAGGAGACGAGGTTAAGTTCACTCTTACCTGCTGCTGGGGCACCAACCAACATAGAAAACGACATGATCATCAACACTGCTCCCCAGGCTACTGACATCTTTTCACGGTCCGTACATTCAAACGTCACAATGGACATGAGCCCGATAAAACAACCATCCAGCAGTCCAAGTACAACCACATATAATACGAGCATGTCATAACCCGCCGAGTAGATAGCGAGAAGAGGAGAAAGTCCGGAAAGAACCATGCAAATATTGTATAACTTTATGGTGTCCACGCGAGGAATGTCCGAGATTTTTCCGAAGATAATCTTTCCGACACCCGAACCAATTCCGATGTAAGAAAGCAAGAGCGAGCCATCCCGATGTGAGGAGCCCATCTCTTCGGCGACGCGAACCTGAAACAAAACCAAAGACAAACTCAATCAAAGTTGTGACATCAATGACTGAACTCTCCACAATGTTGGCTGAATAATTCTTTCAAGCAGTTTCCGGAAAAATGTAATGAAACCAGTTGAATTAATTCATACGAAGATTTGTGAGGTTGACTTTGGTACTGAAAATAAATGTTAAATTGAGTTTTAAAAGTATTGCGACATTTTTTTGGTTCGAATCACCTCGCCCTTTAAATTGTCAAGAAACATCGCCGGCACTCCACTTTTAACTAATCAGATGCCAAGCTAAAACTAATCAAGACTAAGCACCACCGTTTCCCGCGTTCACAATTCTTTGAGTTCTCATCGGCTTCCTGTGATAATTTGCTTCGTTCTGATTGATAGCTTGCGAGCAAGCTCTCATTGGCACTGCGACATGAGCGGCGAAGTCTGTGCGTTTCGAGCGTTTCCAGCTGGTGATCTATATGGGCGCGCAACATAATTTTTTGTAGCATCTCGTGCGACCTTTGGAACTGAATTTTATCTTTTCGCGTTTTTCTCTTCTCTTGTAACATTGACAAAACGCGAGGCAGCCATTTTGAAATTTGGCGTCCTCGCTATAATCACCTCGCGTGAGCTAATTATAGCGAAATATAATGCAATCCTCGACCAATCAGAGCAGGAGAATCTCAGTAATCACCTGAGCATACAAATTCTGGAATAATCACCATTTTCTTTGGACACTTACCATATGAACATGTGGAATAAAATATCCAAATGTTGCTATGGTTGACGCAACAGCCCAGATAATAAACCAATTATTTCTAGGAAAGCTAAGAAGTTTCTTCTTAAAGGATTTCTCGAATATTATTTCTGTGCTTTTCACAAGTCTGTCCTTTCCGGTCTTTTTCTCGTCCAAAGGCTTGAACAAAAGCCCACAGACGGTTATAACAAGAGCAAGCCCACTCAGAAAACGATAGCAGATTCTCCATCCGAAGGCATCTACGATTACTTGCTGAAGTGGAGCAAGCCCAAGAGCTCCTAAATTGCTCCCAGACGTTGCTATTCCTGTGGCAAAAGAGCGTTTCTTGTCGAAATAGTACGCCACCATTACGAGCGCTGGGAGATAGCTGATACTTGTTCCAAATCCCACAATTATCCCGTGGGTGAAGTAAATTTGATTTAAACTGGTGGCGAACGATGACAGTAGAAGACCAATGCTGGTGAGTATTCCTCCAACTATAACAACACGTCTACATCCGTAGCGCTCACTGAGAAGGCTTCCGGGATAGCAAAAGAAGAACAAGGAGAACTGAGCGATGGATCCCACCCATGCTGTTGGAGAAGAAAACACAGTTAGAATTGAGCTGCATCCTACTTTTGCTTGTCTTCCCTAAAATAAAATGTGCGGAACAAGTCCCTCCCTGTGCCGTCCCCCCCTTGCCACAAGGTGTGGTCAAATCATAGAACTTGTTGATTGACTTAAACAACTTGCCCCATCATGCGTGCCATCTTATGTGCTTTCTAGGGGGGCTTTGCACGCAATCACGGCAGTAACACGACTAAGTAATTGCGTGCCATCCTAGTTTTTCCTACTTTGTTCAGCGGTCCCTCCCTATTTTGTAACAATGCACACATTTTTCTTTTGCTGCCAACTGAGGCACTGCTTTTCTAGCTTTACTTGTGGATTAGTTGGACACTGTGCACCAATAGCACTGATCCTCGATCGATGACACCTCGTTCGACAATCGGTCGAAATTTGTAGACAAGCGACGAAGTGCTGATCAACATTGGGCGATGTTCTACGGCTGGACACCCAAATCCCGCCAAAAAACTGCCCTACAAATCGTTCCGGAAATAATAAATTCATTTTCCTACCGATATCTCGGTCGACACTCGCTCGACAGCCGACGCACTTAGGTTCTTTTCTTCAGACGTAAGCACGTACGTCAGGGAAAGACGATTCTGGAATAGGAAGTCATGACACTAATCTCTTCCGCCAATCAGTAAATCAGCGAGTAGAATAACAAACGTTTATCTTCCAAATCAGAAAGCGGACTTTAAATTTCTCTGTTGCCAAATAACTGTAAGGACGTAGTCAAGGTCTTTACAGGGTTATGGTTTGCATGTATTTATACCGCCTCGAAATACTTGAAATAACTGACAGTGACTTACACATTGACACCGGGCCAATATATAATTGAATTGAAACAAAAACAAAAAAAAATCCATGCTGGTAGTAACCCACGCGTTGTTAATTTGGGAATATACAATAATTGTTGGGGAACGGGTTTTTTAGCGCAAATTTGAATTTTTATTTTGATCGAGTGAGATGAAAGGCGTGCTAAATTGGTGTAAACAACTATACAAGTGGATCATGGCGATTTAAAAATGTATCGGTGAAGTATCACAACTGAATGATCAAATTAAATATTCACCGCGGAAAATTTGTTAACAAGGAGAATTGTATGGCCCAGTTAACATCAAATTTACAAAGTATGACTGCCTATGTGGTTGAATTTCACTGTCCAAAAACGATGTAGTATAATAAACTGCAAAAAAAATTAATAAATAAACCACTTACGCCTGCTGATAACAACAAACCACAAATGAGTCGTATTTTGGTACCTGTCTTAGCTTTCGATTCCTTAAAGTGGTCGAGTAACGCAGCATATAAGACTCCCACTGTGTAATGCATTCCCAAAACCACAAATAAATCGCAGAATGCCGCACCACAAACAACCCAAGCCCAGCCACCATCTTTCTCTGTGATTTCTGCATCTTTAGCGGAAGGGAACTCTGAATTAACTGGCGCACACGCGGCGATTTCAGTCGTTGAAATACTTTGGTCCCCATCTGTTGGCAGTAGTTTGGTATCATACAAATCGTCTTCAAGTTCTTCTTTCATTTCTATTCGAGTTTACACAGAGAAATACATCTGTGCCTCGCACGTTCTTCGTTCGATTGGAATCAAAATACCCTCCGGTTCGTCTCCCCGCGCGGATGATGGCCGGTAAGTGATTGATAAGATCGTCTGTCTGAGTTGAACTTGTTGACCTCTCCCGTCAGACCCTGCAACTGAGAGATCTCTTTAACCTAAGCTCTTCAGTCTGGTTCAAATGAAAATACCCTGCACAGCTTATGATTCGCTTGTCTCTTGTCTAATATTTATGATCGCCTCGCTCCGACCTCCCTGCTCAGTTGGTAGTGGCGCCCCATCAAATAACATTGAATCTCATCAAAGCTAGAATTTTTCAGGCCCCTAGCCTTATCCGATATCCGGTAAATCATTTGATTTCAGGGTAAAATTTCCGCACAGCCCCATACTATTGTAAAACAAATCTGTTTTCCCCATGGCAATGGCAAACAGATTAAATGTAGTATGGGGCTGTGCTGAAATTTTACCGATTTCAGTTCGGTTGCCAAGAACGTTTCATTACCTTTCATTAATCGCCGGTTCACGTTTGTTCCACGTCGTCTCAATGTTAAAATAATGGTAACAATCAGGCTGGGAAAATAAATGACGACGACGATGTCCCACAGCGCGGCGGGGTGGTATGGTGGGGGGAGGGAGAAGAAGGTCTGGGTGGATGGGGGAGAAGGAGGTTTAGGTGGAGTGTCAAGGAAAATCATCAATGCTCAAACACTGTGCAAGGTTCCAAAGAGTCACCCAGCTCATAAAGCTATTAAGATATTTTCTATGAAAAGCGTACCCTGTTTGGCATCATTTACCCGCATAGTACTACTAAGGATCTCTCTCTTCCGACCCCCGACCCCCGACGAAGTGACGTAACATCTTGCGGCAAACACATGACAACTTGCTTTACGCGGATTAATACTTATGTAAGGTTTGTAAGGGTTGGTTCATATCTAATGAAGTCCGACAGAGAAGCCAGCTTCTTATATTAAGGGGAACTGTAGCCATAATATTGATATTAGTTTTGAAAAATAACGATAACAATAACACTAACAATAGTTACAATCAGTATCAACTGATTGATGGCAGTTAAGTTTCTTATTTCGTCGCTGCATTTTTAAATTAACAGAACAATAATATCGTTCGATGTCGTTTCGATTTTCGGGAAACTATCTCGAAATCTCTCTGTGAATCAAACGCGGTTGTACGAGAGAAAAACCAGCTGTTTATCCCTTGCTGATTTATCACAAGATCGTAAAAACATCGACAGACTACGCGAAAGAATCGGCTGGACTCAATGATGCTTTCACAAGAAGACAAACAATATCTTTCTGATGCAAATGAGCTGGACTTGTTAATCCGCATGACACTCATTAAAAATTTACGAGTTTAACAGGGGAGGTGTTTTCTGGTACTGCAAGTCTGTCAATTATTTTTGACGAAATTACTTAAGTTACATTCTCCTTGAATCACAGGAAGACCCGAATATTCAAAGGAAAAGCTTTCACTGGCTGGCAAAGTCTCAAATTGGGTGCACTATTCTTTGTCTTCATAGCAAAAGAATTTAAAATGAGTACAGCATTCCCATTGGAACTTCACGCTTTGTTTTATAGGAATGTTTCATGTTCCTGTCCAATATTTTACTCCAACAAAGGTCTGGATGGCAATAAAAAAATAATGTTGTCATAACAACTGTCAGTCAAGTTAAATCTTGCTATCGTGACGAGTCAAGCTTCAGGGTTTTCGTTGGGTCTTCATGTTGGGTTTGAGGATGTGGAATTAAGTTTTAACAAGACTTCTAATGTAGTTCTTTTCCGAGTAGGCCCTTCGTCATAGGGCTGTGCATCCAGACCGTCGAAATCTGTTGACTTGTCGGTACGATGACGGGAACCCGAACTCATCTTTACCAGCGTGGTACATTTCGGAAATGCCGGTTAACTTCGAGTCGATTGGGTTTCATTCTGATTGTTCTTAGCTTTATTTGGGGAATGTATCTCATTCAAGTGCAACTGAATGAAAGACAATCGCAGTCTGAATACTTAAAGGAGAAAATTATTGCATTATCGAAGGAATACATCGATGCAGTCGCGAAGGAGAAAGGCTTACATTCATCGGAGTTAGGAACTAATGGTAGGTGGACTTCACTTCCTGCACGCGCGCTGCTCATTAAAGCAGGTGCCTTATTTCGCTTACAAACAGATTCTCGGCAAGCTTTGCGGTTGTTGCATCCAGAAACGTTCGGCGAAGTAATGCTTTCATCTTTTATTTTCGTTACCGAGTTTCACGGGTTTATTTAATTTCTTTAGAAGAAAATTAGCCTACTAAATATTTATATAACGCTTTTATTTTTTGAGAATAATTATGAAAGTTTCTGTCTTTATCTCCTCTTGGAAACTTCTTTCGCTGTGAAATTGATACAGTTTCCTGTCGAGATATTTAGAACATTATTCTAACGTGCATTCTTTCGACTTTGCCTTCTTTCGAATTTGCCTTTTGCGCTCCATTATACAAGAACAAAGTTTAATCTTCATGTGTTAGATGTATAAAATTATGAACCTTGAATAGCACAAAAAAATTGGACAAAAATTGGTTAAATTTAACCTCGATTGTTCGGCATATGATCAAGCGAAATCGAGCGGCATTTTCCCGTGGTTATTGAGGTGCAATAAGATTACTGTTTTGGAGGAATACAACGGTCAATATTTTTATTGACATTCGTTCGTGATCAATATAGTCGTGGGTGCAAATTGCCTGACCAACATTTCTCATCCAAATAAACTCAGTCACATGGTGTGAACACGCAAACAAAATAAAGGGCTTCCAAGCTTAAATGATAACCATTTATTTTCTTTCCTGCCAAAACGTTTTGCCATTAATGTACTTTTAATACGCTCAGGCAGAGGAAATATTGTTTTTTATGGTTTTTGTGTATTCTGGTAACTGCCAGGGGCAATTACCAAATATAGGCATGCATAGCAGACAAGAGTTATTTTATTGGCTGGGTGAGTGGAGAGGGAACAAATTGTGTACATAATCTTATGCACATTTTTGTTCAAATACATTACATCACGCTGAGGTAGTTAGTAATAATGCCTGAACTGGCACAATGTCCTCATTGGGTTAAATGAAGACACAATCTCTCTGGAGAAATTGTGACATTTCTCTGCAATACACCCAGTAAATACAGGCTTTTAGATGGCTACATTTAGATAGCAAGTTTGAAAAGATTTCTGTATAACCCCACAATTTTCTGAAACTAAGCTGAAGTCTTAAAAGCAATAACTCTTTTCATCAAATGTCACATGTGATGAAAACACATGTGACGTGTGTTTTCATGCATATGCATTAAAGCACATGCAATAAAACACATGCATAGAGGTGCACATGCGTGCAGTTCCCATAAGTTTAAGCTTAATCTCTGTGCTTGTTACTATCTTACCCAAGGTTAAAAGTGGCATTGTTTTTCAACTTTTCTGAAAAAAGTGCCATTTTATCTTTACTTGTGTTGTTGCTATTGTTCCAAAAAGTGAGAACTCAAAAGTTCTTGACATGTGCAGATGTTTGGGGATAATTAGTTGATCCAATACCTAATTCTCTGAACTAATATTACAAGAATTGTATGGTTGACAGTAAGGAGAATTACAAATTTTATCTGGGAGTTAAGGGTTAAGTACATATGGTACCTATAGTTCTTTATTAACAGACCATTTCACATGGCTACCTTTAGATGCAAATTTGTTTTCCCATGGTCACGATATCTCTAGTTGTACAGTTTGCTTCTTGAGAGGTATTTTATAAAATAGATTATCTTAAAATACCTTCCACTGATGCAGCACACAGTTTCTTTATAAAGTTGCCCCTTTTATAATTTTTTTCTACAGGGGAAGTTGAAGTCCGTGAGATGAAAAAGGCTACTGCAATTCTTCTTCAAAATATGCTATCAAGGATAAAGAATCTTGAGAAACAAGTTGAAAATGTGATCATAAACAGTACTTCGGAATTCCAGCATCTCACAAAAGCCATCAAGTCCCTAAACAGAACAATCAATAATATTACAAGAGTATCAGGTTAGCAGGAAACTATTTGATTTTAGGACCTTACAACATAGAGAGCAAAATTAGTTAATGCTGATGTCATTAATATTTTGTTAATTTCCACCACAGGAATATTATAGCAGACAGTTAAGACAATTATCAAAATAGGATTTTGAAGACGAAAGGGTCAAGTAGGCCTGTAGTGAATGAGACGATCTATTAGAGAGTCTTACCTCTAATTGGCCAGTTGATTGCTTGGCCTGCATGTTGGTGCAGTCAGTCAATCAGTAAGTCAGTCAGTCAGTTGGCCAGTTAGTCAGTCAGTCTTTCAATCAGACAGACAGTCAGTCAGTCAGTCAGTCATTCAGTAAGTCAGCCAGTTGGTCAGTCAGTCAGTTGATCAGTAAGTCAGCCAGTTGGTCAGTCAGTCAGTTGATCAGTAAGTCAGCCAGTTGGTCAGTCAGTCAGTTGATCAGTAAGTCAGCCAGTTGGTCAGTCAGTCAGTTGATCAGTAAGTCAGCCAGTTGGTCAGTCAGTCAGTTGATCAGTAAGTCAGCCAGTTGGTCAGTCAGTCAGTTGATCAGTAAGTCAGCCAGTTGGTCAGTCAGTCAGTTGATCAGTAAGTCAGCCAGTTGGTCAGTCAGTCAGTCAGTTGATCAGTAAGTCAGCCAGTTGGTCAGTCAGTCAGTTGATCAGTAAGTCAGCCAGTTGGTCAGTCAGTCAGTTGATCAGTAAGTCAGCCAGTTGGTCAGTCAGTCAGTTGATCAGTAAGTCAGCCAGTTGGTCTGTCAGTCAGTCAGTCATTCAATCAGTCAATCAGTCAGTCTATCAGTAAGTTAGCCAGTCAGTAAATAAGTTAGTCAATCAGTTGTGTTTGTGGTATGGTAACTAATATTGCACTGACTGAAATTGCAGAAGAGGAAGGCTGTTACATCCCAGATAACCCTGCATATCCTGAATGTGGCAAAAAAGTAAATGTAAGTATGTTGCAACTGTTTGTTTTACAGAACTGCCTTGAAATAAGTGACTCTTAGCTGTGCAGTTGATCATATTTAAAAATCATTTGCAGAGAGCAAAGTGAATATTGTACAATTAATATAAGGTCATGAGGGAAACAGTTAGTTTTGTTCTCCTGAGAGTCCTGATGTTTCCCGAGATAAAGTTGAGGGAAAACAAAACTAACTAGTTTCCTGAGGGACAATACATTAACTACTTTGTTATATATTTAGACTTTCCCTTAAAAAATCATATGGCTAAAAAAAAAAAACAAACATGCTGTTGTATTCAGTGTGTGGGCAACAATTGCGCAATTGTATCCTGGTCGGAATACATTTGAATTTGATCAAGAATCAACCAATCACAGTGCTCATTTTGTGGAGTGAAAGTCTAGATATCTAAGAATGTTGAATAATCCAGAAACGAAGTTGAGGGATTATTCAACATTTATTCATTTATTGAGGCATTAAAATTTATTGTAGACTTACTCAGCTGCGCCTCACAAGCCCACAACATTTTGACCAATGCGATGATGAATATTATTGTCCATAAGAGTACAAACCAGGCTAAACCACTGTCAATTTGTTAATTAGCTTTTTGCTATCTAGTTTTAGTGTATATGAAATTTGTTTTTTTTAATAGTGGATTAGAGAGCACTGGAAATCAGACCCGAAGTTTATTAAACATGGTGTGAATGACAGTTTATGTTCTATCCTCAATTATCTCAGTGAGGTATGTCACAGATTTGTTAATTCTCTTCTTCTCTCAATTGCATGTTTGGTAGGATTTATCTTTATTAACAAAACTTATGTGGACAATGTGGCTGGAAATTACCCTGGCAAGCTTACTTCTTTTCTTGCATCTTATAGACTTTAACCCAGTAAACTCCCTAGATCTGATTGTTAATTCTCCCCTCTAGCTGCTACACTTCTCCTAGAAAATTAATTGTGAGAATTTGGCATTCGATCAAGATATCAACTTCTTAACCTGAATGTTAAGTTTGAGTATTCTCCCAACCTGTTTTCTGGCAAATCTTTGTATACCACAGGGAGAAGTTACATGTTAATCTCTTCTGGGGGTTTACCTTGTTGTAGTCCATCTCAGTGCAATTATAAACAGTCACAGCTTATTTATTGATAGGAGTAAAAATGAAGATAATTTTCTTGAATTGTAGGTTGAGCATTGGTGTCCCAAAGATTATAAAGGTCATAAAAGAAAATCAGAGGTGGAGAAATGTGTCATTCCATCTGATCCTGCCTTTCCACACTGCAGCGATAAAGTCCAGGTATGTTATGATATTTTGTTAACATGAAATGATAGAGTTTATGTTTGCAGGCATAAATGTGTTTTGGGCCTAACTTAGACTCATTTAAGCCTGAGCTTCAAGGTAGTGGTCAACATGACTCTGAGAATGACTCAAAACATATTTATGCCCATGAAAGTAAACTCTTTTAGTATTAGCATCACTTTGGAGAGTGTCAAGATTATAAGAACTGAAAAATGCCAACAAGACAGTCTAAACAATCATGCAAGGGTGCAAGAAGGCTGAAATGCATTTCTGCCTGCCAAAATCTCCATGTTAGTCCGCAAAATGCACCACATTGCTGGACAAAGTTATAATAATGTGTTTTTGTGGTGCTCAGTTCTCTTAATGTTTCATATTATTGCTGTGTGTTCAGTGGATGCAGAACTTCTGGCAATCTGACATGAGGTACGCCGGTCACGGGGTGGATGGAAGTCTTTGTTCATTTCTGAAATATCTGAGTGAGGTATGAATATTTATTGATATTAATAAATAAATGATAATAATATGTGAGGAGATATTATTGATCCAGATACATTTCTGGCTCTGTTGTGTTAATAGTAACTGAGACATCTGCTCATGACATGATTTATACAGAATGTGGCAGATTGCAGTATAAAGAAATTTGAGTTGAAAATGAATCAAATTAAGATTCAAGGCAGCTGAGTTTAATTGTGATTTTGGAGGGGTTTAATGCAGCAGTTATTCAAGTGCAGGATTCATTTACAATCATATTTTTCTTAAATAACTGAATCACTGGTGTTTTTTGGTGTGATGTCTCACTTTTCTCTTATTAATTTCCCTGGATAGTGTAGATTGTTTAGTTGTACTTTAATTGTATTGGATCAGTTGATCCAATACCAAATTCTCCAAAATAACATCATAAGAATTGTGTGGCAGGCTACACAGTGAGGAGAAGTGCTAATGAGATCTTAAGAATGAGAAGGTTAACCCATTAAAACTTAAGAGTGCTTAGCATGTTATTTCTCCCTGTGATATCACCCCTGAATCAAACATTATGGTCTCAAGAAGAAAGGAAATGATCAGCGACTGAAAAGCTCTTGATTGTTAAACAAATTCTCCTTATCAGCACCATAGGAAGTGTGCAGAGAACAGTATGGAGAATATGCATACTGATGTTAGAGTGTAAAGGGTTAACAGTCAGGAGTCACAGGCCTAAACATCACCTCTTGTTACTGTCTCATCAGGTGGAGAATTTCTGTCCCTTACGTAGTGGTGGACATGTGAGTAATGACTGTGAAATCCCAACTGACAAGAAGTTCCCAGAGTGTCCCAGCAAAATTGCTGTAAGTTTTCAAAGCTGCTACTGATTCTATTTAATATATGTGCTTCAGTCTATCCTTATTAAAATTGCCTCCTACTGCGTGATGTATTAGTAATTGGTATTTAAACATGCCAATATTGGAATTGTTTGGGATGAATATTTATAAATACTTTTTTATTTATATCTAGTGGATGAGGCAGTTCTGGAAAACTGATAAGTGCTACAAAGAGGACCATGGTGTCAATGGAAGTATCTGCTCTTTTATTGTTTATTTAAGTGAGGTAGGTATTTTCAAATGTGTGTTGCATTATGATAGGGTGTATGGTTTTTTGCGTACAAGTTAAATAAACAATAGGCTGCACTTTCCTATAGTTTACTGGTGTAATAATCCATGTGGAATTTTAGAGGAACACAAGAAACATGTGTAACTCGCTAGCCAGTGGCAATGATGTATTTAACCCTTTAACTCCCAAGATCTAATCAGTAATCTCCTTACTGTCTGCCATACAGTTCTTGTGATGTTAGTTTGGAGAATTATGTATTGGATCAACTTATAACCCCCTGACTGATATTTTTCTTTATTCTCATCACTTGTCTGCTTGATATTGTATTGATGTTGTGGGGAGAAATTCTCTCTTGGTCACTGACGGGAGTTGAATGGTTAGACTTTTCTCATGCTCACTCAACATCATAAGTGCGTTATTTCACCAGTAAACTGATAGAAAGTCTGTTACTTTTGTAAGATAAACTTTCAATTTTCTACGGGTTTCCACTGCAACAAGTCATAGGTTTTTGACCAATCAGGGTGCTAGTTGTAAATAAGCATCTCAATTATTTCATAATGTCAGGTTACGGTAAGTCTGGAAATATGACAGTGTACTGGGAATAATTTTTAACATAACTAGTTGCATGGTAATAGTGTTTGGAATATAAATTCAGATGTAAATTTTTAGGATGTTTTAGCGCTAACTATTTGTAACTTTTTCTTTGATTGTCAGGTGGAGAGATGGTGCCCTTTATTGCCAGGAAGAAGAGTGCCAAGTGATTTACCAAAATTAAACCAATTGGCTGTAAGTTTGTTGACATTGAAAGTGATCAGTTGATTGGATCTAATTTCTAAGATTTTACTGATATTTTAATGTGTATAGGATACCTCAGAGACATTTAACCCTTTAACTCCCAAAATCTCATTAGTAATTCTCCTTACTGTCTGCCATACAGTTCTTGTTATGTTAGTTTGGAGAATTTCATATTGGATCAACTTATAATCCCCTAACTGATATTTTTCTTCATTCTCATCACATGTCTGCTTGATATTGTATTGATATTGTAAGGAGAAATTCTCTCTTGGTCACTCACGGGAGTTAAAGGGTTAAGTGTTTCTTACTTCTCATCTGATCATCATTAACCCAGCTGTCTTACATTTCTTATTTTATGTCTTCTTATCACCATTCTGCTTGAAATTATATCAACTTTACAGAGAGAGAAATTCAGTTTTGGTCATTACTGAGAGTGATTGGGTCAAGCGAACTTTATAAAATTGTCATCACTTCATGTGAATAAAATCTAGATATTAGCTCTACAGATTGGTTCATTTGGTTTGCATTTATGTTTTTTTTTCTTTTATCCTGTTGGCAGGATGTCACAAGGACAAATGTACAAAGCCTTTTGAATCTCTTAACGGATGAAAAAGGTCTGAAATTTCGTTGGATTAAAGCAAGGATTGTACAGATGTGGCCTCATTGGCAAACAGCATTTTCAGCCTTAAAAATCAAAAGAGATTTCTCAAAAACAGTTAAAAAGAAGGTAAATGGATTTAAGCCTGGTTACAGTCAGGAGACATGCCGCAACTTGGCACAGGCTCTCAATGACAATTCACTTTTCATCACTGAGACAGTGATGAAAATCAATTAAACATGTCACACAAATTTAAATTTTCTGTTTGTTGGTAGTAGTTTGGATTTGTGCCATGATGGTGTTGATAAAGTGAGTCAGAAAACATAAGTTGCTTGAAGAAGAATGGCAGAATGTAGTCGAAATGTCGCGATCCACATCCCAAGTGACCACATCTTTAGGCAAATGATTATATTTCTCTTTTGAAAATGAGTTGGAGTGTCGCGCTTTGAGGAGTTCCTCCCAGAAAGCTATAGCAGTAAGATTTTAACCTTGAGTGTACATCTTTGGTCACCAAAAAGTTGAGCTGGGAGTCCTGCAAGGCAACCAATAACTTAGGACAAAATGGAATGAATGAAGTTGTATTACCAGTAAATTCAAAGTATTTGTTTAACTAAAGGTTGGATACCAGACACAACTCCAGTACTTGTAAAAGAAACAACAGCCATCTGGAACTGGGTGGAACGTGGCTTTGCAATTCAAACTCCTGCATTGTCACCTGAACCAAAATAGTTATCATTTTTCTTAACTTCGCCTTTCAGATTTTAATCCATATTGGACTGTTGTCAAATGAAAACAAGCTTCACTTTGCCGAAGAGGCTGGCAAAGGTGGTCCGTTAGGGGAGCTGGTTCAGTGGAGTGACTTGATAACTTCCCTTTACATCCTTGGACATGATATCACAGTCACTGCTGATTTGCTCTCTGCAACAAGGCAAGTTTGCTCTTGAACTCCCATGATCCAATTAGAAATTCTCACCCCTGACTGCCATACATTTTCTTTAAAATCAGCTAGGAGAATTTGGTGTTATATCAACATAACCCCCTTTTAAGCTGATAGGCGTGTTCTTTTAACTTGTTTGCACGACAACAAATTTTTGGCAGCCTGTTCTTTTATATTTTATAGTCCAATTGTAGGGGTGACGATAACCTTTTCTACAGGCGGCTTTGCCCGGAAAGAGGCCGTAAATTGAAACTCAAACGCGAGATTAAGCTCGCAGTCTAAACAGAAGGTAGTAAGTAAAGGGATCTTATAGGTGGCCATAGACCACTGGGAACTGGCTTTAATGAATTCCCTGCAAGTCTGCCCCTCAAGACCTTGTTTCCTCTTGCCAAACTGAAGACACAAAATAAAGAGATTTTTATTTGGTTATAACCTATAAAGTGCATTCTTCGTTTTCTTTCACTAGCGTGATTGGGAATATTGTCAGCAAGAAGTTGTGTCCCCAGAAATTGCCAAATGATGTGGATCTTTTGTATACAGATTACATTGGCCTCAAAGAACTAAGCACAAAAATTGGTACTCTGTCTCCACAGTTCTTGTAAGTAGTGTACAACCTGTTATGAGTTGCTAAATATAAGAGATTCTCTTACTTTGGCTATTCATGTAAAGGGAGGAATTCTTTCTGTTTTTCTGAAGGTACGAGTGATCACTTGAAGAAAAAAACCTCATTACTGTTCTTGGCATCTTCCTAATTTTGTTAAGAGCTGCTTTATCAAACCCTCCATTACTTTAAAATTCCTACAGTGGTGTAGTTATTCAAAATAACACTGCCTTCCTTTTCACTGTTAAGTATTTACAACCTTTCAAGAATCTGACTTTAAAGCAGTAAGTGTCTGATTTTTGACAGTAGTGTCCGATCTAGTGTCCAATTTTGGATATTAGCGTCCAGTTTTTGACTCCAGTGTCCAATGTTATACAGTATGTCCAATTTAGACACAGTGTCCTATTTAAGATGCTGGTGTCCAATTTTAGGCACTAGTGCCGGATTTGAGACTGTTTCATCAGGGTTTCTAAGCAGAAGGAAACTAATGAAAACAGGGGGCCGGGGGCCGTAGGAGGTGTCCGACTTTAGACACTACTCACGCTACTCCAGAAAACTTTACACCGATAACTGTAAAATCACTGTTATCAGCTATGAATCATTTTCAAACGGTCTTATTCTGGTAGTATCTTTTTTTCGCTCTCCTTCTTCAGGAATCCCTACGATATTGAACCTTTTAACTTTATAGAACCAGAAATTATCTCGGAATAAGAATTTCCTTTACTAGCGTAAGCAAATGGACAAAATGTGCGGCCCTCTTAGCAGTTGACCTGACAAAACCTTTCTTTGGCCAGACCGGACTTATTTTGAGCCCAGAACCAGACCCTTACGTCACCCTTAGTCAAAGTATGTAGAAGATATCATGATGTCAAAATAGAATGTTGTCTTTTTCTTTTCAGGTGCAAACTGCGTGTGGTGGACTCATTTGGAACTGAAGCTCAGTTCAATTTTAATCTTTACAAGGAAAAACTCCCTGGAGGATCTGTAGCACCTTTTGGACGATACAACTTAAACTTGCGGCAATTTCAGACCATGTTCCGTAAGTTTCTTTTTACTTGGAGAATTTGGGAATTTTTCTGCAATTTTTTGTATTCCTTTTTTAATAGCATGTGTAAAAAAGGAGTTGACGCAATAAATTTGATCAGGTGTTGCAAATGGAAATAATTTTTTATCGGGATCAGTACTCCAAGATGTTGTTTAAGCAGGCTTAAGATTCCAAGGGTCCTGATTTGAATTCAGTTTCTTTTCAGGCTCTAAAATTTTCGGCTCAAATCAACATTTTCCCTGTGCTGTTTGCCGTTTTGGAAGCGCAATGATTTAGCTGCAAAGTTTTATACTCAAGTACTTGACATACCTCCTAACATATAATATCGAATGCAAAGCCGGACTTAGTGCAAGAGCAACTACAGATGTGAGATCAAATTGAGCTATTTTACCAAACGAATGTCTGTCATTCCTGTAAGGTCAGCCAACTAGATGCTGAATCTTCTTAAGTTTTCTTTTTGTGATGTGTTTTCTTTCGTCCACAGCCCACAGTCCAGACAACACATTTCTTGGCTTTGTTGTGAATGCGCAGCCACCAGTAAAAAACACAGTCAGAAAGTCCAGAAGAAAAGCAAAAGCTCTCGTCTATGGAAAGCATGTCAACATGTGGAAGGTAAGGACAAAAAATGTAACAATGGTACCTCCAGAAGATTAGCACTAGATATTTCGATCAAGCGCATGCATTCCCTGAGTTGCTGACAAGGAGAGTTTGTTTTACAGTTTGTTTCTTTAGTTGGTGATCATTTCCTTTATTCTCATGACCTTAATGTTTGATTCAGGGTTGATATTGCATGGAGAAATTAGATGCTAGTCACTCTTAGGAGTCAAAGGGTTAACTTCTTCCTCTCAGGCTTTTGGGGAGGCTTCAATTGAGTGTCCTTCGGAGATTCCAGTATTTCTTTGGTTTTGCTTTACTTCGTTGATTGTGATTGGTCAGTAAAACTCCTGCAATCCTCGCTACCAGTTTGATTCTGTATTTTTTGTTTTTTCGTTGCATTTTTCAAGGATGTAAAAGATAAAACCTTCCTCGAAGTCATAAACAGATACGTGGAAGTCCACGGCACTGTCGGGGGAGGGGTGAGTATTGTTGCTACTTAAAATGGCCGATTTCCCATAACAACAGTAGACAAAAAAAAAGCGTCTAGTGACATGCCCTTATTCGTGGAATATGACTTCGCACAAGTGCACTGAGCACATTTCCATCCAGAACAGCCAATGAAATCTATTTTTATAGATGGCAGTGTTTTTTCAGCTCTTTACTCTGATCACGTTTGCAGTAACAGTGAGAGTGAAAAGATTTCTGTTTCACTGTTAACATTTTTACCCGTCTTCTTCCAAAAATGCTTAATTTTTTGTGATAGAACTGCTAATACGAGCTGCTTCTGAGTCACCTAAAATTTGTGAATGCCTCAGCGCTTCATTGAGGAAATAGACCTCGCTCACCGTGGAGTCTCTGTGGCTCAGTGGTAGAGCATCGGAGCGCGGAATCCGAAGGTCTGAGGTTCGATTCCTCATGGGGACTCAGAATTTTTTCTTTGTCCCACGCTCGTGACAAGACGGAAAACATCTATCTTTATTTATTTCTTTACCGAGCTCAAAATTCACCATCTCTCTTATTTCTATCTAAATTTATATTATCAATGTATTAGTTTGTGAGGTTTTTTCCTTTGAATTTCTCCTACACTACAGAATTCGAATGACATTGCAAGCCATTTGCCAAGTTTTGTGATAAACCATGGTGTGGTTACTCCAATGGAAGTGCAGCAGCTCTTGAACGAGACAATGGTATCAATATTTAGCTTCTTTTAATCGAGTTATTTGCGCTGTGTGCGCAGGATTCCTGTCAAAAAGGTCTGGGAAAGAAACTATTCTCACAATTCCTTTCTTTCACATGAGAGTTCCATCGAACAGCAAAGGAAACCAGAATTATTGCTCTATCATTTACTTTTAATTTACTGACTTTTTGTTGTTGTTTTTGAGAGGAGGGTAGTTTTCATAGTAGTGAACGTCTTCCTTAAATGGAGGTTGTCATTTTAATTTGTGAGATAAAAAACTTGTTTATCCTGTTTTGCAGGTTTTTGTGGGACTTGGTTTCCCGTATGAGGGACCTGCGCCGTTGGAAGCAATAGCCAATGGATGTTTCTTTATAAATCCGAAGGTAAGTAAGAAACTAAGAAACACGTCTGATGAATTTCAGGTCTCGTCTCATATTGCATTTTCTTTCTTTATTTCATTTGAATTTTCATTTTATTGTGATTGCCAAGTAATGTGTTTAAAACAATCTTTTCAATTCACCACTGCCTCTTTTTTTGTCTTTTCTAGTTTATTCCACCGAAGAGTCGGGAAAACACGCTGTTTTTCAGAGACAAGCCCACGCTAAGACAGGTAAAGAAAAGAGTATGGTGTTTATTACCAATAATACCATCTGTGTCATCTAAAAAGTTGAAATGTCAAGGTAATCCTGAGGTAATGAAAAATATTTTTGGCTTATGTGCAGCAATCCTCAAATATATCCAACATCGTTTGTCATTCGCCTAATCCATCTGTTACACCAGACATCTTCGCCGTATGGTGCTCTATTGGCCAAATTCACCCTTCTTGTTTTACTTTAGAGAACCTTCATATCTTTAGGGAAAAAGAATTTTGTGAGTTAGAGAATCGGTAAATAGGAAATTTAAACGCCGGTTTCACTCGCTTTTCCAATAATCGTTGTATCAAACCTGTGGAAAAAATGCAGAAATCTCTTTTTCAATGTTAATGGGATACTTTCACTCTCGTATAAAAACGCTCTGAGGCTAGAAGTTGAGTTGTTCAATTTTTTCTGTTTACCTCGCTGTGTTGGTTTTTTCATTTTAGGTGACTTCGCAACATCCCTATTGCGAAGAATTCATCAGCAGCCCGTATGTGTACACCATTGACATGAAAAATGTGTCAGAGGTTGAACGAGTCATGAAAGAAATTATGCTGAAAGAAGTCGAACCTTACTTACCTTTTGAGTTTACTCATGAAGGAATGTTAGAAAGAGTTAGTGCGTTGGTTCAAAATCAGGTACGTGACCGATTTTTCTTTTATTTTTGTTTGGCTTGTTGCCGACGTGTTCTTCCGAACGGGATCAGGAGTCGAAAGATCTCCCGTGGTACATAAATTTAACGCATTTAATTGACCAAAACATTCGACAAATAGTTCATCAGAAACAACATGGCGGCTTCTCTAAACCTCGTGGTCGCAACACTACTCTTGCGCATGCCTTTGACGTAATGGGCCACAGACTAGTTCCTAGTCCTTCTAGACAATGTGTTCAGTTAGTAAAACAGAGTGAAGTGGCAAACTGCGCGATAGCAGTGGCAGAGCGAAAACGAGGGAGGTTTGGATCGAGTCGCCTTGACCTAAACTTCTCTTGTTTTTCACTCCTCCGCTTCTATTACGTCGTTTGCTCTCGCGCTTTGTGTAACTAATTGAACGCCTGAAATAAGCTAATTTTCGTTTGGAGTTAACGAGCGAATTCGGAACAATAAGAATTATATCTTGCAATATTTTTGTGGTTCTTTTCTTTCAAGTCACCATAGGTACACTGTAATGTCATTCACTTTTCTTCTCCCTCATCAAAAGATCACAAATCTTTTGGTAAAAACGAAAAAAAAAAAAAAAAATCGAACTCAAGTTCTGGCCAGGTCATTGTGTTGTTCTGGCCAGGTCATTGTGTTGTTCTGGCCAGGTCATTGTGTTATGTTCTTGAGTTAAACACTTCCCTCTGACAATGTGTCTCTCCACCCAGAAGAGCAAGTGATTACTTCTCTCTTACATTCTAATCAGTATTCTTTTCTTTCCGCCGATGCCTCTGTTTGTTCTGGTAGAATTTCTGTAACCATAATAATTGGCCTCCTGTAAAAGCCTTGGTAACTGTGAAAGGAGAGGCTGGAAAGTCGTGCAAACGAGTTTGTCTTTCTAAAGGTATGGGAAGGAAACGATAATATAGATTGTAAACATTTTTATAGCGGTTGGGACAACGAAAAAAAAAATATCTGTACACCGAACTGCAGAATCGGAAGGCCGATTGGTTGTGTCATGATAACATTAACCCCTCCCCTCATAAGGCTCTGCAAAATTCTTATGATCCCCCCATTGTCACTTTATTGGCTGTCAATTTTCTATGCCCCCCCCCCCCCCCCGTTTATACTCTTTTGGTGACGACTGATCTCCCTTCCGACCCCTCCCAGGCAATAAAATAATGACTATTCCCTCAGGGCTGAATCTTCGTTGGTACTTCGTGATTCTTCGTGGCTACTTCGTGATTCTTCGTGGCTACTTCATGATTCTTCGTGGCTACTTCGTGAGTCCTAGTGAGTTTTTCTTCGTCCCACGGTCGTGATGAACGGTCTTATAATATCTTTCTCTGTAGCTGTTAACGGAGCTCAAAATTTCCTAACCTTAATTTACTTTCTTTGTAGTGTTTGCATGTTATTGAATAGTCAAATGGCAGAAATAAACGGAAATTATATTTTTCCCAAATTTAAATCTGACTTTTTTATTATATTAATTTTTTTTTACAAAGGTATGGTTTGCGAACCAGAATTCTTCAAGGCAATCAACTCACGCACCTCACTTACAGAGTAAGTGCTGATCTTTTTTTTAATTATAGATCACTGATGAGGGGAAATTGATCGAGACCTTTTTCCATATAGCACACTCTGATGTACTTCGTTTGTAATGTTGTAGTTTGGTGGTATCCTGTATGGGGGAGTTCTTACTCACGAGGAGTAATGTGCCAGTCCACTCACACAAGACCTAATTCAGAATTGTTTCTCATATTTTTGTTATACCTTTTTGCGAAAACGATTGGTGAGAATTTGTTGATTAACCTGTGGTTCAGTTATTTCCACGATCTGTGTGCTAGTGTCAGAGCTAAAAATCTGCTCAACGAATATTGTAAGACATCACCTTTACTTTATTGTGCTTAAAAATCTAGAACACTTCAGTTATTTTTTTTCGTCGTTGACTCTGCACTTCAACTTTTAGTGTTAACATTACTTATTTCACATGTGGGATGATTGTGTGACTCAGTGTTAATTGCGTGATAGGAATGGTTTTCCATGTAACAACAGCCGTCTTGAGGAAGTACCATCCCTCATCGCGCCAGGTTACCGCGAGGAGCCTAGAGCCTGCATTGTCCAGACCCAATCCCTTTTGTTTAGCTGCACAGGAACGAGTCCGTCAACTATGCGTTTATGTCCGTGTAGAAAATACAAAAAGGGACAGGTAGCATTATGTGAAGACTGTTGATGGAATGAAATCTGTAATTTCGTAACGATATATTTATAATTAATATTTTCAAATTAATTTGATAATATGTTAAGTAGTTTTCTAAGATTATTTCATAACTCCACTTTTATCTGGTTTATTTATATATTATGCTTCATACGTTGAAATGTTAAAAAAATCTTTTGTAAATTTTCCTCTCTTGACTTTAAGTTATTCGTTCAGTCATCATGTGAAGTTAAAAACTTTCGGTTTTCAAAAGGGATAAAATGGATGAATATGTAAAATAACTTTTTCTGTTGCAACCATTGGTCAACCCATGGGGTAGGAAAAGACTGGTAAGCAACCATGGAGCACCATTGGGCACCATTGAGCACCATGGAGCACCATGGAGCACCATGGACACGATACGGTTCATGCGATATTTCCTGTTGCACTTGATTGATCAAAAATCACAACACAGATGAAAGTGAGGAATATTGCCTGATATTTCAGTTTTATACATGTACGTTCATTTTTTCATTTGTTTAAATTTGTAAAAAATATAATTTATAAAGGTTACGAGGAGGTGGACGTTGAGAGTTTTAGTGTAAATTCTGTTTAAGCAGTTTTTTTTAAGGACAGGGTATTTGCAGCGAAGCCCTTTGAATGCCTGGTTATACATTACCAAAGAGACCTCGTTAGCTTGTATGTTTTGTTTACCCATTTCAGGTCTCATGGGAATTCCCAGCTTTACCTTTTGTAAACTATGTGTTCATATGCGCGTAAATAAGAGGAAACTCTGTGGAAACAGTATTCTTGAGTTTTGTCACATGACCTGAATGGATTAAAAAAACATTCAAGCTAACGTGTTTTTGGATCTTGCTTATTAATGTGAGTAACTGTACTTAAATGTAGGTAAATCCACAGATGTATTAAACCTAAGTCAGCAATGTAAGTAAGTAAACAAGGTTATTAAATACTTTTGTAAATATATTTTTTTTCTTGTATAGTGAATTTAATAATATTTCTAAAAAGTTAATGAGCAAATATATTGTTAAGATAGATTTTAAAAAAATTGACATAATAACCCTTGGTAAAGAACGTGTTCTGTCGGTGTCTACCATCTTGTTTCTTTTTCTACAGCATATGATATCCTCAGACAGTGTCAATATGTGTAATGTGGTTCCTGTTTCCATTTACAACCATTGAAAGTAACAGCGTGTCACTGTACTCGGTTTTAAATAACTGCAAGCGTGCAAACCACTCTCCTCCCCCCACCCCTGACAAAAAATGTATTGATCCCTGGCGTGGATAAGGAAAGAATTGATCGCGTTTATCAGTCTTTCCCTTCCCCCGTCGGTAGTGTTTTAAACCGAGTAGCGGCTTGTGTCTGATTTGCCTTCAATGGTTGGAAAGGGTAAATAATGTTATATTTAACTTATTTTCAGTTGTAGCATTTGATAAGAATAACCGTGTATCCAAATGTTGTGCCTTTGAAAAAAAAGGCTCTGTTTCTAGTAAACTTCATTTAAAGAAAAAGGGATCATTAAAATGTTCGATATTTATTATTGTTGTTTAATCAATTGCGTGAAATCTCTACTTGTTGGAATATCAAACACATCTTTTTCTTAGGGAAAGAGCTAAGAGGACCATGTGGTGTATAATTATTGTTTCGTTTAATAAATAGGCGTTGCCTCGTGTTGACAGATTTATTCGATGACAAGAATCGTGATTGACATTAATTCAATAGATTGATTTAAAAGCGTTAGATTATTATGTTTAAGTCAGTTTTTCAGCAGAATCGAAGTGAGAAAGAAGTTATTTTGTTATCGTTTTTCTGTCTCTAAATCCGCTTACCTGGAGAATCTGCTAACCCGTAAAGTGAGACTGTTGTAACGACCCGCCACAGAAGTAAGTTTATATTGAAGTTTTTTAATTCAGTTACAAGATAAAGACTTGATTTGCGTTTGTTCTAATTGCGAATTATAAATGTATTTCTTTTAGATCGAATAATCATTAAAGCTTGGTTTAATATTATACGGTTTGTGGTGGTCACTTGATCTAATCAGTTCCGAGTAAGGAAACATTACTATAATTATCTCTTTTCAAACTTTCATAATTTCTTTCTTTCTCTTTTCCATTCTTCGCTAGCCCCCATTCCCTCCCCCATCCTAATATTTCGAGAGATATGTTCGGGTCTCCTCTCTGTGACATGCGCAGTCGTTGCTCGATCTCACGAGGTTCAGACACAAGTGAGAGGTCTCTGGCGACAACCAGTGGCAAAAAATGTCCCAGTAACTTGATTTGCAGTAGAAAAAACTCCAAAAAATTGAAAGTAAGAAATTAGCACTTTTCCTAAGCCACCCCGAGAGAGCCGGATTTATTTTGAGACTCAAAATTGTTTATCCAGTGTGCTTGTTTGTTTACCTGTGTGTTTTAAAACACTATCAGTCCACGAACTTAGTTTGTATTGCCTTGTTTACTTTTAGAGACGATGAATGACCGTTTCCTAGTTACTGAGATCTTAGTTCAAAATATTTCTTTTAATACACGTTGAAAAATGGAAATCAGTTGAACAACTCGGTTCATCGACCAATGTTCTGTTGTTAAACTTCAAGTCAAGATGTTTCTGATGGCAGGAAAATCGAAGCAATGACGACAAGGGTATGGCTTCACGGTGTCATCTTTTTTGGACATTGTTTTTCTTGGTTATACTGGAAGGATTGTTTATAGGGACTATAACGAATTGGCCCTCGCTGTTTGAAGCACCAAACTCCAGAATAAAAGAAGCTCTCTATGTGAATTCACCTGAGGCGAGTGCAGCTTATATTTTTCAAAGAAGACGACCGAAAAACATCCTTCTCTTTGTAGCTATTCTGACGCACGCGTCCCGTAAAGCAAGACGGGACGCCATTCGAGATACGTGGTTTACTGAGTGTAAACTTAGAACAGACGAGGTTTTTTGTGCGTTCTTTACTGACCAAGCGGGCTTGGAAAACGAAACGAAAAATGCTATTTTACAAGAACATGAAGAAAACAACGACCTGATTTTTCTTCAAGTCGAAGGTGAGTGGGTTGATTCGCTCATAAAAATTGTTTTTTTTTTATATATATTAATTTTCCAGCAATATAACTGGCGATAGGCTGAACTTATAACTAGATTTTCTTCAAATTCCTTGTTGAAAGAAATGGATGTTTAAATTATCATAACTCTGAACAGTACACTTTTGTGTATCTAATAATCCGGATAATCACTGACTTTTTTTGACATTCGAATTCTGACACGACGAAGCTATTGTTTTACAGAAATAAGGTTAAAGAAGATTTGAATTTTAAGAAGTGCGCGAAATCGAATTTTTGGAATTGCGCGAAAAATTGGTGCTCTATGCAAAATATGAAATATATTTTCTGGCTGCGCTCAAATTTCTACACACGGGCCCTTTTCGTATGTCGCTGCTCTGTCAGCAAGGCCAATCTCTTACAAATGAATTAAGGAGGTAAGTTTCTAAAGAAACTGCTATGCTGTTGGGGTGTTACAAGATTATATGGTTTTATCATTGATAATTTAAATTGACTACTGTAGAGAGTTTCTGAAGCTGACGTTTTGAGCGTTAACTTTTCGTCAGAGCGAACTCTTTCAAAAGTTCTCCATAATATTTATTAGTAATTTTTATATTTACGTGAAGATGGGTTTGGAAATTGAAACTTTTCGACTTCAGACTTCCTTTTTGATCACGAAGAAATCTTTTGAATCGAATGAGTGCTTTTCTGAAAATTTCAATACAGTAATTGATCACTTTTGTTGACAGATAATTTAGCCTTCACCGAAAGATTGCTTCAGACAATGGAATGGGCATCAGAACGGCACAAGTTTGATTACTTTCTACGCATAGATGACGACCATTTCCTTTGCCTGGATCGACTTCTGTATGAATTAAATTTTCGTCCAAAGGAAGCACTGTACTGGGGATTTGTGCATTGTAAACCAAAAATAGTCCGCGTGGACGAAGCTTGGCTTCTTCTCACGCACGACTTGATCGAAGAGATTCTTGAGAAGAGAAACAGTAGTCTTCTTTGCTCCCCCTACGGTGATCAGGCGGCAGCGTTATGGATGATGGAGAGCAAGAAGAATGTTACTTACTTCATGGACAACCAAAGAATTGTACACAAAAGCGCAGGAAAAGATCAGAGGTTTTTACTCGATAAGGACATTTGCCAAAAATATTTGAGTCTTCATGGATCGTACCCCAGATCTATGAGACAATTGTGGCTGTCTTCTTATGTCTTGCGCAAGGAAACTTCATTGTCTGGTTCATATAAAATCACTGAAATAGAACCGTTCGCAAAGTTGTGCCGCCATTCCCCTGTTTTTGACTATATGGGGTTCTTCCCTGAGTATAGGTTCGAGCCCAAGCCCTGCTCGGGAAACCCGAAGTGGTCCATTTCTAAGAAACCCCATGTGGGCCGAGAAGAAGCTGGGGAAAGATACTCAAAGTATAAATAATGATAATGATATAGTTATTTTGTCGCGAATTCGTTGAAAATCCGTATTGGACCGCAGAAGGGCGTGAAACAGAAGAGACGAATCTTAAAACCAAAACAAGAGAAAAATATCTTTTTTCTCGCATCGAGGAGGTTTTGGGTATCAGACGATGGAACGAAATAGGGAGAATTTCACTTTATCAGTTAAAAAATTGCGGTAAAATTTTTGTATACTCTCATTATTGCTTTGCTCAACAAATTACTCGCGACGGAAATTAAGAGATTTCTCGTATTAGTCACTCATTACGAAAAGGTCACAGTTTCACAGATTCTATTTAGTCATTCAAGCTGTTCTTGATATGTATACCAATCATATTATCTTTGTCTTCATCTTTTGAAACGCTCAAATGTCCGCAATTTTTTGAGTGTACAACATGATTTAGGTGCAAATTCCTTTCTCTCCGACCCAAAGGAAGTACTTCGATGAAAATCAGACGCCTCAATTGCTCAATACCTCTGACGTTTACCGTGCGTGAACAAAATAAATTCCAATAAACGCCGACCTTTATGAGTTTGTCAATCAAACATCTCTATGAGTGGGTTTAATCTGTATGCGGGCAGTTTATTATTCAATTACTTCCTATTTTCGTTGAGGGACCTTTATTTATTCTGTTTCCTATAGAAGTTTATTCAGTCAGATTGTTTACTTTATTGTTAGGTGTTGAGCGGGAATGATGAATTAGAACTCTACATGACTTTACTTACAATGGACGAAACCGCGAAAATTCCGATGTGTTGTTGTCAACTTGTTGCGGTCATGCATCAAACCGCGAAAACTCGAACATTTAATGCTCTGCGCAGTAGAATAAAAACGCCTTAAAATTTAATAAGTTTACTTTAAGAATCAAAGCTTTTTGAAAAGTGTGGATTAGCGCTTAAGTGTAATCGGTCTTGGAAATAATTTTCTCTTCTCGGCTTGAAGCGCGGTCATAAAATTTCCCTTTGTGATGAAAATAGTAAATAGTTTCAGCTTTTTAATTCATGTAGTAATCGCTCAATTAAGATGAAGTTTTGTCAAAGGAAGCCAATAACAGAATCAGTGAAGGGAAAATAAAAAAAGAGAAAAGAAAAAGTTACACGAATTATTCTCAAAGGCATTCAATTCCATGCTTTCAGAAGTTTTTCCCATTATAATCAGGCGGCCGCGTTGCAGTTCAATCTAATTTACATCTGTATCTGTGTGTTAATTGTGTTAGGCATTCTGCTAGTGGCCTATTCTAGAAAACAAAACAGCCCATAAATACACATACAATGTAGAATCTTTTGTTGTTTAATGTTTCGTAAAAAATGGATGGTGGTCATACCTCAGCGAGCGAGGGTCGTGTCTGCTTTTGTGCTTAAAAACTCATTTACGTTTCCTGAGAACACATGCCAGCGTCTCAAACTTTCTGAATTTCAAGAATCTCGGGTTAGAAATCGAAAGTCTGGCGACAATATCATGTTTGGCTCTACTACAGAAATGACATAAAGTAGCCGATGTGTCGTGTTTTAATAAGCTTAATCAAGAATTCTTGTATGTGATTACACCAGGCTTTTTACTCTGGGAGAGAAACGCGCGAGGCGTACGTTACATTTACCACGCAGGTAGGGATAATTTCTTAATATCTTATATATCAATGAATGATTTGTTAATGCTTTGATTGGTAAAGAAAGATCATTTCCCGAGAAAATCTGCCACGAACCCTCACAGCACAAAGGTAATTGTGCCCGCTACCATGTAGCTCAAAACTATGTTTACTCTATAAGAAGTACCTCTTAGCCTTGATGTTTTCCATTCGTTAGCAAGAAAGACGATGACATTTCTTAATCCGGAAAATGTTACTACTAAATAACGCGTTAAAACTTCGGGAAAAACCACTTCTACGGTCGATTCCTCCGCGCTTAAGACAAGTGCTGATCGTATCTGTGAGTGTTTGTGAATTCCACTGGTTCCCGAGTCAATATAAATCCACGATTAAGCGCATATCAGGAAGAGATAGACGTAAATGGTATGTTGTGGTCTCATGTAGTCTTACTTTGAACTGACCATTATCACAAATGTTCATACATTTACGTCCGAGCTGCTTAAAGCTTATTTTGAACTTACAAAAGGAAACAAAAGCATTGATAGTTATCAGTAAAAGAAGCGCCAAACTGTTCCTCTTTCTTATTGATCAGTGGTCTTTAAAACAGCATTTCATATTGTTATGCTTCAATATTCAATATTCACGTGGCTGTGTAATGAAACATAACTGTTATAGCCCACATTTTGTATTCCTTTTAATGAAGGTTTCTTGCATTTATTCGAGATTCAAGCAATTTGTGAGAACTAGGAGTAAGGCGGGTTCAAAGTGTCATCTGTTTGAGTGCTCGTTACGACACCTGAGGCAATTTCTGTAGTGTCATATCTGCGCCAAAGAATGCTAATAGATGGCTAATTGCTCTTTTGGACCCAAATGCAATGAAATTAATCACCGGTGACGGCTGTGTTGACAAAAGAAGCCTGCAAGTGTTGTTAAAAATAGCGGAACGCCAGCAGCAATATTGCTGTAGTTAATTTGTGAGGCGACCTTCATGTAGAACGGGCCAGTGGTTTTGGACAGCGTCGTTTGGAGTTTCTCTTGAATTGTGACAAATTGCTACATTGTTAGTGCTCTTTAATTATTTTCATTTGAAATTTACGAACGTACTTGTGACAAGTAGAAACATTGGAAACAAACAAAAGAAAGGCGTGTTATTAAGCTCTTATGTAAACTACTTGAAGATATTGTGGTAAAAAATTGTTTCTATGGTTTCGTGTTGCTGTTACGAATAAACACTTGAGGACGGAAAAATAACTTCCAACTCCAAATTCTTGTTTTTCTTCCGGCTTGTTTATTTTGAAACGATATATCGTGGGGATTAAAAACAATTCGATCGATCTCTTGTCTTATGCGATTATACACAAAGAAAAAAGAAACGAGATAAATCAATAATACGGAAGACTTTATTTAGGAAACGCTTATAGGTCCGCAAAGCGTACGCAAAACCTCTTGTCGCGACCACGACAGTGAACTTCACGGATTAATCAAATTATATCAAACACGATTTCGTGACCTCTCCTCCTGCTTGTTGACGTCACATGGCATAAGGCGTATACACAGCTGGATTTTTTTTAAGTTTGATATTTTAATCCATATTTGCTTTTTCACGCTTTGCCAAGGGTGAGATGCGATGGTGGATGAAAATACCCTACTGGGTGAGTTTTGACTCTTTTTCCGTGACGTAGAGGTCGTGAAATATTTGATTTCTAAGACAACATCTGTCGTGTTTAATTACGAGAGATAAGGCTGGTGTAATGATGTAATTTTGCCCCGGCTGCATTATCAGATATACGCTAATAGCATCACCCGCCCGCGTAAAGTTTCATTTAAATCACGCTTTTATTGAGGCGTAGAATATAATTACCTTAAATTAGAAAATCCTAAAATCGTGGTTAACTATGGCGATCGCAGGTCAAAAAGGAGAGACCAGCCCAAAAAGAGAACAAACAGGGTCTGGAATAGAGGGAATGGAATCGGTTTGAAAGTTCCACGTGAAATCTCATGAAAAAAATCTATCTGTAAAATTAAGTGAATTATTATGCTTTTTTATTTCTATCGATTTTTGTTCATTCAATAGTTTTATGGTAAGGTTGTCTGTAATTAATGTCCGGTAGAGTATCTGCAGGTCGGGGTCGGCCGATTGTCTTTCAGATCAAGTTTCTCTCATTTCGTAACACCGTTATCATTCTGGTTCTTTGGTCTGTTCAATTAAAGAAGGGAGTGAAAATAGTGATCATTGATACTTTCAGACAAGACTTTTTTTTTAACATTAATCAGGTTATTCAAAGAGGCAGCTAACGGTACTTATATGTCTCGTTATTCTGATACGTTTTAGCTCAATTAGAATTGGGTACCTCAAAATATCTCAAGAATATCCTTCAAGGGCTTTATGATGATATTGCTACTTATGGTTATGATGACAATGATAATAATAATAACGATATTAGTAATAATAACAATAATAATTACGATAGTTACAACTATGGTTTCGCATAAACAATGGATGATTTCAAAGTCTGTAGATTGTTCTTTCAGATTAAGGAATCTTTAAAGAGTTCGGGCGGAAGATTTTCGCAGTTTGCCCGGAAGCAGTACGGCCTTAATCTCCTCAAATATTTCTTGGTCATGTCTTGTTAGTGTTTCACACACTCTATTCAAAATGGTGCAAATGATGTAGACCCACACGCGCGAGGGAAAAGTCGTCCATATCGCGATTGATTCCTCTCGCGTGTGATTCTTAGATTATCGTCAGGCATTTTTTAAATTTTTGTTTATGCGTTTTTTTTAACACTTTTTCTGATTTGAGCCTTGTTGCCCTGTTTCGTAAATTTTTCCAATAAACTCTTGGTGCCAAAATTTCCTACATTAGTCATTACTGAAGTTGACAAAGGGTCAATACGTGACGTGTGTTTAAGCCTAAAATTAATACGTGACGGCGAATTTAAACGGAAGGCAAGGTGAAATGTTCCCTTTTGAAATCATGACGCGTGAAATACCGCTCAAAGTATACGTGAAGAGTAAATAATTCTACAATTTGTGCATGAAATGGGATCAGGATCCTTTCTTTGCTACCTCTAGTGCTGACCCCCTTTAAGGTCTAAGGCGAGTTGGTGAGTCGAGGAAGAAAACTCAATCGACTTTAACATTCAGAGGTGACGACAAAAATCAGCCTCCACCGATTACAGTGCATTGCTACTATTATTGTTGAGGTGAGAGGCGTGTCAAAGAAGTTCACTTTGAGTCCTCTTTGACGTATTCTTTGCCTCCTACAATGATCTATTCTTACCATAAGCCATCAATGAAAAAGTAATTAAACTCATCTCGCTGCGTCATCAAAGAAAATTAAGCAGTTTAGGTAATATACGATAGGACTATCTTCTGCCAGTCGTTGAAAAGTTGGTCGATCTAAAATAGCAGTGTATAGTCTTTCGCTCTCGTTAATAAAAATGTAGAACAACCTTAAACTGCGCTTTAAGTCAAGGTGTGTTGTCGGTCCAAGTTAGTGATTAACGAAACAAAAGACTTTTCAAGAGGTTTTCGTATTGATCTTTCCCATACAAGTATTTTCCATTTTTGGCGCGCAGACAAAGGACAGCAACAGTTGTCTGTGGAATATTGGCAAAGTAACTAAACAGTTCATATGCCAACGGTCGGAAACGCGCGGGTACTTTAACGAGAGCTCTTGAAAATGTTACTATTCTAAGAACTGCTGACGCAAATATTAGACTGGCCTGAGGTGGGCATGGAACCCCATATATACAAATGCGCGACTGGTGCAAGATGTCTCAGTTTATTCTTTGAGGGAAACAAGAGCAACGTGCAGCGCACTCAGGAAAGAAAGATTAATTTACAGAATCATTTATAATTGCTACAATGTTTATTATTACAGGAAAAATCGAGATTTTGAGTCTACTTCCAGCTCGTCGACGCAAAATCAAGATGGAGACCGACAACGCAGAAGAACTGAGTTATGTCAACAACGACGAAAGCTCATCGTTTTACAGCGAAAACGATGAGCAATATTCAGACGATGATTTTGGATCCGAATGCAGTTGTTCCACGTGTAGCACATGTTCCACATGTGAACTATGCGAGGAGGAGCTAGCGGAGGAGGAGTTTGGGGACAGTTCTGACGAGGAAATGAGACACAATGTTCCCAGATGTGAACCTAATCTTCAATTTTGTAACAGCGACAGTGATAATACGGAAAAACAAATCCATGCGCTGAACAACGAGTTACAACGAACAACCAAAAACGGTTACAAGACCGATGAACAATATATCATCGAGAAGGTTGCGAATGTTGTGGTCTTGAAAGCGGACGCATCTCAGTTTCAAAATGGAGGTTATATCACTGGGAAAGGTAAAACTCAGGAACTTCTTCTTGGAGGGAAACAGAGGAAGAAGAGAGTGACGTTTTTTGATTCCTCGTCATCATCGGATGTACAAGCCGAAGCCTTTTCTATCTCTAGTCTCTCTGACAGCAGTACAAGTGGTTGTTGCGCAGATTTTAACCAACATCTCCAAAATGGCGATAACTTTGATCACAAAACAATTTCAAGCGATCCAGTAAAGGAACATAGTAATGACCTCTCCGAAGGCGATTTGGACAGAGAATACCATCGCTTAAAAAGTGTTTTAAAAACGATCGATCCCTCAAAACTTCTTGGTGTCCTAAAACACAGCTTGAAAACTAAAGACTTGGAAACCATCAACGCCTTGGGAACTTTACTTCCCAAGAACAAGTTTACCGCTGACACTGTTCACTGTGTTCGCTGTCACAAAGAGTATGACCCTCACTTTGGCAGAAAAAGATGCACTCTCTACCACCCTGAGAAAGACGTTTGGAAAATTTCTCAAAATTCTCAAGGAGCTACCTTCAAGTGCGGCCTGTGTTCGAGTCTATTCACTTTGCAAGGAGCCTGTGACTATAAGCCAGGCACTGCGAGTGAAAAGAACTGTGGGATATGCTTTGAAGGTGTCCATACGCCCGACCCTAATGAAGTTAGTTACCAGCCCTCTGGCGCAGCACAGTGTTGTGAAGACAAAGGTTGTATCGAATTTTACGTTTAGTGGAGTGCATAGTAACGATGCAAAACTTTTTTTGTGTCATATCATTAAGAATCCCACGAGTCGTTTTTCAATTTTCGGTATATCAAGAAAATGCAGGATAAAGGAAGGATACTTCATAGTATATAATAACACAGCGTTGCATAATTAGTTTACAGCCTGTCCTATATCAACACAATCAATTCAGAGTGTAACACCGTCAAATATACAACACCCTCTTTGTATCCTGATTGGCGGATTTTTTTCACAGCATAATATAAAATACTTATTTAGATTTTGGCTTTACAGTAGTACCACTAACTATGGAAATGCCTCATTTTGACATACTGCTGAATTTCACGGTTGCTGGCAACAGTTATGGGGTTGTGATATCTCTTTACCTTTTTGTTTTGTTTTCTGTCAAAGATATCTTCCAGGCGAGAGCAGTTTTACAATACCCGCTGTAATTAGGTGGCAAAGACTGAAGTTATAACACCTGAAAAATCAGAGATTGTGTCAGGCTTTCAGTCAAAGAAAACAAGCAATAGAGTGGGCGCACGAAAAATGGCTGGCAGATGGACGCGGCAGCTGCGGTTGTCAAGAATGAAAACCAAATCTTTCGCGCTCCCACTCTTTCGTGCGTCTTTTTTGACGGAGAACCTGGAACAGGCTAGAGCAACCTTTCGTCTGGTTCAGCTGATGGCTTCAGCTGAGCCTGCGAACAGGCTCTCAATTGGTCGGCGACACTAGCGGCGAGGTCCACTTGTTTCGAGCTCGCTGGCGGTGTAAGCAGGAGTCCGCGAGTATTGTGGTTCAAAAATAAGAACCAGACTTCTCGAAGAGCTCTTGCACGCCCACCTTGCTCGCCGACTCTCGTTTGAGAGTAAAAATGGGGTAAACCGTTAGCCGTAAACCGGCAAATTTTCTTTTGATCGCAACAGAAATGCATCAACCGTTTGACCGTTAGCCGTAAAAGAAATCATCCCATTGAGACCCTGTCATTTCTGTATGTTGTGAAAAGCGAGTGTAACATCGGAAGAACTTTAGAAACATCAATTATAATGAAAATTATAGTTATGACTAAAACAAATACTTGATGTTTGTAACAAATTGTGACAGTCATTATTAAAACCAAGAGTTTTTGTTTCCATCGCCATAGCTTTGTTTGTGTACAGACCACTTCAGAGTTATGACAAGCGAAGAAAGGCCACTCAAACCTCATATCGAGAGGCTATTTAAAGCAAATATTTTCCCGCGACCACGCTACTCCCACGCATTAAGAGATTCACCAGTACAGAGTTTATCGTGATTTCAGGGAACTAGCGATGTTCAGATTGTTTATATGTTCGCACCAGCCGTGTTCTATTACACAAACTTTTCGAATCATCAAGACCACGTGAAATGCATGCACGAGTAGTTAGTACGTTTCTTTTTTCATGATATACTTACCAACAGTTCTTACCGACGTTTCTTTAACTTATTCGTCCTCCGGCGGTACAACCAACTCGAGACACTTTCCAACGGTTTGAAATCAAAGCAATTGTGACATACTGATCTAGATTTATTTGTTCGAAATATCTTTGAATTATCGCTTTTTTCAATTAATCTTTAAAAGCTTTAATTTCAAGGGTGTGAAGGGCGGAAATCCGTGCTTTACATTACTTTTAGAATTAGGCTACATACCATTGGTCTGCAGGACAGGACTTCAGTTCAAATTAAAGAATTGAAGATATTTAAGAATTAACGTTTTTTTAAATTCATTCAGGGTTGAGAAGGGCGGAAATCCGTGCTCTACTTTACTCATAGAAATAAGGCTTAATAACATTTCTCTGCAGGAGCGGACTTCAGTTCAAATTCAAGATATTTGAGAATTAGCATCTTTAGCTTTAATTTCAAGGTTGTGAAGGGCGGAAATCCATACCTTGCTCATAGAGATAAGGCCAAGTTATTATTTCTCTGCATGAGTCGACTCCAGTTCGAATTGAAGGTACTAGAACAAAATCTCATTACATTTAATGTGATAACCGTCATGCTTCCAAGCAAGCTACTTCAAAATTAAAAAAAGCACAGGTATTCCTCATCAATCTTCGTTGATCTGTTTTTCTGTGCCATATATACCTTGAACTAAAGAGATAATCCTCGCAGGCGAGCTGCAATCCAAGCAAAAAAGAAGCCCGAAAAAACATCAGGCTCAATAAGAGTCCAACCCATGCCTCTCGGACACAAGTTGAACACTACGACTAATTGAGTTATGAACCACACGTTTGGAGAGAGGCAAAGTTTAGAAGGTTTTTTTTTCCCGTGGAGTGATCTGATCACAATTCTTACTGAAATAAAGTTCATTTGACCAGCGCATTTGACCTCAGGTCGAATGACATTTATTTAATTAAAAATTATGCTAAATACCTTGGATATACAATGCAGTAAAGGTATCAGAATGGTTTTCTCAGCAGGAACTCATTTTCCTATACCCGGATCTTCGATAACGCACTCCAAAGATGAAATCCGGATTTCCACCGCAACAAAGTGAATTGCGATGTGCCCGTAACAAGATTTACCTCGAAAATCGATCCGTAAGAATAGAAGCTTTAGTTAAAATGTAAACCACGTCACAAGGAGTGGAATTTCTAAATTTATTAATTACAAACTATATGTAGAAAATCTCTTTCGTTTTTCTAAATTTCAAGTAACAATTTTTCTCTCCCTCTCTCCCCTTCGTAATCTTTTGGTATTCACGCGCGGCGCGCGTGATTTCACAAATTAGCCAATCTTGTCAAGGAACTTTAACCTTGACATTGGAAAACTGACGTGGACACTTTTCGCGTACTTTTAGTTTAGTTTTCGCGGAGTTTTAGTCAGTTGCTTTTGAGCTTTCGTCAGCGTAAATTTGTTACCCCTTTATTTGGAATTTAAAGAAGTTTCGGAGTTTTTAATTTTAGCCAAATGTTGTGGTTCATTTGATAAGTTTAATATATATTTTCTACGGAGTTTGGACTCTAGTCTCTTTTTTCGTAAATGGATTTTTTACACTATACGTCACAGAGGCTACATCCCTTTTTTTAGGTCATAGGGGTGGAGAGGGGGATGGGGAGGGGGGTTGGGGGATGTGGGTTGTGGGATGGTGAGAGAGGAGACGCAGGTCTAAGAAAGATGACAAAAACAACGATGGGATGGTGAGAGAGGAGACGCAGGTCTAAGAAAGATGACAAAAACAACGATGGGATGGTGAGAGAGGAGACGCAGGTCTAAGAAAGATGACAAAAACAACGATGGGATGGTGAGAGAGGAGACGCATGTCTAAGAAAGATGACAAAAACAACGATGGGATGGTGAGAGAGGAGACGCATGTCTAAGAAAGATGACAAAAACAACGATGGGATGGTGAGAGAGGAGACGCAGGTCTAAGAAAGATGACAAAAACAACGATGGGATGGTGAGAGAGGAGACGCAGGTCTAAGAAAGATGACAAAAACAACGATGGGATGGTGAGAGAGGAGACGCATGTCTAAGAAAGATGACAAAAACAACGATGGGATGGTGAGAGAGGAGACGCAGGTCTAAGAAAGATGACAAAAACAACGAGGTTAGCTGAGCACTTTCCGCCTTTGCACTTAAGGGGAGGCTACTCAGCCCTTTCTGTTTTCACCCTTTAACTCCCTAAGTGACCAAGACAGAATTTCTCCTTATAATATTAATACAATGTCGAGCAGACAAGTGATGAGAATAAAGAAAAATATTAATTAGGGGTTTACTAGTTGATCCAATACCAAATTCTCCAAACTAACATCACAAGAACTAGATGGCAGACAGTAAGGAGAATTACTAATGAGATCTTGGGAGTTGAAGGATTAAGGAAAGGTCACATACTGTCAATTCTGCTTCGGTCGGTGATCGAAAGAAGATGTTAATCCCTCCTTTGAAGAATACACACCAATTGTGTGGTGTATAGTTGACAAACAGATTCCGTGTTGCCGTGCGTCTGTTTAGTCAACCCTTCGACGACCAAGATCTTATTGTCAATTCTCCTCTCTAGCTGTTACAGATTTCCTTGTAAATGAGTTACGAGAATTTGATGTTAGATGAGGATAACAAAAATCTAGCTGATAAGTTTCAGTATTCTCATCACCTGTTTGCTGGATACTGTAGGGTTATTATAGGGAGAAGTTACATGTTCATCTCTCCTGGGAGTTAAAGGATTAAGGATCATATGTGACGTCAACATGTATTTATTACGTCATATTATGACGTCATAATCAGAATAAAAAAAAGTGGCACACGAGGCACAGAGTAAACGACTGTGGATATTTGAAAGTCATATATTTGAACTGCAGATAAAGACGTGAATATGAAAGCGATCTTCGCAGTAATGAACACTACTTGAGCATTAGTGGAAATAAGGCTACTAATAAGTTGGCTTGTTAGCTCGGTTGTTAGAGCACTGCACCGGTATCGCAAGGGTCATGGGTTCAAATCCCGTACAGGCCTGAATTTTTTCAGACCTTATTTTCACTACCGGTCAAATAGTGTTCATTACTGCGAAGATCGCTTTCATATTAACGAGGCACTCAGTGTCACCAATGTTCCTACCACATTTTGAAGTCCTCTGGAATCTATTCCTGGGGGACGTTATCGTACAGACCTATGACAACATGGAATTTATTTGTTTAATATGATCAAAAACAATAATGCCACGTCCTCATGCGTCTGTCCTACAATAGATCATAACAAGAACTTGCGTGCAATATTCAGCTTATCAGCCAGTGCTTGCGTGTAACATTCAGCTTAACATCTATAGCGCCATGGCCTCTAAAGTGTTAATTAGAAGATTTAGGTGTGTATTGTAATATTAAAATGCATTGTGTTGCAGCTAATGGATTTGTCTGGAATTGAGGGAACGATGTCATGGTATGTTATGTAAATTTTCTTAACTTAATGGTGGTAAGTTAGTTGTGGGTTGAATTTGAAAGGGTTGTGATCGACTGTAAGTAGTTTTAACTTAACCGGGAATGCTACAAATACTGCGCCGTTTGAGTGCAGGCTCAGCTTCGTGTAAAAGCAAGGCCTGATTCTTGCATGACTACTGTTTGCGGTTGCAGTACATGCCAGTCTCATCTAGTGTTTTACTGTATACATCCTAATAGAAAAACAGTAATCCTGAATTCCTTTTAAAATCAATAAAGATTAAAAATGACGCAGATAGTTTAAACAACTCGTGTCATAACAGGAAAAATAAATTGACACTTGCTTAGCCCAATATGCGCGGAGGACAATCATTAAAACAATTTAATTCTTTAACCATTAAACTGTTTGGGCTCAAAAGCAATTCTCCCTTTCGCCTGCCATATATTACTTATGCATCATTTGAGAGAATTTAGTGGTCTATCAGGACAACACTCTCAGGCTGACATGTTGGTCTAATCTCATGACTCTCGGCTGGATAATATGTGGAAAATTATTTGGATGCGTTGCGTGCAAAACAAAACTTGGCAATCAAGGGCAAAAAGGAAATTTCTATGAATCGATTTGACTTAGAAGACAAATTCTTTTTTGACGAAAAAGTTGAATCCAACCATGAGAAGGTTATCGATGCATTCTTGACTTAAGGGAAAGTTTTCATGCAGAAACCTTCTTTAATATGTTTATTCTCAAACTTTCGGACTCTGGGACTTTAAGACGTAAATTACCATCAGCGCAGCTTTTTTTCTGCACGAAGAATATACGCAGCCCACAATTCCTTAATTCGATCAGACGAAGAGCTGACGCTCGAAACCTCAGCATATCACGTTATCAACACAATTGATTGAACCAAATTATCGTGTAATATCTCTCACCGACACAGCACTGCAGTTTCTTTAGAATCTTACCCTCTTTACGTATTTATTTTTAGCCAATATAAATACGCGGTCATTTTGAAGAGATAGGAGTACAAGTTGCAGTTAAAAACACGCATTTTAATAACACCGCCCTCCCACTCTCGTAAATACCTTTCCGCCGAGCTTTTTCAATTATAGTTATGTTAATAGAGCTTGCGCGTGACAAATTTGTGTTTACATCTGTCGATAAAGTCCTTTGCTCTAAGTTATCCCTCCTCTAGGGAATAATCTGTCGCCAATTTGGAATTATTATTGACACGGTGCGGTGATGTTAATGAATTTTTCTTCCTGGGCGTATTAAATGCTAGGCTTACCTTCTCCCGAACCAGTATCAGGAAGGCTGTCGTATCTACAGGTTGAATTTCAATTTAGTGGTGCATTATGTTTCGGATCATAACGGCAGCTCGTTTTCTGTTGTCGCTTTTGGCTCTGATCCAGTTATGTCGTAAAGGTATTGTATATTTTTGTGTACACGCCGTATGTTTTTTTTAAATTAGTGATTAACATAGGCGTCTCTACCATTGAAAGTTTTATCATCTTTCACCCAGATCGAAAGCTGTTGAAGATTCTTAGCCTTGCTTCTTGGTAACAGCCAAAACAGTTCAACCGATAGATCAGCTGTTTTTATTGAGTGAAAGGAGTAGCTTGTTTAAACAAATTAAAACCTCTATCTCGACGAAATCTTCTTAGATATTAAAGGGACAGAATATTTTAAGCCATCCTCCAAAACAGCATTTAGAAGATAAATTCTTGAGCTCGAAACCCCAATAAAATATCTGATATTGAATTAATCAAAACATGTTTCGTTGTGTATTCTAGATAGGAAACCAAATTGACTGTTTGACATTTCTCAAAACGTTCGACGTATACGCGTCGCATTCTAACTTATCGATGAGTAGTTACACAGTAAAATCAGTTTTCAGCTTTTTTTTTTATTGATACTTTGTAATAAAACAACAAGAGTTAAGAATTTTCATTATTTCATAAATGAGAAAGCTTCATCTTTCATGACAAATTCTTCGCGTGGCGAGGAAGGGGACGATTCAACTTCACGATAATCGCTGCATTCGTCAAATTGAATTGTTCGGTGTTCTTTGTCGAATACCAATGTCACCTGGCAACAAAACTAAACATAAAGAAAGAAAGAAAAAAAGAAAGAAAGAAGAAAAGCTAAAAAAGAGAAGCGTCAAATATATTGCTTTTTGATTACATCATGAATTTCCAATAAACCCAAATATCTTTCTTTAAATTAAAATTTCCCCTGGGAACAGCCTAGCTTCTTGCAGAGTCATAGTTATTTCATTTCAACAGCTTTGCAGTGTTGGAACATTCCAAACGTGGAATCGACAGCATGCCTCTTAAAAAAAATTGTAATCATAACTCTTTGCGTGAAACAAAGATATTACTATAACAACGGTTTCCTTATCAGACACAGTTCTTAGTATTTCATATAACTCACTCATACATATTTCAGGTTTGATTTAAAGATGTTTGACAAAGTTACAGTTTTAATTAAAGATGGAAAGATTTTGGAGGAAAAAAGAAAGACTTATCTTTAAAAAGCGCTTAGGGATATTATTCGTCATACTTTGATCATTTAACGATGTAACACAGCATTATTATCAGGAACAATGATTAAATTTCAAGTTTCATTTTTTTTCGGAACCAACTGATTATCCTCAAGCCACTTAAACAGTCCTTTTGTAGAAGTGTTAATATGTTTAGAAGAAAATACCTGATCGGCGAATTTTACCCAATTAAAGGAGATTATTTGAAAAAAATAGAATGAAATAAATTTATATTATATTACGACCACTAGGAAAAAATTTTCAAAATATCGATCGATTTTGCCTGTCGGTCGATGATCAATGCGTTAATTTTAGTGTGCAATCGAAAGTATTTACACTGTCTATTTGGTTTCCTTTTCGATATAATTTGAAAGTCTGAAGTTTCCATGTGGATGCAAAAAATATCACGCAAAAATGATGTCGGAATATTGCCATATTAGGAACAGACAAGTGTTTACAAGTTGTTTGTTCTAAGAGGACCACATTTCCCCCTCGTAAACTCTATAATTTTGTTTCAAATGCCCACAGGTGCAACAAGATTAGCATTTGCTTTGCCTTCTCTGGCATTTAATTATTTGAGTTTTCTTCAGCATGACATTTCGTGTGATTTACTGATATGTATTTTCGTGCTTGCGCGTAATTTAATGGTTAAACCTTTCATCGGGATCAGTTTCATATTTGATTATAATTTCATTTCATGATTGAATTTGTTGACACAGCGCCTTTTATTGAATCCTATTCGCAAGTAATTATCTCCGGAAGCTTGCATTCAGAATTGCAAAGATCTAGATATCACAGGTCGAGAACTGAGCCAATTTCAATTTCGAGGTGATAAACCAAGTTATTAAAAAACTATGTAGGGGATTATTCCAACGGAAAAAAATCTTTCTTTTAAACTAATTGTATCTTTTGTGCACAGTATAGTGTAACTAATATGTTACAAGACCGCTCTTATTAAAGGAGGAGCCTCTGAGATACTGTTAGATTAGCATATTTAGAAAAAAGGATGCGCGTTTTTCTTATTTCGTAGTGATTTTGGCTTTTCTTGTTCCATTAATCACCCAAGTGGAGGCGGTGTTATACAAATCACAACAGAGCATTTGCTTATAAGATAAGGGTGTGCAAATCAACGTTGCGTGAAACGTTTCAAACATGCGCGCTTAAAAACTTTGACTGTGATTGGACCAATGCGGTTGATATAATTTGTTCTTTGCGTGCATCTTCGTGAAGGAGATCTAAAATGCTGAAACCACAGTATGAAAACCCAAAGGAATATAACTTAGTCTTTTGTTTTCAACGTGTAGGCGAAGCATGGAAGTGCAGTAACTGTGAAGTTCCATATAAGGCTCGTGGTTGCTATGGAGACAGCCCATCACGCGTATTTAAAGTACAAGTCGTTAACGAGCGAGACCCCTCAAGTAAAGTCTATGGAGGCCGTAGGATTGATTGGAGAAACTGGAATAGTTACATAGAGGGTTTTGCTTGTAGATGCGCTAAACTTGTCAAGGCAAGAGGATGGACTGTGTTTGGTTTGCAGTTTTATGGTAAGAGCATTTCAGATTTAAATTACAAAATATGTCATTTCATATACTAACACTACATTGTTATCAAGAATGATATTGTGTACGGCTTTCAGACTGCTTCACGATTTATCATTGCTGGTAAAGACTACATACACGGCAAATTAACTCACTCAGAGGTCACCATGGTTTCAGCTGCTTAAAAAAATCCAAGAGCATGCTATCCATTACCCTTCCCCCTCCCCCATTGACTGAGAGTACTGCTACCCACACCCCCCTCTCCCAGAGGGCAAATGTAAGTCCATCGCAAGTTAACATTTACCCCTAGAAAGTGTTCCCAACAGTTAACTGATTCCTATGTCTACTCCTGTGTGGAAATAAGACTTGAACTGTCCGAGTACAATTCTAAATAATGAGTTTTTCTAATTTATTAGCTTTCGATCGACATCTTGCCTAGTCTAACAATGGCTGGAAATGTACACTAGAACTCAAAACTGTGTCAACCGAAGCGTGAACCTGGACATCATATTTCGATTCAAAGTCGAGATTTTCAGTCCAAGTTGGGTAACCTTTCATTACAACTCCCCGTAAAAAGCGCCATTTTATGGGGTGCTATATATTACATAGTAGTATCAGATTAATGAATTAATGATAAGTAATTAATAATCAATATGTCAATATTTAGGGGAATGCTGGAGTGGACCTGAAGGTTCTTATGACCTGGAGAGTATGACGCCGAATTCGACCTGTATCTCAAATGACTATAACGAGTGTGGCAAGTTAGACAGACACTGTGTTGGAGAACAATGGACTAACTTTGTGTTTGAACTTGGTGAGGAACTTCTGTTAGACTAAAATGAAAAGCTTTCTTTATTCATCAAGGCATTAAAAGCGTGTTTACATTTTAGGACTAATTACCGCCTCAAAGTAGAGCACGTATAAATTTCGTTTGTTTGTCTCCAAAACAAATTGAGGCGTTTTCTAACAAGGAAGTTTTCTACTATGTTTTTACCACATCCTTTAACAAGAAACAAAGCGCGATTTATTGATATTTAAAGGACCGGTGCGCACTGAGCTGGCAAAATGTGTTTGACTCCACCAAAAATCTCGACAGAATTTGTCTCCTCAAAATTTTCTATTTGTTAATCGTAGGTGCACCAAAAAAGAGCGAAATACTTGTTAACCACAATTTCAATCACAAAGACGCACAAATTGAACAGTACTGAAAGACTTTCATTTAAAATGCGAATCAAATTTTTTTGATTGACGTTATTTTCTAAATCATGGCGCGTAAACTGGGAAATCTATCAGATTTTACGCCTGACTAAAATTTTTCTTGCTCCGAGGCAGGACGATGGCACCTTAGAACATTGGTAAGGCTTGAAAAAAATTTAATAGGAAAAAAATCCCCGGGTGCACTTGTCTCAAGCCATTAATGACAGGTTTTTTACGCAAAGTAAACAAAGATTTGCCTGTGCGTCCAGGCTCTCAAGGAAGTCTCCGCAAGCATGCATCCTATATAGATGGAAGACGCGCCTACCGACGTCATCAAAATGAATTTCTGCATTCTGTAACTTTTTGTTTCCATATGTTTAGAATCCGACTGTGACTTAGATTTTGAGAGGATCGGCTGCTTCAAAGACAAAAAGCAGACTCCGCGCCCTCTGCCTGAGTATCTAATGACAGACAGAGAGCGCAGACTAAAGATTTACAGTGGACAGTCTATAGATTGGAGGAACTGGGATGTTTATATGCCAAAATTTGTCTGTCGCTGCGCAAAGTTAGCTAAAGAGAAAAACCACAATACGTTTGGAGTACAGTATTATGGTACGTAAGACTAACAAGCTTGTGTTCATAGGGCAGCTAAAAAAAATTGAAGTTAATGGTTACTCTGAAGGTCCAGTCTGTGAACATTGATTCATGTCGTAAAATTTGCTTCTTTTAGGAGAATGCTGGAGTGGTCCCGGCTCAGAAAAAACATATAATAAGCTGGGCGTGTCGAAAAATTGTCAAGACAAGTGTTTTGAGAAATGCAAGCCCTTCGAAAAGTATTGCGCAGGGAAAAACTTTGCCAATGCAGTCTATCGCCTTTCAGGTTAGTCAGGGTAATGATTCTATTAATGTGATATCTCTTTATAGCCACTCTTCATGGAGTGTCAAAGTAATCCACGATTACGATTGTTTTGCTTTACTTCGCTCTGTGATTGGTCGAAAAAGATCGCGTCACGCTTTCAACCAAACAGATGCACGCGACTTGGTCACCCACATTTCCCCGTGTTTTAGGCAGTTAGCTTGTATTTTTTAAGGTCCTATGGTCTTTTCGAAGTATTTGCTATCGCGCTGATTAGTCGTTGTGATAACTTTGCTTTTGGTTTTACGAAACTCAGTCGAAAAGCGCTCTTTATTCATAGCCAGTCACAATTACCTCCACAAAGTGAACAATCAGACGTTGTGACGAAAAGTCAAATAAGAAAAATGTCAGGTCGTTAAGTAGAGAGCTCTTGGAATGACGAGGCAAAACCTACACCCGGGGATGTTCATCTCTTACACATCCGGGTTATTTTTTTTCCAGATGCCGGGTGCGAGATATCATATGAAGCTGTTGGTTGTTATGGTGAAGTCTCGTCCAATCGTGCTTTCACTAAAGAACTTGTGAATGAGGTGAAGCCCTTTAGTCGGGCATTTAACGGAGTAATCATGGAATTTGGGAACACCTGGGAGGAGGGTTTCAAGAAATTCCTATGCAGATGTGCGAGGGCAGCTCAGCTTAAACAGTACACCATGTTTGGTGTTCACGAACATGGTGAGTTTAGTTATTAAGCAAGTTACAGAAAAGTACGTTAAATAATGTATAGTATAGACGAAACTCAAACGATCTACCATCTCAAAACGTGTAAAATAAGGTATATGATATCAAGCGCGGGAAAGCATTTCGCAGGTGAAAAGTGTTAGCGTGGAAAGCAAAAATGTTTTCCGTCGGAGAAGATTCTGGAAATTTCTAATTCTACAATCACTGAAAAGGCGGGAAAATCGTCGGAACGTTGACAAGACATTAAAAAAATTGGCATTCGGCGTCGCGCCTTAAAGGCGGGAAAATCCATAAGAACGACAGGACACGGAAAAAATTAGCCAGCTGTACCAAACGCGGAAAGATTCCGCAAAATCGAGTCGTGTTATTTGACAAGCTTCTTTTTAGCCATTAACTGTGGTAACCTGCAAAACCATTGTTTCACGATACGCGAACTTCCGGTGTTCGCCATAGTTTCCGGTTTGTATATTCTGTCAATCAAATAAACGTGGTTTAGTTTTTCTCAAAATGGCGGGTTCACTGTGAAACACAAACAACCATATTGTCACTTTCACCATTTAGTCAAAAAAGGACAAGGAAAGGAATCACACACTGATTTAAGCAATTAATTTGCCACTTTTTTTTTTAATCTTTGTAGGAGAATGTTGGAGTGCCAGCGATGCTGATAAAAACTACGACAAGTATGGCGCATCCGACCAGTGTTTCCAGAACCTCAACCAAACTTGTACCGAGGGCTCCAGCTCCTGCGCCGGGGGCACAAATGCCAATTTTGTGTACAGGATTGTCTTGTCATAAAGCGTGATATGCTGTAATATCAATAAAGTGTTGAATAACAGCTATTTTCTTGTATATTGATGTTATTATTCTTATCAATGTAATGTTAGTTTTCGATAACCTTTTTTTTGCGCCAGAGCCAGACGTTTTCACCTGCTGTTTCTCCGACCAACTAGGACTCTGGGAACGAGAATGTGATGTCGTATAGAGACGCAAACCAGCTGCTTGCGACGTATCTAGCTCCTATGTAATAAGCTGTTTAAGTGTAGTTATAAACGATGCAAGTATCTGAGCAACTGCACACCTACTCCTTCCCTTAATAACAACACTCAACTGATAACAAGTCAGGACTAATGTACTTACAATGATTGCGATAAACCGTTGTTACGGGAACCGCTTTGCGCCGAACGCTTGCATTCGACAGCCTTTCTATCGAATATCACGTAGCGATGCTCCCCAAAGCTAGGGCGAGATATTCAAAAGACGTTTTTTTTCTCTAGTTCGAGTGAAAAACAGAAACACAAAAAACTACGCTAGCCTCCGCTACGTCCTTGAAAGAGTAAGGAATTGTTGAAAATCTCATAAAAATAGATTAAATCTTGTTAGAGTTGTGTTACGAACTTCCTAACTCATTGCCGCTCTGTCGTCCTAAATAATGCGTCGGTAGCGGAGGCGGGGTAGGGGGGTGTAAAATGGCGTGGGAGGGGAGATAGAGGCGAGCCTATCAGGAGTCGTTCCAGACTCCTTGACAAACATGTTTTGTCTCGTTAAACTGTAGGCGGACATGTGGAGTCATTACAGGTATTTGTAAATATATACAAGAGCGAGTGGATAAGGCAGGAGCACAGCAGACTATCAGTGACCATTCTCACACAGGAAATGAAGAAAATTTGTTTTTTTAACCGCCTGTTCGTCTCGTGATAGTTTGACGCTAACATGGAAAAAAGTAAAATGAACATCTCGGTGGAAAGCGTCGATTGCTGTCTTTGTTTCGCATAATTTCTGCCCGGCGACTTCGGAATGAACAGCGTTGTTATCTTAAAGCTTTGGTGAGTATTGTCTGTCTGGATGTAGAATACAGTGCAATTAATTTGTGCTTTTGGATTTGAAAACATTGACATGTTTTCGATAAAGATACACATTGTGTTTTTGTTTTGTCAAGGCGACGTCAAACCGAAAATCGAAAACATTAATGATAAGTCGCCTAACTTGTCTTTCCTTTAATAATTCAGATAAGTTATTATTTTTTTTTGTCGTCTCGGAATCCAATTATGTATTTGATAAATCTGATATTCACTCCGTGTAATTTTGTTCTTTTATTTCTAAGCTACTTTTAGTTATACGGGTGAATCATCAGGAAAGCCATGTTGTTTACTTGATCTAAATTTATCAATTACGATATAAAGATTAGTCCGAGATCTTGTTCCCGAAACTTTTAAACAGGAAAAATTAATTCCTCGTTATTTGCGCTGTTCTGTTCAGTAATTTCACGGTGCGAAATTCGTGTTGAAGTCATTCTTGGGTCAATAATAATATTTCATGTTTTTATTGTTAACAGTAACTAATTTTATACGAGGAATTCATATGTTGAGGAAATTTACATGAGATTACAAACATTCTTGCCATGACTCGTAAAGACAATGCGGAACATTAGTAAGACTTTCTTGCTGTTTAAAAGGACGCAAATTGGCTAGAATACTAGCCTTTTGATTTAAAACGATGAATGAAAAATATATAAGCTCGCGACAGCTTGATAGGAACTATAATTTGTGTTTTTTTTGTTTTTTCGCAATTGTCATATTGGCCTCTAGGATATATCTCAATTTACAGGTGCAAGCCATGTCTGCGATCTGAACTGAATTTTGTTTTGTAAAGTTGCCTTTTTGAAAAATCTCTAATTATAACATGCCTCCAAAAAGAGTTAAATCTCGTTGCTAATAGAATAAACTGGAAGAGAAACTATGTGCAATATTTCCTGTGCATTATTATTGTTTTATGCAAATATTGATTTACCCTCAACTTTAAGCTCTAACACGATATATTAACAACTTTGAAGCTTGTTACATAACCACTGTATGCAGGTAACCAAATGAAAGCTTATTTAAAACTTTTCCTTCTTGTCTTTGTGATCAAAATGGCCAGAGTAAGGAGTTTTGAATATCACCTACATATGTATTACCAAGGCAACAATGATGTCACCTTTTATCAAGATAAAATCTTTATGAAAGTCCAGATGATCAACATAGGCTGTGCTTTCTATAGCTTTCTTGTATGACAAAATACTGTAGGAAGTATACTGATATAAATTACTGGGCCATCTATGTAAGCAGCAAATATATGCATGTGCTCATGAACTAATCCTGATGAGCACAGAACTAAAGATCTATTAATAATAATATGCACCTTTGGGGTTGTCAGTTATTTAGTGGCTTTTGTAGATGTAACTGCTGGGTTTTTGTTGAATTTTTAAAATAGGCTTTTTTTCACCTTAACTTATTGTTATAGCCTCAACCCAAATGTTTGTGTCATGAATCTTTATTAGTAGCATGTGCTATCAAAGAAAACCATCCCAAATAGAAAGAATAGATTCCATGTTGCTGTGCATCTTTATAGTAACTAAACCCCAACAGGCAACTGATATGTCAGCTGATAACTTGTCCACAGCTGAGAGATTGTCCAAAAAACAGGGAAAAATGTCAAATATTGAGAACAATGTCTCTTCCAAGGACATTATCAGCCAACATACCAGAAAGCCAGAAAGGGGTTTATATATTTTATAACCTTCCCATTAATTTTCATCTTGAGGGTCCAAGACTCAGACCAGACCAACATTTAAGGTCTTGAAATAACTGAGAAGAATATGCTTTATGACGTCTGCAAATGGTATCTTCTCTGTACTGGTTAGCAGTCAGGACATTGAAGAACCCATTCACTTCTCACAAAGAATAGGGAACATTGCTCTTGGTGTTGTGGTCTGGCCTTGTTGATGTTTAAACAGGCCTCCATTTAAACTTGCTTTAGAGCTGGATAAGGCCAGACTTTCTATAATATTGCATTTATTTAAATAAATAAATGATTGTTGTTAAAATTAGGACCAAACTGTAAGGTTAAAATTATGTTTAAAACTCTTGAAATGTTGGGGTACTTTTCTGTTCTTCAGGTAATGACCATTAGGCAAAAGATTCATGATGGTGGTCTTCGCTGATCTCCAAATAGAAATTTGAAGCTGATGGACTCAAGTAGAAGTCCAGACATGCACATTGGTAGTAGTGATGTGAAGGATATTCCAGTGCAGGGTCTGATAGATGGAGCTGATGAACAACTGCACCTGCCAACTGAACATGGTGAGGATTTGGATCATCTGCTTGTGTCATGTTTTCGGACACTAGATTTTAACCTTTAATACGGGGGCTGAAAATTAACCCCTTTACAACCTGGAGTGTGTAAAAGGAATTTCTGCCTACAGTATTGATAAATTTTCCAAGCAGAAAGGCGATGAGAACAATAACTTCTTATTAACCCAGGGTGAGGGCTGTACTGGAGATTATTACCCAACTGCAGAAAGTAGAGTACAATTTTTTGCAAATAGTGTACAAATATCCTGCAATATTGTATGGTTATTTGAACAGTTGGTTATTTTGTACTGTAAAAAACCTGTTTAATCTGTTACACTCTAACATCAGTATGCATTTTCTCCATACTTTTCTTTATACATTTCCTAAGGTGCTGACAAGGAGAATTTATTTGCAAATCTAAAGATTCCTTCCCTGATGACCATTTTGTTTATTCTCATTACCTTAATGTATGATTCAGGAGTGATACTGTAGGGAGAAATTAGATGCTGGTCACTGTTAGGATTTAAAGGGTTAACCAGTTGGCTGCATACACTATGCTTCTCCATCTGCTTTGCTTTTCCCACCTTATGAGAAATGAACAAAAAGACTTAGCAGAAAAAAAAGGAGTTGGATAATAAACAACTTCTGAGACTTTTTGGTGTGTAGTATCGCTGAGTATTTTTACTTATTGTTTGTATTTGGACTCGCGCTAGGGGCTCGTAAAAATACAGCACAACTCATTTAAATACTCAGCACTATAGTATATTTTGTATTGGCCTGAGGTTGTGGTAGTATGGGGCAAGCACAGCGAGGTCCATATGAAAACAACAGAGGGTTGATATTCCCCACTATGGCTCAAGCAAGCGAACTTAGTAAGTTCCTTATTATATGGCAATCAGAGAAAACTTGTTTATTTTGAATTTGTTTGCTTTTGTGAACTAAAATACACTGCCCATAACCATTTCCATGGAAATGGTTAGTACTCATCAGAATGCATAAATTTATATCAAGACTACCTTGCTATACATTGATGAAAACATCAATTGAAGGATATTTGATTTAATACTAAATTCTCAGGGCTGAAATTATAAGAAATGATTGGTAAACAGTATAGAGAATTGATATGTGGATCTGGGAAGAGAAAGAGTTTCAGCAACCAAATAGACAGCCTTTATTCCAAAATCCAACAAAAGTTTCTTAATAAACCAGCTGTTATTTCTGCCCCCTCCCACCCGAAAAAAAAAGAAATTTAGTTTTGATAAAAATCGAGACATTGATGGCACCAAGCCAAGCTTTATGATCAAGTTGAATGCTTCATGAAAAATTCAGGAACTTGACAAAAATACAACTCTTCCAATTTTAGTTTTGTTTTCACTTTGTAGGAATGTTTGAATTAATGGTGTCTGATCCAGAGGATGACTTATCCCTTGGCACTGATGCACAGATCTTTTCCAAGGACAAAATACCACAAACCTCACCTGGAGGCTCAAGCAAATCTGCTGGGTAAGTGAATGTGTCATAACCCTTCTGTGGAGTTGGGGTGGGGTCATTAACCCTTTAACTCCCAAAAGTGATTAACAGGTAACTTCTCCCAGTAATATCCATACATTATCCAGCAAACAGGTAATGAGAATACTGAAACTTATCAGGTAGAAGTTGTTATCTTGATCTAACACCAAATTCTCATAAGTTCTTTTCAAAGAGATGTGTAGCAGGTAGAGGGGAGAAATAATAAGGAGATCTTGGGAGTTGAAGCCAGTTAAGTTTTGTGGCTATGTGAATTTGAATAAAAAGCACTTTAAAAACCATCAATGGATAGTTTTTTTGTAATTGGTTGTAACCATGGATGTGTTGTTTTTGCTTTTTTCACAAGGTGCTTTTTTGAATCATCTAGTGATAGCACAGGGCCCCCAGGAAGAAACAGAGAGTGTAGAAAACTTTGTAACATTGGAAGAGCCAACAGTTCAGACAGCATTTTGTCAAATGTTTCTGATTTCAGTCGGTAAGTGTTGCCATCTAATCTTTAATAATCTTCATTACTACACTGAAATTAGCCCTTTACACCTTGACATCAGAATTCATATTCTCTGTACCACCCTCTATACTTTTCCTGAGGAGCCTAGAAGGAGAATTTGTCTAATGATCAAGAGCTTCTTCAGTTGGTGATCATTTCCTTTATTCTCCTGACCTTTGGGTTTGATTTAGGGGTGAGGAGGTGGTAAGGGATGAGGGGTAAACAGAAATTAGATGCTTGTCATTCTTTGGGGAAAAGGATTAAGAAGCAGTAACTAAAGCAAATCAATATCAGTATCTGGGCAACTGCCCACCTACCCCTCCCTTAACCCAACATTAACCCTAAATTGTTATCAAAGGGAGGGGTGGGTGGGCAGTTACCTAGATACTGATATTGATCCACTAAAGCTAACTGGTGTATTGCCCCTTTTTCGTGGTCAAATTTATTGCTTCTTTGATTCTTTATTTCTTTCCCTCTCTTGAAGACACAACAAGAGAGTTGTTGTGTAGTTACCACATCACCTCCCATTCAACCCACCCCAACAAAATTAATTTCAAATGCAGGTATTTGAGATTAGGGTGGAAGCTTCCTGTTCGCAGCAAATTATTTTTTAGGCATCCAAAGTGTAACTTCATCTCTCAAAGATAAGTCAGCTTAATTGAATGCAAGGACGTTTGTATCTGGTATGTACGCAGATTAAAAAACCGACAAATAAAGATTGAACTTCATCGGATTTCCGACTAAGCAAAATGCTTCGTTTTAAGCGAGTTTTCACTTAAGTGGCCTTGTAGCGGTTAAGTTGACTATATTTAGAATTGCACAGTGACATGTTATACTCTTGAAATCGAGTTAACCACAAGACAAAGTTTTATAAATTTCCATGTCAGAATATTACAGGTGGTTTATTGTCAAAAATTTGTTCACCGTTTTGTTTATTTTGTGGCATTCATTTCAAATTGTTTTCGTGTGGAAATACTAAAGCATTCAACTTTGAAAGTTCCCTTTGAGAGATTGTGTGTCCTCTGCGGCGCGTTATCTAAGCGACACAAACGCTGACTTCTGCGGCGTAAATGGCATTTTGGGAAATTTTGTAGGTATTCTTTGTTATGTTACGGGGCGAATTACTTCGTTAACATCGCAATTTGCTGGCTGTCTTGAGATGTTTAATGTATTATGTTTATACGAAAGATTATTCACACAATGGAAATTAATGGAAATTGGTAACCGTATTTTTGGTTACCCCGGGTGATCAACTGTGTGCCTTTAGGTAGTCGCACTAAGCGAGCAAGAAGGCCTCAGAGCGTTAAAAAGGTGAGGTACGGTTACTGCACAATATGCAGTACGCCTCTGAGACTGATTTGAATTGAATGGGCAACCTTTGTATGTTTCTCTCTGATGAGATCCGAGAGAAAACAGTTCTAAAGCTAGTAATCTATTGACAGTTCTGGGAATTTCACAGTGAAAAGTTATAATTTATGAAATCATACAAAAGGAAATTGGGTTTTTCAGCACTATAGTTTCAGAGATGCAAAATTTTCTTTAGCTGTGGCGATACGGGACTAATATTCAAACCAGGAAAATTCTTGACTCGTTAATTTTGTTTTTCTTTATATGAAGGACCTCCCACGATGTAAGCTCACTGCTGAACGCAATGACCGTTGATCCGGAAGAATTTCTCAGTGATCTGGGATTTGCCGACACAGAACTGCGTATGCGTATTCCCGAAAGATTTTTTCAGTCGGCCTCCAGTGCGCAAGGAATCGATGTGGATTCATTTCGAAGAAGTCTTGACACGGACGATTTGTATGGATCATCGGTAAGTGAAGAGAATTTCATTCAGATCAATTTCCAATCGAATGTCGAAAGTATCCCAGGAATGCGTTGCTTTTGCTTTACTTCGGTCTATGATTGGTCCTCAAAATAAGAACCATCCTCGCGTCAAATCAGAAGTAAAAAACCAATTGCGACCTGTTCATTCGCTTTTCCCACGCAGGAAAGTTGCGTCATTCCACATTGAGTTCTCATTGGCTGCTTGTAATGTTTCCTTGGTTCTGATTGGCTGTTGTGATCACTTTGACCGAGCAACACTTAATCAAAATGCGCTCTATTGAATTGGGTTAATGACTAATATTCAGGTGCACGGCAGTCAATCGCCGTTTTTATTTTTTCGCAAATCAACTTCCAAAGCCAACAAGGTTCTTTAGAGTCGCCGCAGGAAATTCGTAGGATATTTACCAGTTTCGTATGGGTATGTGTTACACCTGTGAATCAGTATTTTAGAAGTTGATCCGGGACGGGTTAAAAAAAAAAAAAGTAGAAAGGTGAATCCAAAATATATAAGAGATCGAAACTAGAAGTTTTGTCCTTAATCAAGGTAGTATTATTGAAGAGTTCCTTAATGCTGTTGAACAGCGTAAATTCTAAAATTGTGGTGATATACACTGCTAGTATCGTGCAGTGTGCTCTTCTAGTTAGGATCTTGTCCGTTGACATATAGATTTTAAGCTGGTCTAGTTTGTCAGTACTTCGTCTGTCGAGAAGCGGTTGAGGATATTTTGACCGCAGGAAAAGCAGTAGTCTCACTGATTTTCCATTTTTCTGTCGTTATTTATTTTATTATTGTTTTTTTTTTATCGATTTACTGTTAAAGGGAATAGAAATATTGCTGGTAATAAGGTAAACACCGAGAAAAAGTGAATGAATTTGTGCAGGAGAAATTTCCTACGTAGCTGCTGATTTTCAGGTTTCGACGTAAGATTGCGCTTGTTTTTACATGTGTGAATAAATTTCTGCAAAAGGAATTGCCCAAGTAGATACTAACATTCAGGTTTTGACGTAGTTTTTAGTGTAGTTTATAATTATTCTAACTTGCATTGTCAGGCATATCGATTTTTTTTATTCTCAAAACTCATGCAGGCTTAATCTGGTCCTAAACATTTCTTGTTTAACTTACTAAATATGTAAACAGTATTCTGACATTTTAAATTACGAAATGTTTCGGCCATTTTCCTTTTTGCTTTTTAAAAACGTGCTCGTTTATAATTTGACCAGTGTTTGACCATAGTTTGAAAGTACAGAAGAGTAACCAGGCAACTGAAGCTATTCTGCGTTAGATAATTCAGTTTGATGAAATAAAAAAAGACACAAAACAATTTTGATTTGTAATAGCAAGGACAAAGGAAGGAATTCACCCAATTTGCAACGTTCGCTTAATGTAAAATTCTCGAGATGAACAAAAGTGCACATTTCCATGCGTAGATGAGTTTGGTACCTACGGAAATTCGCTTGTAGACATTTTGAGCAAACAGAATATTCCCGAACTAAATTTTTATGCCTTGGTTTAACCTCATCAACATGTTAATTCAGGTCTCTTGGAAATGCCTTGGTAGTGCTTGTGCGTGACGGCGTCTACACGTATTTATCACAGTGGATTCAGTTTAACGCGTGAAAAAATTGGATCGGATGCTTGTGCGCAGGTGGCGTATCATCGAACGTTAAATTTGTGAGCGTCTAATGCTCAAAAGTTGATACCTTAACGGTATTCAATTTACCAAAAGACTACATCTCCTTTGAGCCACAAGAAGCAACGGATCTTATTGTTACGTCACTCAGATTAAGAGAAACCAATCTCTCATCAGCTTTTGTTTCCTATCGTTTTTTAGCAGTCCCAAGAGTCTTCGGTATGGTCGGACCCAGGCTCCAGAAGGATCCCCTCCAGGTTTATCACGTGTCACACGGAGCCAACAAACACGTTGTGCATGGGGCCCTTTAGCTCTGTGCCCCTTATCTCTGAGCCTGAAGAAACGTCTGAGGAGTCGTTTGATCTAATGAGGCACCTTAGACTCAACAAACCACAACACGTGACAAAGGGTATGTACCTTGAACCAGTTACAGAAGAACTTGAAGTGTCTTCGGTTGGAAGTGGAACAATTAGGACGAGAATTTCTAGAAAACTCTCTAACGAAGAAGGCACGATCATTGTACGAGAGGAGTCGTTAGAACAACCGAATCAGGATTCGGAACTAGTCTTGAATGTTCCTTCGGTTATTGTAAGCGAGAAAACAAGCTTTGATTCGAACGAGCCCACCGATACCAATTATACTGAAAACAATCGAGAAGAGGCGGTTATCATTGCAAATTTAAACGTTGAAGAAAGCAAGAGCATTCCCGCTAGAGAGGGTACATTGTTATATCATGCAACGAGTTCGTCAAGCAGTGTAGAGGCAGTGAATTCGAGCCATCACAACACAGACAGCGATAAACTCGCGTCAATTACGAGTGATTACAGTGATATGGATGAATTACCAGGGAACGCAGTCGTGGATTTTGATCCAGGGGTAACAGATGTTTCTCCTCACGTAGCAGTCCCATGGCACTTGAAAGTTGCAAATATTGCTGTACAAGATTCTTTTGAACTCGAAGAAATCGGAAATGAGGATTTTAACGAAAAAGAATCGTCATCGTTTGTAGATGAAGAAAGCGGGTATAATTCCAAGGCATCAGACAAACGCTTGACAAGAGAAAATAGCGGGGAAAGTAGTGGCTTTGAAGAAATGTTTCCCGACAAAGACGCAACAAGTTCAAATTCTTGTTCGCCTGTTTTGAATGCGAAGGAATTTTCCACTATCGAATGTACTTTTGTTAGCCAGGTAAGGCCACTGAAAGCTCTTTTGGATCCTGAAATGATTTGCAGAGCAGTGGAAGAAAAATCGCCCAGAGCGACATTTGTACAGAGGAGAACTAAATCTTTGACAAAACAGCGACCAGTTGACGAGGATAGTTTTGGATCATGGGTCTCTAGTTCCAGTTCACCCCTGTTAAAATATGTCGCAGGGAGTTTAGGGAGCAGTGTGGGTCAAAATTACGCGAATACATTGGTTCAGAAAGGGTCAGGTGTTCCTTCGCGAAGCACCGAAGAACTTGTGGATCCTGCTAGGAAATCTAAGGTAGAAGGGTGTGATGGTAAAGTGGACGAAAACTGTAACAGAAAATCAAAATTTGATTTGGAACAACGGCCATTATCTGCGGTTTCATCCGCGTTCGATAAAGATGGTGATACTCTCGATAAGGATAACAATGTGGCTGCTGAAAGCAAAGAAAACGAAAATACAAATCATGCAAAATCTAAATCAAGTTTTGAGAATGACCCTCACATTGGGATTGGACAATCTGAGGTGGGCCTTTTTGTGTTAGGAACGCCAGACGAGGGCAGTGGCAGTTTTGTAAAGGACAACAAAGTTTCTCCTGAAAGCTTTCAAAACCAAAAGCATTTTAATGGGGAATTGTGTGCGATTAGTAAGAATGAACCTGATATTGCTATGAGACAAACTACGATAAGTCCTGTTGTATCAGGTACATCAGAAGTAGACGATACTTGGGAAGAACAGGATGACAAAGTGCCAGCTAACAGCTTTGGCATGGGAGATCAAGTAAATGTAGAGTGTTTCTCCAATGTTCCGATTAAGACTGACACTGCGATGAATAAATCTAAGGTTGGCCCGATTATTCGAAATAATGTAACAGGTGGATGCCAGAGAAACATATCTGACTCAAGCTTAATTACAGAAGAGTTAGTTTCGCCGCAAAGTTTACGTGAACTTGCAGATGATGGTTATTTTCATGCCAAGTTACTCCAGACTAACTCAGATATCGAAAACGAAGCAGAAACTTGTGTTAGTGTCGCTGCTTGTGGTAACCTTTCAACGTCTTCCCTTGTGGACAACGAAGACGTTAGTGCATGCGTAGAACAACAACAGAGGAAGGAATCTCGAAAGGCTTTGAAAAAGGTTGATTCTGAATGTCAAAAGGTTAGTCTAAGATGATTGTATGAATGTATTTAATGTTAAGCCACTTGGAAAGTCGAAGTGTAAACCGGGTTGATAAGTTGTTCTAGAGCCATGAAGAGCAACATTTTGTGATCAGAAGATTCAAATGTAAACATGGAAACTGAATTATTAAGGAGGGGGGAAGTTTCTCATTTTTTTATGAGCGTTTTAGTACTTTGCATAGATCGGTATAATGTAGAACCCATGAAATCATTTTATAGATCAGTTTTAATAAGTTTCATGATTTAATATGTAAGTGGGACTTGATGGTAAATGGTTTTTAAAGGTGAAGACAGTCAGTGAAAGAAAAAGAGACATTTTTCTTTTAAGAAAATTAATGTAAACCTTGGCAGACGTTCGTTTAAGGATTACATCACATGTCGAAAAATCTGTATGAAGAGGAAATTGAGAAGTAAATTTAATTTTTTTTACAACAGAACATAGTCATATCTATTTAAATGCAGTGCGATGTAAGTTTTATTTAATTTTTTAAGTTTAATATTGTTTGATTCCCTTTAATAAATATTTTTCGACACCTGCGCTTTGTTTTGTTTGAAAGCTTGTTACGTAGTTTAGAGAGGAGAGTCTGAAAAGTGGCTCCGAATTTTAGAGTATTTATCGGGGAGACAGTGGTATTCAGAGGTTTGTTTAGCAGTGATATAATTGGCGTCACTCGTGAGCACTGGTGGTGAGGGTTCTGAAGAAGGTTGCAATTGCAGTTGGAGTGATCACCACAAAGACCGGCGGTAGTGCTGTTGATGATGGGTTTCGTCGAAAAAATCGTGCAGTTAGTGGTGATGATGTTACGGCTGAGTGTGTTTTTTTTCCTTTTTTGATTATGATGGTGACGATGAGGTTGTTATTGGCAACGGTGTAGATAATGGTAGTGATTTTAGCGACGGAAGTGACAACGAGGATAACAGTAATTGTGGTGGTGATGATGTGTTAGTGATGACGATGACGAAGACGATGACAACGACGAAGACGACGACGACGAAAACGAAGACGACGACGACGAAGATGACGACGATGAAGAAGACATTAACGAGACAATAACAGTTGTGATAACGAAGAGGTTTACGTTGGAGATTTAAATGGCGAGGAAGACTGGTGCAACTCTAATGGATCGAGGACGACGATGAAACTGAGGTAAACCACGACGAGGTTGCCAACAGCGATGAGGACGACAACCATGTTGCGTTTCTGATTGATAAAGCATTTCTTGACAGTCCTAACATACTAATATGTTACTTGTTAATTAGCACACAAGCGGTGATTTTGACAATAACTTTATGTTGGACAAGAATGATTATAATCCTTCCAGGTGAGAACTAATACCATTAACTAAGATATTTATAATCACGATAAAGATCTTAAAAGTAATGTTACTGATTTGGACTGTAGTGATGTGCGTGTGTGCGTTGCAAGGATCTTTCAGCTGCAAGGCAGTTGTGTTTTCTCCCGCGTTTGATTGCACCTTTACCTACTTTTGTCACAGGTAATTGTAGGTTTTCCCTCGTTTTACACCAAGTGCATACTTTTTCTAGTCTTTTCTGTTCCTTCCTTTATTCCCAGCGTTTAACGCTGCTTACCTATTCTTCCATACTCTGCTGATGTGCTCTGAGCTGGAACTGGATTTTTGCCTTTGTTCCAATTATAAATATGTTTTCACTCTTCTCTCAAGTTTCTTCCTTGGGTATCGATATTTTAGTTTGGAGCAATTTTAAAGCTTCTTTGAATTTATGTGTTTTGTTCGTCTGTTTTACATTGTAGCATTACCTTCATGAGATAAACATTCTAGAGCAGAGCATTAAAAGGTATGAGTCAAACTTATCTTCCGAGGGACCACTGGATAGAGCCAAAGCTGTTGGTGATACTGAGAGTGTACTAGTGAGGTAGGTTTGTCTGTTCATTACTCGTTGCCCTTCGCATAGGGTCTCGTCCAGAGTTTCTTTCAATTGGTCTCAGAGCAATTTCCTATTATTTCGAAAGTGATCCGGGATTGATTTGGTTTTGCTTTCTTTCGTTTTGTGTTTGGTCCAGAAAACTCGCACCACTTTCGTAACAAATCAGATTCAAAGCTAAAACAAATCGCGACTTGTTCACTAGCGTTTTCCCGCACTTCCGGTAGTGTGCTTGTTTGTTCTACGAGTTTTCATTGGCTCCTGGTGATATTATCCATTTCATGATTGGCTGTTGTGATTGCTATGATTTGGTTTCACGACACTCAGTTGAAAAGCGCTCGATGCATGTTTACGACGGAATACGCAATTTCACCCTAAGTCTTCTCCTCAAGGTGCAGATTGGTGAGTTCTTATTGGCTCCTGTTGATATTATCCTTGCTGTGATTGGCTGTTGGGTTTACTTTTATTTTGATTTTACGACACTCAATCGTTAAATGCTCTATGAATGTTTACGATGGAATACGTAATATTCTCAAAACACTGAGATTAAAAGAATGTCTACTTGGAAACAAGCAGAAAGTGCCTAAGAATGACGAACATTTTAGTGCAAACGAGACGAGGCGATTTTCAGTAAATAGGGTCATCATGCATAAGGGCTTTCTACATAACACGATTAGAGATAGACAAATATTTGTATAACCTCATTTTCAAGTATTTAAAGCATTTTCAAATGTGCTTTCATTTCTTTCTGATGTTGTAGGATCAAAGAAGAAACGAATGCTATTCAAGAATTGCGTGTGATGATTGGTTCAGAACTCGAAAGAATGAAGTTTCTTCTTTCGGAACGCAGAAGGCTGTTGCTTGCAGGAGTTGCGAAGAGCCCAGTTTGTTTCGGTGTTTCTCAAAGGGTAAGGTTGTGTATTGACAGCTATTTTATTAACCTTTGAACCCTGAGAGTGGCCAGCATCTAATTTTTTCAGACAGTCATGCTGCTGAATCATTTATCACGGTCATGAGAAAAAGAGAAATGACCACCAACCTAAGAAGCTCTGATTGATAAACGAATTCTCCTTGTCAGCACCAGAGAAAATGTTTAGAGAACATTATGGAGAATACGGATACTGATGTTAGGGTGTGAAGGATTAAGAAAATATACTCTCCTGAGGGAACCTGATTGAAATCGATAGGTGCAATCATAATCGGAGTGAGTGGATATTTGATCCCGAATTTAGCACCGGGCTATACAGGATTTATTTAGGGTTTTAACGGAGGAAGACTTCCTCTGAAATTCTTGACGAATTCTCCGTCACTTTGACACAGGAGTCCATTGCGAATTAAAAAAGGAGTGTTTTTTTACCTTCACGTCTGGTAATGAAACCCTGGTGTGTGGCAATTTGAATAAAAGGCCACCGGCCAGGTCTTACGTATGGTATTGTTTATTATGCGGTGGTTCTAACTTTTAAGTCTGTGGAGGAAACCCCTCAGAGCTTATGACCATTTTATTGAAAGCTTCTGAACAGTACTTTTACATGGTGCTTTTTAGGATATTGTACAAAACAATTGGTCTCGATTCTGCAAATCCTTGTGTGTAATGTCTAAAAGAAATTGATTGCACAGTATTGTCACGTGACACGTGGTATACCATCCTGGGGAGGACACTCAACTGTTCGGTCTACGAATAAAAACCTTATAATCATTGAAATAGAACTTCGGATCCTATCAGTGACAGCATTTTATGCTTTTTCGTTTTTAAGATGGCAGACCTTCTTCGGGAACAGTCGTCGTTAAATATTGGACTTTCGAACATTAACGATGAATTATCGATTCGAGAGAAGGCTTCACGACGGGCCAGGATATACGCGCAGATTGAAAGCATTAAGAAAGAGTTGAAAGAGGACAGGGAAAAGTGTATGAAGGAGTTTCGTGAAGAGGTAAGCGCTCTTGTGTTTTTACTCCCTGCGTGTTTAACTTTTATAGCCTGACACAGCAACGGGAATATATGTGATTTCTTTGTTGTTGAGACATCGAAGAAGAAGAAGATCGATTGCCGTGTGTCTAGCTCAAGAATTTGCGCATTGTTACCTGAAAATATTCAGAGGATTCTGAACAAAATTTCAAACTCAATTTTCTGTACAGGACGGTCTTCGATTGACTTTCGTAAGACCAAAACCAGAGTAATAACTACGGCCATTCAGAGCGAAGTAAATCATTACTTGGAGCCAATGAGAGCTCAAATTGAAAACAAGCTTCGAACCAATGGTATCCGGTTTTACTTCCGACTCTCAGTTGGAAATTGCTCTCTTAAAAGCTACTTTCGTTTAAGCCATCGCCAAACTTGTCTATTTATTCTTATCACTGCATTACAATTCATACCACTGTATTCGGTTTTGTGAATATGATGTGCGTCAATACAAACAGTGTAAAAGCCCGCAAGGAAAGAAGAGATGAATCGATGAAAGCCGACCTTTGTATTTTTGATAGATAAAGGAAGGCCTCGTCCGCGAGTTGAGTGAAAAGTTTTCAACGGAGGTTGAGTTGCTTCGTCAAGAAGTTCGGGTAAGCATTGTTCCCAATGAGAATTCAATGACAAATTTAAGATAATGCTGTTTTCTTAAGGTGGCTGCAGCGATGTTTTATCAACTCATAACAAATCGTTTTATCTGTTCTGCTTTGTTGTTAGTCCAAAGACGCTGTGATCAAGCAGTTGAAGAATCATGAACAAGCAGATCTAAATCAAAATCTTGATCATCTGGAGCAGAGTTGAAGTCTAGAGGGAGGGTAGATTGAGGGAAGTTTTGTAAGCAGTTTCCTTTTTCAGACATCTTGTTTCATGTGCAGTATCGGCAGTATCGCTGACACCGGGAAACCGTGAAGTCGCTTATGGGAAAGATCTCGCGGCGATGTGTTTGGTAAATTCATTTTTTGATGGTTTCACGATCTTGAGCATTGTTGAGTTCCGTGTTTCTTCCCATCAATACACTCAGATTTGTTGTTTTAGTGTTTTGTAATGGACAGTCCTTCGCGACAGTGCGTTTTCTTAGGAATTGTTTTCCGATTATATTTTGTGGTGGAATTTTACTTGTGGCAGGCCACAATAATCACGAATGAAATTATCCATCACATGCATTCATCCAAAGCTGTAAGTCTACATTCCAGTTTAGGATATGTGACATATATCAACAACTGTTTGGTTGTAAACTAATTGTAAATGTAAGTGTAATATTTTGAAAAGGCGCGTATTGCCTAAATCAATTATAAATGCTTTAATATACATTCAAGACGTCCATAGAGCTGCTTATCTGTTTGCGATAGTAGTCATCTTTTTTTGGAGCTTTGTCTTCTTTTCCTTCTAAGTATGAGTTCATTAAGATCAGTTATTGCGAGTTTTATTGGATCCATCCTCAACCTTCTTTCATTTATAAAACAAAACAGCGGTAGTCTAGTTCCCACGTCTTCCCAACTGAAAGTGGACGGGGAAAACAGGGAATGACTACAATACTGTCTCAGCAATTCCACACAACTTATTCCCATTCATGGTATAATTTTAATAGTGCTCGTGTCAAATAATCAGCTACAAGTGAGTGAGAGTCTTTTGGAAGAGGTAAATCTTGAAATCGAAGAGAGCCCTGTGAGAATATAGCTCATTTTTCTTTAATTGTTTTTCGTTCATTGAGTTGAAATTTAAAACAATTTTCTTTTATAATTTAAGGTGCAAAAAATTATACTTCTGTAGTGAAAACAGAAGCATAGTCAATAACGTGAACGATTCGATCTTCCATGAATCATATAGCTGTATAGAAGAATTATATTCTTCCAGCGACGAAACAGGGTAATAAGATGAAAAAGATTGCCTTTTTTCAGCCATGAAATCTTTATATTGAAAAAAAACTGTGAAAATGCATTAGGTTGATTTCCACATAGTTTTCATAGTTATATGTACTTGTAATGTTAAATGAAATCAACACCAATCGGTACCCAGCATAGTCAAATATTTAAAGAAGATTGCGTTTACTGGACCAGAACCATCTTCCTTGCATGACCAATATGTCGTTAAAAACAAAAAAACAAAACAAAACAAAACAAAACAGAACAAAGAAAAAACAAATGAATTTGCACAGTGAGACCAGCCTTGTCCTCAATAGTGCTGACATGTCAGACCCAACCTGAGGATTGTAAAACATGGAGATGTGAATAAAGGCTATAAGTTTTAAAAGAAACTGTGGTGTTGCGTCGGTGGGAGAGTATAACAAGGTAATTTTAGTGTTGAAAACGTAAATTGGCCACCGCAAAGGGTAAAATAGCTGACGTTTCGAGCGTTAGTCCTTCGTCAGAGCGATTTGGTATTACCTCATATAAGTGTCTTTCTACGTCGCGAAGGTGTTCTCGTAGAAAGAAATTACGTGGAAAGAAATAACAAGGACGCATCCCAACCAGTTGCTAAACACTTCAATCTCCCTAATCATTCTAAGCAGCATATGGCAGTCTGCGGCTTTTCCCTACATCTAGGCAGTTCGAAAAACCGTTCTAAAACGTAAATTTTTCTGGCAAATCGGCACTCTTAATTCCCACGGAATCAACGAACGCTTTTCATTCAGTTAATTTATTCTTGTTTTTCTTGTTACCTTGTCCGCACCAGTAGCGAAGTTCCATTTTCTGCATATAAACACATGCACAACCCACAATTCCTCCATTCGCTCTGACGAAGGGCTAAGCTCGAAAAGTCAGCTTTAAACCTCTTAACGGTGGCCAATTTACGTTATCAACTCAGTTAATAAAATACCAAATTATCTTTTTAGGAGAAGCATTCTAAGTCAAGATTGATATTCGTTCTCACGTCTTTCTCCTCAACATCACTTTTTTTTCCCGTGGTTGACATTCTCACCCCGCTCGCTGAGAAGAAGAAAGTGACGAGTCATATGACTAGTCACGTGTCTCACAGCTGATTAGTTACCTTGCTTTGAAATGGCCTTCAAATTACGTTTTCTGTTGTGAACACGAAAATGCTTTGAAAGGGTTGATCTGAAAAGTCAATATACATGACCATTATCATCACGTAACAAAAGCCAAGGACACCAAAGTGAATCTTCTGCATGATAGACTGTGCCAGTTTACCTTTCAGCGAATGCCATCCCACAGTCTGCACACCTGAAAGGTCGCTCCCCGGTGTGAGTGCGCATGTGCGTGGTGACAGAAGAGGACTGGGAGAAGCACTTTCCGCACACAGAGCATGCGTATGGTTTCTCTCCTGTGTGAGTTCGCACGTGTGTTATTAAGTTTGCTGATTGGGTGAAAGCTTTTGGACAGTGTGTACACTTGTACGGTTTTTCACCGTTGTGTTTCCTCATGTGGACAATCAATGATGATTTACGAGAGAAATCTCTTTTGCAGATATTGCATCGCGGCTTCTCTCGTCTCGTCTCGCGTTGTTCTTTGGAGTTGATAGTTACCTTTGAATTCCAAATTTTTTGAAAGGAAAACATGCATTATGTTTCGTAATTTTTTGTACCAGTGCATCGTATTATTACTGCTCATTCACTTTCTTGTAATCTGGTAACAGTGGTTAATAATGTACATGAAAAAATTTGCGTTTCTGATTGGCTGAAAACGAGTGCATTCTCATGTAACACGAGTGCAAATTACAAATAGGGCGCGCGCTTTCAAAATTCCGCCTCTTAACTATATGTGATGTTTTTTCTTGTACATTATTAATGATTAATAAAATGATATATTTTACAATTTGGTGTAATAAGCACTTGTAAATTTTCAAAGAGTAAAAATTGCACCTGCCCCACGGGCTCGTGAAATTTTACTGACTCTGAAAAATTTATGCGTGCTTACTTAAACCAAATCTCACTCGAAATCATGTTATTACCTATACCGATTTTCTACAGTTCACCCGCTAAACTCTGTTGACAACAACTGATCATCCCTCTGTGAAAACCATCTGATCTCCACAAAAATCCTTGCCCCCCACCCCATCCCCCAGCGTCAGATAAGGACTGGTCCCAAAACATTGTTTTATAGCAAGTGTCCCACAGTTTACAGGGCTCCTGAAAAAGTACAATGTCTCACTCCCACCTTCCCCCCCCTTCCGTTCCCTTGGCACGTCCCTCTCAACCAATGTCCATTGCAATTATTTTGCAAGACTTTCAGGACCTATTTCTCCATCAGCAATCTAAGAAGCAGTTTTATTTTTCATATGTCCAGTTTAAAAAATTCACTTTCATGAAAAGGCTAACGGCCCCGCTATGTGTTGTGCAATGTTACGTTTCCTAACACACTGTGTTGAAGAAACACAAGAATAACCGTGAAGAGTAGCAAAGCACGCACTGGATATACGTTGAGAGGTGGTCTACTAATTTTATCACCTGAGAATTGATAAGCGATGCAGCTGCTGGACATGATTCATGAGGATACTGTAGATACAGCGGGTATTGAAATACACCAGTTGCGCATGCACTTATCAGAGGAGGTGAAGTTTTTCCTGACACGTCCCCTTCGTCCATATAGCGTCTTGATTGATTGGGGAAGCCCAAGTATGATGGAAGAGCCTGAATGAATCGTATCTTTGGATGATGCCTGGTGGTTTGGGAGGTAAAATGTACATACTTGAAACTCGAACAATGACATAATCTGAGAAAATGCTCACCTACCCCTCCCCCAACCCAAAATTAATCTTACGTTGTTATCAGTCGACTATCGTTGGGTTAGGGGAGGGGTAGTTGCGCAGTTGTTCAGATACTGACATTGATCCGAGAACCTCCACTGTTGGAATGGATTGTATTCTTTTTATCTTAAAGTTGACGGAAAGTTTATCGTTAATGTGCACTTTATTAGTTCAGCCATTTTGAATTTTCGGCTTTTCCTGGTTGCCTTTCAGAAATTTTTGAGATGCAAAGGATTAATGTTTGATTAAAAAAAATTGCTGCAACCGCTTTTCGGTTGTCACATACAAGTAAACTTAAGCATTATTAGCTGGTATTCTTGTTTAATTCTTTATGAAGTGTGTTTTTTTCCTTCAATTAATTTAAGCGACCATTGCATCAGTTAAGCAGTCTCTTATTCCAGCAGTTACCGGTCCCTTAAAAGAGTTCCCACCGTGCTTCGGATTCGCGTAATCATTATTAGGTTGCAAGCCTTGATTTCCGTCTCCTTTCAGCCCCCTCTCCTCACCCAAGAGGAAACTTTCCAACTTCCTCTGTTACCTTTGTGCTCGACACAGGATCCCCCAAAAGAGTTAATAAGCACGCATACATACCTATTGCTTGATAGAACTCTATTCGCTGGTATCTTGAACACTCCGGGTAACACTGCAGTGTTTGACTTGAAAGTGGAACAATTCTTCAGGGGAAATCTTATCATTTTCTTTCGACGAAACTGTAACTGAAAATGTTAGCATTAGGGGTGATTAAGAGACTGTTGCAATCTGATAGCACCTGAGTTTTTAAGAATATTGATTCAAAAAAGAACCTGTGCCGAGATTTCTGTCAAACTTTGCGTATGATTTGTTTATTTGATAAAATCGTAGCTATTTGAAAAACCCCAGAGTATACTTCCTTGAGATATCAGAACAGCCTTACGTAAGAGTGGAGGGTGTGTATAGCACAGGGTCACCAAGGATGGAGGATTCGAAGCTTTCTCGTCCGAGAAGCTAGCCCCTGTAAACTATCATTACCATGCTAATGTTATCATTATTGTTATCATTGTAAATACAATTATTTATTACCATTTAATTATTGGTTGAGTTTCAATGATTCACTATATTCTTGAACCACTTCTCTCTTGTGGAACAGGGTTCTCATAAATTTGTGGGATGCGACAGGTTTTCTCTTTTACATGTGAGCCATTTACTGCAACGCTTCCTTCTAGCGTTATTACAAAACCTCTAATTCTTTTCAATACTGTAAAAATTGTGCAATATCAGTAGACACATGTAGTTTTAAACCGCCTATTTATACTTTTTGCAGAAAATGAGGTTGTTGAGCAATTACACACACACAAACCTTTGAAAAACATATCTTCGCCAGTATTGCGAGAACTTCTGACGAATTTCATGGGAAGTTGAGCACAGAAAGTCTCTGGTGGAAAGTTGTTTCTTTTTCAAACCCAATGGAGTACATTTTGAGCGCAAAAAGGATGTATGCGTTAAAGAAACTTTACTCCTTTTTCGTGATGGTCTCTTTCCAGAAACACTTTCACTTACCTTGAGTAACTGAGTGCGTGCCGAAGGCCAAGAAATTTCTTTGGAAAATCAGTTCCTCACGTCCTGGATAAAGGGGAGTTAATCCTTACACTCCCAAGTTTTATCATAAAGGAATTTCTCCTTACAGAATTTGTACTTCTACGCGACTTAATAGTCGTCCTACAGAATTTGTTCTTTTACGAGCGTGCAAGTAACGAGGAGAAAGAACATATGATGGAAGGGATATTGCTTGATTAGAGACCAAATTACAGGGTTGAAATTCCTAGAAATTTATAGCAGATGGTGCAGTGAATTGATAAGAAGGTCTTTGGAGTGCGGCGCCTTTTAATCACTCTTCACAGGTTTCACTTCTTTTCTGTTTTGGGTGTTTCCTTGGAGTTTTCCTCAAAACAACTTTTTTTGTTCGTGTCAAGCAAAGTAATAACTAATGATTACTTAGGTGATCATTCCAAATGTGAATTAACGTGTTTATTTGACATATCTTAGTGCTATCAAAAACGTTCCTGAACTTTATGCTAGTCGAAACTTTTTTCCGTTGTCTCGGTAACTGGATAGGTTGTTGCAAATATTTTGTCAACATCCTTTGTCTCCTTAGTAACAATTCAATAACTACTTTGACTATTTTCCTCAAAAGTCGTCAAACGATTAGTGAAAACTCTGTGGTTCATATGTATTCCTACCTAATTACGCTCAAGATTGAACGTGGCAACGAAAATGACAAATTTTGCCTTTTCGCTCAGAATTACGAAAGGATCACTCGACAGCAAAAATGTAACACAAAGTAGTAAGATCTTCAAAGGGAATCTCTAAATCGATTTGAAAGGGTTGGGTAATGCTACATAGAAAACAAGAATATGAAAGAAAGTTTCGAAAATCTCCAGATGGCGAAAATATCTTTCAAACATGGCTAACATAAGAGGCGAAAATGACAAAATGTCACCAAAAGGATCAATAAAGCCCCTTAAAAAACAGAAAAACTACGAAAATCACTAAAAAACCACGAGACCCTCGAGGAAAAATCACTTAACCAACACGCGACTTTTGCCATTGCTGAGACCAGAATGAACGCTGGGATTGGTCAGCCCTGTACCAGGTCACTCGAGGGGCATGTTGTTCCGCGCGGCCTCGATCTTTGTTGTTGTTGTGTGAAATGCAGAGTCAAAAAGCTTCGCAAATTCTTTTAAAGGTGAATTTTAGCAATCATCTTTTTTTCGATGATGGGCGGTGTAGATCATTGATCCGTGTGAAAATGTAAAAATGACCGTAAACATCAGTACAAGGTACAGAATTTTAATAAAACCTATCATTCAGCAAGGTGAATCTATCGCCGGGTGTCGTAAATGCAAGCAATTCGTTGGTTTTTTGCTTCTGAACGGTCATTTATAGCACTCTTTTCAATAAAGAGATATATCTAGGTCATTTTTCTTTGCATGTTATTATTAGCTTCTGGTAACCGTTTATCTGGTAACCCCAACAAATTTGCATTTTGACTTTGAGCATGTTTTGCGATTTGTGTCTTGAATGTTTATTTCTGAGGAAAACCAAAGGAGTAAAGCAGTCATTAAAAATCAGGAAAAGTAAGGAAAAGCAGGCGGGATTTTGCATTAACCAAACGCTGATACAACTATGATTGAAGCTTAAAATGCCATGAAAAAAACGTTTTGCCGTGAAATGTAAATAAACATTTTCTTTAAATTTACGTAACTTTCAAGATATCTTTTTTGTTACATGTTCTCCTCGGCCCATCTTGGAGTGAAAAAAGATCTTCAAATATACACCTCTCAAAACATTTTAGATGCTTTCGAGACCCTACAACAAAAAATATCAAGGCCGTGCGAAACGGGATGGAACGGAAAGTGTAATAACTTCTTACAGACTTCTGCACGAATCTTCTAAACCCACGAATTGAAAATAAAAGGTTTTCGTTAAAATTTTGTACCTTTCGAGATGTCTACGGTCATTTTCACATTCCCACACGGATCAATGATCTCCGCGGCCCTACCAGGGAAAGAAAAAAGGTTTGCTGACGTACAATATTCAGGGAATTTGCGAGGCTTTTTCGGCTCTGCATCTCACACGACAACGACAAAGATCTAAGCCGCGCGAAACAACAAGCTCCCTGCCCTAGTGCAGGGTTGGCCAATCCCAGCATTCATTTGGACGTAATATTAGCAAAGTCGGGTATTAAAGAGGATGAAACAAGGTTCCATCGAGAACAGCCACATCTACCGACCAATGTATTTGTTTTCCAGCAATTGTATGGAACTCGGTTGTGTAGAATGGGACTTAACGAGCGCGGTTGCGTAGCGATGCTTATTGGGCACGGTTGCGTAGCTAAGTGAAATTTCTTCACATACGATACCATGAAGGTATACTATGAAGGTATCATGCCATAATTGATCACTCAATGTACAAAAACTCGGTCAGAAATGCTACCAACATTGATTTTGGGAGAGAAATATGGATTAAAAGTTTTTGAAAGATTTTTCCTGGTTTTGTTTGAGTAGTTCCAATTTCAATGACCGTTATACTGGTGGAACGATACAAACAGGCCGTTAGGACTTGGTAAAGGGTGATTACGAGCGCTTAATGAAAGTGAAAATTACAACTACTATGGGGCAAACATTTCGGGACTTTGACAGAAGACTGTTTAATACAGGGTTACCGCTGCCGCTCAATACAGATTCGATTATATTTTTTAAGGTCTGTTGAATAGAAAAATAGAATACAAAAACACAAGTTTCCTTTTCTTTTAATGGTTCGGTGTCACAGATTCTTAAATTCCTTATTTTTTTCCTAACTTCTTGAAAAATAAGTCGACACATTTGTAATAATTGCTTTTCTATATCAGTAAAATCTATTGCCTAAAAATTGAAAAACCTAACGTAACAAATTTCTTTATTAACTTAGACTTTTAGAATTTGAAGGGGCTAGAGATACGATATTTACAAAGAAGTTTATTGTAATATATTGAATTTCATAGTTTCTTTTTAAGGAGAGAGTTCTCTCGCAAACTAGTCAATAAAATTTGTTAATTGATTTTATAATCTTTATGTCTGCTTAATATGAAGAATAACCCATTAGATTACAAAAGTGTTAGTAAGAAAAGGAGGCTTGATTTAACATTTCGCAAGGGATAATTCATTATCTATCGGCTGCAGAGCTCGGAGGATTTGGTGAGGGTCTCAATGGGGTGACGGCTTTTACGGGTAACGGTTAAAATTTTGGCCAGTTTAAGGCTAACGCTTGTTAACTGTCCATTGTGGTCACCAGAATTTTTTTGACGGATAACTTTTTTTAACGACAAACGATTAAAATTTGTTCATTTTAATTTTATGGCTATCAGTTAGTCCCATTTAGACCTTCTGTGGGGGGATCACATGGTTTTCAGAGGGGAGGGGAAGGGGAAAGGGGTCAGTTATCGTTAACATACAGAATAAAGGGAAGGGGGGGGACATAGAAAAGTGACTGTCAGGTCAATTTAATTTTGTGACACAACCAGAAACCCACCCCCACCCCGCGATGGATAATGACCAGTCCTCTAAATTTCCCTCCACCCCTGCCACCACCCTCCGACTATCCTCAAATAAAAATTTGTCGCCTTATTCTCAAAATCGTCAAAACAAATTATCACATTTGTTGTACAGCGGATGACAATTCAGTCAAAGTAGTATTCACTGAAACGCGGTTAAGAATATAACTTTCAATTAAATAGCGGGTAACTGGTGTGGTACAGAGCGAGCTAAAAGCTACGTTAGAGCTTGCCAATCCCATTCATATGTTATCAAAAACAGTAAAGCTAAAATTCCGGTGGATTCTCCCTAAACAAGCGCATGAGTGGTTTTGGATTTTCCTTCTGTGTGGACACGGTGGTGTTTTGCAAGTGTTGACCTGTATGAGAGATAAAGATTGAAACGATGAAGATGTTTACTGAGTTCTCTGTCGAAGGCTTCACGTTCACTCATATCACATTCGATCACACATCACTCTTTCACAATTGGGCTCCATGTCACAAGCTTCACACTGGGGGCATCGCGTTTCGCGCATCCTGTCTCGTGTTTCACGCATCCTGTCTCGTGTTTCACGCACCATGCACTGTTTAAGGTTTCACGTTTACCTATCACGCATATCACTCACATTTCGATCACACATTACTCTTTTCACGATTGTGTCACACGCTTCACACCGTGCCCATCGCGTCTCCCCATCCATACGTGTGTTTCACGCACCACGAATTCTATATTACACACACCAAATAATTTTAAAACCGCTTCCCACTATTTTAACCGTATTGCAAAACATTTCCAATGAAACAAGTTCCTCCCTCAGAAAATTTATTCTAACTATTGATCAAATGAAACCGCAAGAAAAAGCAGCCGATCTAATTAGAAAGAAAACCAGAAAATGTGTCTCATTATTTAATAACTAGGAAATAGCAGTCATTACATACCTGTCTGTAAAGCGTTTGCTGCATCTTTCGCATTTAAACGGTCTTTCACCAGTGTGTGTCCTCATATGGGTCTGCAGGGAATTGGACTGAGAAAAACCCTTCTTACATACGGTGCATTTGAAAGGTCGTTCCCCCGTGTGCGTGCGCAAATGGACAGTCAGATTACCAGATTGATTGAAGGCTCGCGGGCAGAAGAGACACTTGTATGGTTTTTCTCCACTGTGAATACGCATGTGGACTTTCAGTGCGGACGGACGCAGAAACATTCTTTGGCATTCTCGGCACGTTAGTCTCTTATCTCTTTTGGTATTTTCACCCTTAGCCTTCTTAGCCAGCGGTTGTGTTTTTACCACGGAAGATACTCCAGGGATATATGGAGAGAACCCAGGTTCGTAACTGTAGTGGAACGGGTTTACGCAAGGGGAATACGCTGGATGGTGATCATAGTGCTGATGATGCATCCCAAAAATGGGAATCTCTCTCTGACTTACGTTGGGAATTTCTGAGAATACTTGCCATTGATCGAGTACCGGTGTGCTATTGACAAAAAGTATGTTTCAAGTTTTAACCCTGTAACTTCTAAGAGTGATTAGCATCTAATCTTTCACCCCAAAATCAAACATTCATTCAGGGGCTTATCTACCTTTTGGACTTGTTGGCCTTTTTGAGAGATCTGGAAGCTTGGTAGCCTAATGTTTTAACATTGCGAGATTTATTCTTACTGCTTCTTTGTTATTTAGTAACTCGAAGAAATATCGGAAAGAAAGTCCAATTTTTGTTTCAACCTTTGCAAGAGTTGATAACTCAAAAGTCAAGCGGGCGGCAAAAATTGAAGGCCCAGACCGGCGCGGCTATGGCTGGCGATGTCTAGGTGATTGGTCAAAATCGTGGGACTCCGCACGTTAGCCTTGGTTTATTGCTATTTCTGTGTTTTGATTGGTTCACAGGCAATATTATCTGAGCTCATATCCCTTTGTTGTGTTAACTTTCTCACAGCAGTACAAACAAAACATTTTTTCTGTTTAAAGCAGAAATTGTGATCTTGGTTGTTTTCATTGAATCAATCATCATTGCATTTCTCTCGCGGTTGGCTATAAGCACGTAAACGTTTTGAAATACCTGTGGCCAACAAAAAAATGGGATTTAATTTTCTGTTACCCACCTCATTTTCTTCACGAGTTTATCGAATATTTGTTGAATATACGTTGCTTTATGTTAGAATGAAAAGTGGTCTGTAATTTGTATATATTTCAACTTTTCACTAAGGAATTTACTTAGCAATGCTCAAGGTCAGCGCAGACCTCACAAGGTTAATTTCATAAAAAGTGTTTTTATTCTAAAAACGCATGAAAATTTTTACTGTCCATATGACGCTCGACTGCCAACATCTGACATTGATATGCAGTCATGTCAACAGTGACGTCAGCGTTTTCGAAAAGCTCCGGTTCTGAAGCGGATTTTTGTGATCGGTTGACCTAAACACAGAAATACAGTAGCCTTGTTGTCAAAATCGGAGGAAAACTCCTCCGAATTTGAGTTTTCACACGTCTCTAGTGTAATGTAAGCAGTGGCTCACTGAAAACAATTAAACACCAGTATTCGGCTTACCTTTCTCGTCTGTTCCTGTTAGAACCACTGAATCCACTCTTATAATAAAACGTCGATGTGTCCATTGATCTCTCATCGAAAGTTTCCATTATTCTCTAAGAGGAGTGCACTAATAAAGATAACAAAAATATAAACAATATAATGGAATAGGACGTGACAGTATTTTTCAAACCGTTCTTTTTAATTTGCCTTCATTTCAAGTTGACTGTTGTCTGATCTAAATCGATTTTCGTTGTTTAAAGTTGTGATAGATAGTTATCTGTTCCTTTTGAATTTTAAAACTTTCCGTACCAATTGCGATCATTGTTATTTCAATCAATGTTTGTTTGTTTGCTTGTTCGGTTGGTTTAGCTAAAACAGACTTCGTTGTTTTTCACTGTTAAGTTAGCGTTTGCAGCTATTATTTTACAAAGTTTTGTCATATTTCTCTTCCACTAGCCATCAATTTTGTTTGCTGCATATATCTCGTGAAACTGTTAATCTTTACTGTTTTAATGTATCGATCATCATTGTTGAATATTCCTTTAACTTGCTTTAAGGTAAAGAATAACGGGGAGGTAAGTAATCTCTTCAGATAGAATAGTTTTGAACGTCTATCATGATCGTTTTAGCTAAAAACTGTCAATAAAAGTTACTCACATTTCGTCGACTTCAGAGGGAATGATATTCCCATGGAGAAAGTTGCGGTTTCTTTATAAACGTTAAACAAGAATTGGAAGCCTTTAATGGGTGACGATTCCAGTACACGCCCTACCACGCCCAGTACAAATTGGAACTTTCTGTTACTAAATTGTGCAATAAGTTTCCAAATCACGAACCAATCACCAATTCTCAGCTATATTAAACCAATGGGGTTTATGTGACAGTAAAGGGATTGAGAGGTAATTTAGTGTTAACAACTGGGTTGAAAACGTAAATTAGCCACCGTAAAGGGTAAAAAAGCTGACGTTTCGAGCGTTAGCCCTTCGTCAGAGCGATTGAAGGGATTGAGAGATCAGTACAATGTCGAGTTATAGGCGGGGTGACTTCAAAGAATGCCGCTGGAATATTAATTTCCAGGCATCGACGTTTTGTCATGTATCTCACTCAAAAAGCGATTTTAATTATTTTCTAAACGTTTTGAAACGAAATGAAAACTACCTCTCGCTTCCAAACGCTCGTTCTTACGAACGTGAATATTTCACTACAACCAAGAGGATATAAACTGCAGTTGATATTCTCATTCTCGTAACCAAAACGAGAAACTGCGAAACCATGATAACAAGGGATTGAAGGAGAAAATCTGCATTTTTCCCCAATCTCGAAATTTCTACCCAACTTTCGTTCAAAAACCACCTTTTTTCCCCTCAACGTACTTCTCAAATAAAGTGATTTTTGACCCTAAAACCCAGAAAGGCATCGTAAATTGAATGTGGAACTCATACCAAAGTTATTTTTGCATCTGAAATATAAAATCTTCAACTTTTTGAACTGTTTCTCCGACGAAAAGTCCCTGCAGAGCACATACTTGCGGTAAGTATATATGACAGGTTTGAGGGATGCAAAAGATCCTCTTACTCAAGTATTGGACTTTCGATATTTAAGGTTGTACTCGAGCTTACCTGTATGATTTAGGTAAGGTCATATTTCACTTCATTTCTGAACTAAACGGCGAGACGGATAATTTTTTTAAAAAATATTTTTCGTTACCGCGATGTCATATTCTCAGTGGGAAAAGAGCAAATATGGGTTATTTCGTTGAAATTCACAGGATAAAAGTTAACGGCGAAAGAAAAGGCTAGTATTTATCAGGTCATATGCGTAACCATAGGAACAGTATTTTATCATAATGTTCAATAATTTAACGTACATGATGGTATATTGCTACTGTTATTTCAATGAAGTGTCGAAGCAAAACAAGATTGTATAAGGTTTACCTAGCTTCGCTCCTCTTTGATTGGTCTAAAAAGCTATCAATCAACTAAACACCAGTTGGATATAAAGCAAAGCGAGGTATCCTATATAAGCCATGTCGCCGGCAAGTAACACGAAAAGAAGATAATTAGTAATCTCGTGAACGAAAGTCAGTCTTCGAAACGCGTACATAAATGTTACCCTCGCTCTGATATTCTGAGCAGAAGTAACGTAATAGCAGACAATGAGAAGAATCAAGAATTTTTGATGACAAAGACTTCAGAAAAAGGGGAAGCATGATTCCTTGAGCGTTGATTCACAGCGCCGACATCTGAGGAAACAGACTTCCGTTTCCTTCTAAGAAAAACATTAATTACTGTAGAATCTGCATATTGCAGCTAACATACTAATTGTTCGTCTCTGCGCCCTTATTTTCTCTTCGATAACGATGGCAAAGGAGTCACTTCGTGCTTTCAGGGACGGATCTTCATCTCCGATTTTGTTAAGAAATAGTCGTAGCCTTTCCAAGTATGCCAGGTTATTCCAGCTGCAAAATGTTCTGAGTTCTTATCACTTCCGTTGAGATAGAGCCCATTAAGACTTGCCTTATGACACACTCCGTGCCACCAACCGCTCTTGAACTGTTTGGCGCAGTGGCCACCACCATATTTATCGTTGTCTTGATCTGGTGTTGAGAATTTGTTGCCACTTTCAAAAGAGAACGAATCACCAGCATCGCCGTCTGTGAGAGGAAAACAATTTAAAGCAAGGAAGGACTTAGAATATTTAATAAATACAGATTGATCATTTTGTCAAGCTTACGCATGCGTTCTTCGTGCCCATGGCGACAAGTATTGAGTAATTTTTAAAACACTCATATCACGCAAAAGCCTTCATAACATATCACTCTAAACTCACGCAAAACTTTTACGAAATGGTTGTGGGAATGCGTTACGCATATGTCACGTACGTACGCTCTGTTCTAACACACAAACGCTTTTTCACCTGTGTATGTTCCACTGGTCATCAAAAACTTCTGGTCAGCGCCTGCCACCGTAAATCCTTTATAAACAGCAAATCTGTTCGTTCCATCCGGGGCTCCCAAGTCGAATCTTAACGTGACGGGATTTTTCGCCAGTCGGTGAATTCTGTCCAATCCCAGCCAGAACTCTCCCGATACGTTACCGAATCCATTCTTGTATTCCACCCACGTCCGGTTGCTAAACCAAACCGAGCCGTCAAAACGCTTTTGGAGCACGGTCCAGCCCCCTTCCGCTGTTGTTTGGTCGCAGTAGACCGGAAACGAGCCCATGCCGTCTTCAGGGTTTATGGTATAAATACCACTGACCTTAAAACCTGCATTGTACAGCGCGGTGCAATTGGAGTATGTTACTGAAGTGAGAATGAATAATTATGTTATTTTCAGAAGAGAGGATGATTAAGCTCAGAAATGGACCCAACCAAAATAAGCTTTGCTCAAAACACGATCAAGCTGATTGGGGATTAAAATTTTTATCCACTTTCGCGATCCTGCGATTGTAAATCTTTTTGTGCCTGACAAAAATTGAAAAAAGAATCCCACAGGTCTGATGCGTTTCAATTGCACACGCAATGCGTGGTATTGCACGTGCATCACGCGCGTGTTAATGCTGCGGCGCACGGATGCGGTACTGTAAGACCTGAAATTTGTTATTGGCGTCATTTGATTGCCTTTTTTAGCGGGAAGTACAGGGTGTATATTTCGATATTTATTTTGCTAACCTGGTTGCGTTGGAGTTGGAGACGAAGTTTGAATCGGAGCCGAGGTCGAGGATGCACTTGGGACGATCACGTGTCCGTATCCTCCTCCGAAGCTACAGTTTTCAAGTCTGTTCTGCACAGCGGTTAGTTGTTCACTCATGTTCATAACTTGAGCCCACAGTTTGGCGAGGTGATTGGTTTGGTCGAAAATGGCTGGGACAAAGCGTGTGTTATTGAGTATCTTGTTCAGTTGGTTGTTATCTGGTGAAAAAAAGCATCGGAAGTAAATCATGAGCTACCGTCAGTCTAACTGCAATTACAGAGTAGTCTATAATTATCTATAACGTAGTCTGTTGCATTTTACCCTCTTCACCTCCCCCCGAGCTTTTCATCTGGTTTCATTGGACAGCTCACTGATACCCATGACACTTTTGAAAATCCTGGAAGGTGAGAGGCACTGTGAGAGGGAGGAACTTAACTAAAGAGTGGCTGTGCATTAACCCTAATCAGTGCTCGAACCCAGATCACTCAAAGCAGAGTTCAGCGCGCCAGGCTACCCGCCGTCGTATCGCTTCTCCCACATCTGACCAGTAATAGTGAGGGTCAGTTAGTCGTCTCGAATATAATTTTATGCCTCTCATGCTGATGGGAATTTAATTTGGTCTTTAAAAACACTCATTACGTCCGCGATTTACCAGTGCATTGATGAGGTGGCAGGTGTGAAATTGTAGATGACACCTGGACAAATTGAGTCGGCGATGGACACACAGTAATGGTCTTTGTTGGTTGAGCTGTTGAAACAGGACTTGTCTGACACTTGGGATCTAGCAAATAAAATCAAAGGAAAGAAACACACTAAGTGAAAGAAACTTCGGCGCGGCATAGATTCAGGTATTCCGTGTATAAAGCTGAGACCGTAATTACACTCGATGGACACTATCGTAGGTATGTTTTTTCGGTTTCTCATCTTTGTTTAGTCGTTCTGATATTCAGGCTAACAAATGTCAGACTACGTTTATTAAGTAGTATGATTCTGCACGCGGGGAAACTTTCTCTCAAATTTTCAAATGGAAGTTACAAAAAAAAAAAAAAAGCAAAACAAAAACTGAAACACAAGAGCATTAAGTTGTCTATCTAGGAATGGAACTTATCTTCTATTCAACCAAAGGACGTATTATTATTTATCGCCTGGGGGTGAGGGTCGGTGTATTTTGAGAGGATATCATGGTTTCCAGGGGAAATGGAGATCAGTCTTTGCTAGCAGAGTATACAGCGAGGGACATAGAAAATTGACTACTTATAAGATCAATAAGGGGGGATCATTTGAATACTACGGGGGTGGGGGGGGGGGGGAAATTAGGTAAATTTCATCGTGACAATACCAAAATCCTCTGAGTCCCCCCTTCCTTCCCCTAACGAAAGACTCCTAAAGGGAGAAGAGAGAACTGTTATTCAC